TTCATTTCAGAGCACAACGTATTGGTGTATCATTTGCTGCTGCTCACACATTTTTTGACCTATTTGATCGAACACCAACTATTGATAATGGATCGAATAAAGGACAAGAATTAGTAAGAAGAAAAACTATTATTTTTGAATTGTATATTTTAATTTTGAACTGTTTAGACTAACTTTAGTGGAGAAATAGACTTTAATCAAGTTAAATTTTTTTATCCAACTCGTCCAACAGTTCTTGTTCTTAATAAACTTCAATTATCGATTAAATCAGGTCAACGTATAGCTCTTGTTGGTAATGTTTAAATAAATAATGTTTTCTAATTTATTTAATCATATAATATTAATCGATTTAGGTGCATCTGGATGTGGAAAATCAACAATCGTTCAATTATTAGAACGTTTTTATGATGTTACACATGGACAATTGGTAAGTATCTCTCTTCTATATTTATAATTTAAGTATTTATATAAAAACATATTAATATAAATAAGACTCTTGATGGTACTGATATTCGACAATTAAATATTCAATGGCTTCGTTCTCATTTGGGCGTTGTTAGTCAAGAACCAATTTTATTTGACTTAACAATTGCTGAAAATATAGCATATGGATTAGAAAATATACCAATGGATGAGATTGTTCTTGCTGCAACTAAAGCTAATATTCATGAATTTATTCAACAATTACCTCAAGTTAGATTAGTATTAAATTATTTACTAATATAATCTTATATTGTTATAGGGTTATGAGACAAAAGTTGGAGTAAAAGGTGGTTTTTTATCAGGTGGTGAAAAACAACGTATTGCTATTGCTCGAGTTCTTATTCGTCAACCTAAAATATTATTATTAGATGAAGCTACAAGTGCTATGGACCCATACAATGAACAAGTAAAGTTATTTACTTTTATAAGTACAACTTAATATTTTTAATTTTCAGATAGTACAAGAAACTCTAGATCAAGCTCAAACAGAAGATCCTAGTCGAACATCAATTATTATTGCACATCGTCTTTCAACAATACGTTCATGTGATTCAATATATGTACTTGAAATGGGTCGTATAGTAGAAAGTGGTACACATACAGAACTAATAGAAAAACATGGAATTTATTATAAAATGTTAAATGCTCAAAACAACGTACAATAATTATTGTTTAACTATTTTATTAACAAACAAATAAATATTTTTGCATCTATAACCATACAAATATTTTTTACTTATTATATTTTTTTCTAATATATATGAAATTAGCTTTGAATTTAATTCTATCTAACTTTATAGATAAACTCATTAAATCTAAACCATTGATTAGTCTTTTATTATTATCTTGTCATAAAAAGAAATAATACATATACTTCACATATTCTAACATGATCTCTTTGACCTGATCTATATAATATATTCTATTTTTATTATATAATACAATCCAAATATATTTATATATCTTGTGTGCATAGATAATATCTAAGATATGATAATTATTATTAACAATAGCATTTTTAGAGATACTAAAAAGTTTAAAAAATTTATTACAGTAGAATTCATGAGAAAAATAATAGAGTTTTTATTAATTATGAAACAATCAATAAAATCTAAGCAGAATTTTTTAAATCTTTATCTTATTTAAGAACTTGTCCACGGAAAAATCTAAAGTTAATTTCTTCTCTTTTATCTGTCAATAGAAAATAATTTGAATGAAAAGTAATACTATATTCATTGATATAATTATCGACTAGTAAAATCATCGATAATCAATCTTATATAAACAAAGAACATTATAAATAGCTCAGTTAAAATCTTGAGGGTGTAGATGTGAGTATTACAGACACAATATGCATACACCTACACTCACATTTATACTCAAAAATAACTAGAAGAAATAGAACGTCAATTGAAAAATATATATCGTTTGAAGGATCACTGTCTTCCGCTGTTTCGCTTGTATAATCTTATTGGTATCGTGACACTATCTATTAGAAGAGACTACAAATGTTACTGAGACTATTTAGAAACTAGTAAGAAAAACCAGGTGTATAATATACTTTAATTAGAGAAGTATATGGATTTTCGTGTAAAACGATATTTTAAACAACTATTGTTAGAGTTATGTGGTAAAAAATTTAAACTCCAGCTATAAAACACATGCCTATTTCAGTATAATCAGCAAAAAATGTTTTTTGTTCTTCTGTTGCTTGAGGATTGATATTCTATTTGACCCATTGGAATGTACGAAAACCAGCTTTTTGAAATATGTTTTCGTATGTTTCAAGTTAATACCAAAAGTTTGCGACAGTGGGTGTGGATGTGAATATGGATGTAGATGGATGTTTATTAGTTATTCACACTCACATCCACACATATTCTTTTTCTTCATATAATGGAAATAAATTAATTGATGTTTGTAATTTATAACTATCAACTAATGCATCAATATAATCAGATGAATAATTAGATGAAAATGAAGAATGAGCAGGTATTTCATATTCTTCGACTGTTGGTGCAAAACTAACAGAACGACTTTTTAATAGATTTCGACGTTTATTATCAAGATTTTCATTATTTATTTTATTGAAAGTAATAGAAATCGGTTTTACTTTTAATGATGTTAATTCATCGTCATATTCATTTCAAGATGAAGATTGTTGTTCTTCATTATCTTTCGTAGATAATGATTTATCAATATGTTCTGTTTCTTCATGTTCCATAGAAAGTGTACAATCAGATGAGAAAGACGAATTGACCTCATCATTTTTAGTTTCAGATATTTCATTAGATGTGAATGTCATTGAATTATACTGTTTATCGAAAAATAATAAATATAAGAGAAAAAAAAGAAGAAATTAAGCATATAGGTTACCGAAGAAAAGAGAATTTGCTTGTTTTGTAGAGACAACTATTTTTCGTCGATAATAATATCACTATGTGAGCGTCACCAACTGCATATCCTAAATGTCTATGTATTATATTTTTTCTATTACTTCTCGAAGAACTGTCGCAGACAAAACTAGTCGTGCTTGTAATTGTTTCGAGAAATATTTTCATCGTGCCTCGTCGCCTAATATCGATATATCTCTAACGAAGATATTAACTATGTAGCAATACTTTCAAGTGATTTTTATTATTCTTTTCGTCAAAGTTGAAAATATTTTTTATTTAAAATTGAAATGAAGAAAATTTTTATTTGTAAAAATTGAATTAAATATGATAAAGAAATTATTCACTAGTTATTTTAATTTCTTTGAACAACTAAACAAATCTTTTTTGAAAGATTTATTAAAAGAAATGAGATGAAAACATTTTCATTTGGTTCAAACTCTTTGAAATCAACAATCAAATTTGAATTTTGTAGTATTTTAAATTTTTTTTTATTAATTTTTCATTGTATTTGAATCCTTGTTCATCTTCTCTTCAGTTCGGTGAAAATGTTCATTGATTTATTTTGAAATTTCAAATCAAACAAAATAAAATTGCAAGATGATAAAATTTGTTAATTTATTAAACAAAAATCTTTTCAGCATTTGTTTTGTTCCATAAAATTCATTTCATTTCTCTTCTTAGTTTTGACCAATTCTTAAATTTTATTAAATCGAAGAAACAAGAATATTTCATTGTTTTCATCAAATAAAGATATTCGAATGGAATTTTATCAAACATAAAACTTTCTTTTCGAAGAATCTTTATTTCATTTCAATTTAAATCACAAAATATTTTCTTTTCTTCTCTCTTCTCCTTCTATAAAATTAAACAAAAGCTGAAAAAATTTTAAACTTATTTATTCGGATCCACTAATCGAAATTATCATATTCAATTCATTTTTGAAGAAAACAAAACAAAAAGATTTTTCTTCGTTATTTCGTCAGAACATGTGTTTTTCTTCAAATTTTAACCGATTTTTTTCATTGATTTTTAACAATAAAACTTGACTCTATGTTTTATTTTTATTTCTCCATCTTTTATTTAACTAAAATTTTTTTCTTTTTTTCTCAAAATCAGAAATTCATTTACAAAATTATTTCAAACTTTAAAATTCGTTGATTAAAATAGTCAGTAACATAAAGATTTCCTTCATCATCAAAAGATAAACCAGTGGGAAAATGCAATTGATTTGATTGATTTCCTAAACCATTTCCACCAACTACAACTTCACCTTCTTCTTTTCCTTCACACCAACGCATTATTCGATGATTTTGACAATCTGCCACATAGATCTGACCCAAATCATCAACAGTTACTCCTTCAGGTTGAAACAACTGATTAAGATTTTCGCCTGCATCATTTCCTCCAGCGACAACTGTTCCTTCTTTTGCATCTTTTCTCCATTTCATCACACGGTGATTGTTCTGATCTGATATATAAACAGATTGATTATCATCAACAAAGATAAAACCTGGATAATTAAGTTGATTGAGTTGGTTTCCATTTCTATTTCCACCTGCTACTATAATTCCTTCATTGTCATATTCACCCATTTTCCATCGTCTCACTTCATTCTTCACACTATCCGAAACATAAAGAAATCCATGTTTATCCATTGCCAAGCCATGACAGTCAATATTGTCAATAAGAATATGTTGCTTTTGATTCAACCATTGAATTATCCGTCTGTTATCAGAATCAGCAATGATGATCGAATGGTCTTGCTCATCAACAATCACATCTGATGGAAAATATAACTGATCCATTCGGTTTCCTTCTTTATTTTCACCTGCAATGATTTGTCCTTCTTTTGGATTACGTTTCCATTCAACAATACGATGATTAGTATGATCAGCAATGAAAATATTTTTGTTTTTATCAATAAAAATTCCATTCGGATAATTGAGTTGATTTAATTCTTGTCCTTTTTCATTTCCAGCAGCCACAGTGATGGCATTTTGCTTCCATTTGTTGAATTTTGGTTCTAGAAAAGGATGAAAACAAAAGAAAAGATTTATTTTCAATGAAATTTACAAATATAGAACGTCTACTGATTTCAGTATAGTTATCAATTTGTTGAAATATCAAAGAATAAAATAGTAGAATAAAGATTTCTAATATAATCACGCAATTTTTAATGAACTCAAATCTAATCAAATTTATTCATATATTTGTCATAAAATATCAATATATTCTTTTTACATATTCATTTCTACTAAATTTTATTAAAAAGTGTTTTTTATTTACCAGTCATAGAAAATATCACTCTTCATTAATAAATATCAAGAAAAGAGAACTAGTTTTATTAAATAACTAAATTAATACTCACAAAAATAAAAATTCTGGAAATTCTCTTCTCAACAAACACCCTTCTATAATACTACACTCTGTAGAAAAGTTTATACTGTAAATAAATAGATGGAATTAATAACTCTATCATCTCTTTACGAATTTTCAGATCGAAATATAATTATCGAATTTTTGTTACACACCAAGTTAGAATTAATTTCACTAATAAATTAATTAATAAGGTTTTCGATGTTTTTTCCTTCTTCATCATTATAATTTTTCAACAATATCATAAAAAATGAGAATTTTTCTTTCGAAAACTATTTATTAAAAACTAACTTTTTTCTAATGAGATAATTGAAATTTCATTAATAAATGAGTGAGAATCTTGTTCGATAGACATATTTGACGGATTATTCAGTTCTTGATTCATTCTCATTAATTGATTTTTTAAGTAATTTAAATTAATTTCATTAAATTCATTTTCTTTTTGCATTTGTTTTATTTGTTCATTTAAATCATTAAATTTCATTTTAATATCATTCAAAAATGTTTGTGATGATTTAATGACAATTTCTCTACAATCTTTTGCTTTTTGTTTAATTTTTTCGGTGGAATTTGTTTCCCATTGATTAATTTGATCTATTAAAAAAAGATCATATGGGTTCGGTTTTTGTTCATTAATTCTATGTTTAAATTGATCATAATCATTAGTAATATGATATAATTCTTGATTTAATATGTGACGATGTTCTGTTAAATCCATTAAACAAAACTCTTTTGAACATCCTTTACAAGTAAATGTTATTTTCTTTTTATTGCATTTAAAACATTGTGTTTTGTTGTTTGCCATTTCTATATCTTTGAATATAAAATTAATAAAAGAAATGAATACCTTGTTATTAAATTAATAACTCAATGACAATAAAAGAATGTTTTAATGTAGATTTGGATGTAGGTAAAGATTAAACATATATAGATCTGCACTCATTCTCAAAATAGTTATTATGTGATATGCTTTTTTGCTCATTTTTTCGTATCATTACAAAAAACTAACTTACCTAAATGAAGCTATTTCAAACAATTGAATTTCTCAACTTGTGATATTTTTTTAATTATTTCGATATGAATAAGAATTCTGTCTGTACCACTTGCGAGCGAACAAATAAAATATTCGTTATCTACATCAACCACATATATAATAATATGGGTATTTTTCTCTCTTTTTTTTATATATATATGATCGTATCATATTTTTTTCTTCTGTTCTGTTGATTTCTCTCGCAATGAGTTATTTCCCAGTTATGAACAAACGCTTATCACATATAGCTATTTTCCCAGAATATATTCTATTGCGAAGATGAAAATAATTGAAAAAGTATAATCACCTTTCATCGTATAAATAGTCGCGTTTTTTTCTAAAATCAACGAACTATTGCTACACTTTCAAATATCATGTTTTTCTTCAACTTTCGATAAGACTGTAACTCCACTTTGTTTTTAATTAAATAGATTTTTAGAGTTTTATTCCGAAACAAGATCGAAGAGTACTATTTTTAACCAAAAATAAACTTTTAATATTTTCGTTTTGTTAATTGATAGAATTAAAAATGTCAAATGAGTTTTTCCATAGTAGAAAATCTATCGAAAATAAAACCATTGATAAATATAATAATTTAATTGAAAAAGAAAAAATATATCGAAATAAATAAAAAAAGATATACTTAATGATCTATTTCATAATCAAAACAAAGGTAGGAGATGATTACATTTTTCACCGACCACACCCTATTACAAATTAATAATACAAATGGTCGATTATCATCATTAGCATTGCCAACGAATTTTTTCTATTATTTTGATAATTTTATACATTTGTCCATATTTTATTGTAGTAAATTCATTAGTTTCTTGATTTTTATAAATAAGAAGTGGTGATAAATGAAGTAATTTATATGCATTTTCAATTAATTCATGTTTATGATTAATAGCTATTGAATTAAGATGACATCCAGAAAAACAGGTATTGAATGCACATTGAAAACAACAACAACGATTATCACGGTTTCAATTCAAATGCATGAGAATTTACTTACAATAGAATGTTGTATATAAAAATATATAAAAATGAAACTAGGAAAAAATTTGATGTTCATCAATATTGAATTAATTTAAACATATTTTAATTTTTGTAAACATAGTTTATGATAGGAATTGTTGTAATTAGATACTTAAAAAGATATTTACGCAGAACAAAATGAAAGTTTATATTTCATCCGATTTTGTTTGTTGTAAACTTTGAGATATTGAAATCTTGTATAGAACATTTATTCTAAATCGATTAATAAATTGTTTTTCGATTAAATAATTTCTATAATTATGAAAATACTCTGTTCAAAATTATAAATCATGTAAATAAGATCGAAACATTTATTGTATTATCAAAAGCACAAGACTATCTATCATAGAAAAATAACGAATTAACAATAAAATTCTAGATCGCTATCATCGAGATCTACCATCATCATCAATACCTTCGCCAGATAATATATATTATAAGACGTTTAGCTTTATCATGTAAATAAAAAACATTATGTGCTAATGTTTGTTGATTCATTATATGAAATTTTAATAATCATGTAAAATGATCAATTTAACTTGCCTATAATGAAAGATTTTGTTCAGGTAACATTTTTTATTATAAAATCTTTATCTAAATCTATAATATTAGATGAATAGTTGTACGACGTATGTTTGATGGATTATGACGATAGAATTTGTTTTCAATAAAATCAATCAAAGAAATAAAGATTAGAACGATTCAGTGCCGTACGAAATAATGAACCAGTACGTTTTAAATGAGAAAATGCATTCGATGTTGATTCAGATACTGATTGTTCATCACGGTGTAGATCATTTATAACAACTTTTGACTGATCTTCATGTCGTTCAAATAATGTAGAATAAGAATCAGATTTATATGGCGAATGAATAGTTGATACTAAATAAGAAGAAATGTTATACATATTTATTTATTTATTTATATACTTACTATTTTGCTGCTGAGGTAAACGATCAAAATTATAGATATTATTATCAATAATTGTACTTGTTTCATTCGATACAGGTTTTTCCCAAGTCGGATACTTTGTTTCTAAATATTGTGAATAATCAGATTTTAAACGTATTAAATGTTCTACATCGATATGTATTTGAGCTAAATTACGTTCTGCTTGTGTTATATCATTTAATAATTGTAAACTACGTTCTTTAGCACGTTGAGATTCTTGATTAAGTTGTGTAAAATACAATTGAATATGATCAATTTGTTGTTGTTTTAGTCGTGAATTAATACTTGATAATAATTGTAGTTTTTGTTCAAGTTGAATACGCTCTTCTTCACATTTTAAAATTTTTAAACGTAACTGTACACGCTTTTTATAATAATCCGCTAGTACAGATGACATCTCTTAATTTTTGTTCTTTAACAGAAACGATTACAAGGGAAAAAAAGAAAAGATTTAATTTACATACATATATGATGTTACAAGATAAAAAGCAAAACGATTGCTCACATTCTTACCTTTCTTTTTTATTATTTTTTTTTCTTTAAGGATATCAAGAGTGGCCGTTATGCTGCCATAATTTGACAGAGAAAAAAGAAGCAGAATAGATTTGATTCAGCGATTTAAGAAGGAAAAAAAAGAAGCCATTCTATTAGTATAATATTGCTAGAATAACTATTCTCATTTAACGGTAGACTGAAAACTGTTGTACTATATGCTGTATTTATTTTTATCAAAAATGAAGATAATTATTATTTTCCATGACTATTGCGTTGATATAATGAGAAATTTCTATATTTGTTTGTTAGAGAAATATCTTTTGTGAAAGAAAAATAAATATTTTACAGAGAAAATTTTGTGATTTATATTTAAAATTTTAAATATGAATAAATTCTTTCAGCTTATTTTTCAGTTGTTAAAATTGAGTGTGAGGGTGCATCTTCAGTCGAGTCATTCTCACACCCACCCTCAAGTTTGGAAATAAAGAAGAAATATTGATTATTGATGAATGAGTCGTCGCCAACGTCTAAATGATTCTTGAAATGTTTTTCTGTACAAGGCTGAAGGAAGGACAAAGACAATAAAGATAAGCATCGATGGAGTAAATGAAATGAAATAACCAAAAATAAATAACAATCGATGGTTAGATGGATTGACACATTCAGATAACATTGACATAATCAGACGGGGCAAGGACAGAATTAGAAGAATAACTGGACTAATTAATAGTTGCTTGTGTTCATTAAATTGATTATAAACATGTTCTCTCAGAGTTTGTCTTGTCTGAGCTGTTGATCGTTGTCGAGCTGATCTGAATATGATGAATAAAGCAGAACAAAGATTGATAATACATGGGGCGACAAGATGAAAAAATAAGATGATTGTATTGTATTGTTGAACAAAAGAAGAATAACGAGTTATACACCATCTATCGATATCTACTTTATTCGTCTCTGTCTTTATCTCATATAATTCTCGATATATAGGTTCGTGAATGATTGAACCCATGACACAGAATGGTAAAATAAAAATTATCCATCGAGCTATGCGTTGACTTTTCTGTTTATTGAATTTGATTCCTTTGAAAACAAGAATCGCTCTTTCAATAGCAACACAAGCATTGAGCCATGCATCCAAATATAGACAAAGCTTGAGAAGAGGTTCAATCGATACACAACCTCCTCGAACAACAGAAACATGAATCGATAGATTCATTTGAGTGAGAACAACAAACCAAAACTTCACTGTAAACATGCTGATTGTAAGAAAAGAAGTAATTGATGATGCTAAGAGATAAATACCACATCCAACTTGTCGTAGATCTTTACTTTGAAATGTTATCAGAGACAAAATACTATTAATTAAACCTCCAACAAACATAATCATTGTTAAAGCGGCATTGATTTTCACTAATATTGTTTGGTCAGTCAGTGCCATGTTCGATCGAATTTCGTCACGTAAAATATCATCGAGAGTAACACCAATGCTTTTTTTGTAAAACTGACACTTTTGCCCGATGAAACAGGTGGTCTGAATTTGAACTGAAGAAAGAAATACATGGTCATCAAGAGATGAGATCAATCTTTCTCAACTTAACAAAGTTATATCAGCATAAGTTTATAAGTAACAATAGTTTATGAAAGTCATTTGTCTATACATGACATGTCTTGTCGAGATTGGATTTCCATATTGCTGTTTTCTGCTCAATGTCTCATGATGAATTTATTCATTTTTGTGAAGATGTTTCTGCATATGAACTGAATAGATTTTCAAACACTGCAAAGTAATAAAATCTCAGACAGTGTGAAATCACTAAAGAATAGGCCTTTTGGATTATAATGTTGATTCGAGAAGAAAATTTGCCTTGTACAATCAATCTAATCACGGCTAAGCTACAATACTGAGAGTTAACCTTCTTTGTTTGGAAGAAAATTGTCCATTTTTAAAAGAAGGAGTTCTGATGTGATCCTGAATTTTGACAATAATTCTATTGAATTATACAATCTATTCGAAATTCTGAGGTTATTTATTTCTGAAGAGTGAAAATGGAGTTCAGTGGGATGTTATAATTCTCTGTTAATGGTTTACAAATAATACAAAATACTTACTGTAAGGATCAAAAGTAATGTTATTTGGTCCAGATGTTAGAATGGAAAAGTTTCCTGTCATATTTGGAGAAGAAGTTGTCACTACTAATATGTATTTCGTGTCAGTGTGGAGACAAGCGATGAGCTTGAAATCTTGATGACTACAGCTTCGGTAATTCTGTGAGAGTAGATTCTCGAAAGGATTCATTGGATTGAAATCATCCTTGTAAATATTACCAAATGTATCCATACTGCTAGTACTACTCAGAGCATAGTATTCAGTTTCCATGACATTCATTCGTATAGTCTGATAGTAATAATTTGATTTTCGACAATCTCGAGAAAATGTTTGACTATTTTTTGTCAGCTGTAATGAATATTTTGATTGTACAGCATCTGAATATGATTTTTCGATGACTGATGGGTAACCTATGTGATGAAAATAGAAAAGCAGTCGAGATTCGTGATAGATCTAGATTGACTGAAAGAAAGACGAATCCTCTGGATGTAAGAAAGAAAGCTGAACATTATAAGCCATCTCTTATATACCCAGAATATCGAAAGGCATGCCAAAATTGAGGTAAGAAGTTTAAAGAGAAGGTTCTTTATAGTATTGTTCTCAATGGAATTATTAAGCCGTAAATGGAGAGTGAGAATAGAATCTATAAACATTTTTTATACCCGAACCCTCATTAATGTATGTCACGAATGATTTTGAAATAACTTCTTTCTTTCCAAAATGGATAATGTCCCAACATTTTAAATAAGAAAAGTGGTTTATTTATAGTCTAATTCTCCTACTATTGTAATTTACCCAAAAACTTAAGTATGTAAAGATATTTTTTAGATTCATACAAAGTAAAAATATATTTATATATTTTATATTTAAATTGTATGCATATGTTTACGACATTTTTTTATCATAAGAGCATTAAATGATAGGGCATGTTGTAACAAAAAACAAGTTTTTTTTCCATTTCATGGTCACGAGCAGGAATTCATGCCGATTTCTATATTATTCACATAAGATTAGTGATCGATTGAAACGCGTCTGCATTTAAGGACATTGATCTGATCCTATTCACAATATTCTGTTATCTCATGGATTTAATGTAGCTGTTTGTGTAAAGCTTTCTGCTTATAGTACAAATCTCATCTTACAAAACAAGTTTTCATTTCTGGATATGTCAAACTCAACTAAATACTCATACTAACGTTGACAGATACTCATTTAATAGTTGTAGTGCAAACACTTACTAATACTCTTGAGATCAACATTATTTGGACCGGATACAAAGATCGAGAATTCACCTATCACATCAAAACCATGCGCTGTCACAACCAATATATATGTAATACTGGTTTCAAGAGTAATTGTGAATTTAAACTGATTTGGTGCACAGCTGTCATCATCGTGTACGAGTCGATTTTGATCTGGATTAGATGGATTGAAAAAATCTTTGTAAATAGAGCCGTATGTGTCCATATCGCTTTTGCTAAGGAAAGTGTAAAGACCATTTCTACGAATATTCACTTGTAGCGCTTCATAGTAAGAACTTAACCGCCAACAAAGACTTAAATACGTTGAACTGTTCCTTGTCAAATTTGATGCATAAACTGTTTGAACAGCTGATGAAGTATTTACTAACGAAAAAGAAAACCGATTCTATTTTGTATAACATGGAAATAAATATAAACAATTTAAAATATTACTTTCTCTCAAATATATTTACCGAAGGCGACTGGAAGTCATATGAATCTTATTCTCTATCGAACAGAAATATATGTATACCATTTTTTAGATTGAGTTAATCTATATTTTCTACCGATGATGAATAAATGTAGCTGATTATCTATCAAAATACTATAAATACTCACAAATACGATTGAAACCGATACAGCTTCGACCGGATCCTTGAATTGAAACGTTTCCTGTTATATTCGGAGAAGATGCTGTCATAACGAAAACGTATTTCATATTAGCCTCAAGAATAGCTGTGAGTTGAAATTGACTTCGATTACGAGAGTCTCCATTATTGCTGAGAACATTTTTGAACACATCGAATGGATTGAAGTTATTTGTGTAGATATAAGCGTACAAAGTTTTCATCTCGCTCCTGATTAGAAAAGTATAATATCCAGTTATGGTGACATTCATTTGTATCGCTTCATAATACGAATCTAACTCTGAACAATTTTGAAAATATATTGAACTATTTGGTGTCAATAATGATAAATGCATTGATTTTATTAGTAATAATGAGTTATCTATTGAATGAAAAAAAACCAATGAGTATTTGCATTTAGAATAAAGAAAAGAAATGATTGTGTATATTCTTAGTTTGCTTTTCACTCTGTTTACTAATGAGAGTTGAATCGGTTGTTTTAGAGCAATGCTTTTCATAGAGAAATGAAGAAAAACATGAAATAAAATATCTATTTAGCGTCCTTACAATCCGCATATTCTTTTCAAGAGACACCGTTATAATTACAATAAAGAAGTGTTATAAAATCTCGTATACAAAAAAGAGTATGATACTGGTTTAAGAAAGTCTAGTATGTCATAGACTTACAATTTTATGACTTCTTCATTATCATCTAACTTTTCTTTTATAAATATAATGCAGAACATTAGTTTTTTTTGTCGATATCACTAAGCATAACAGTAGACTATCTGATGAAACTATTTCATAATGTTCTAGTCAATCTAAAAGTATAATATGACATCATCAAGAAAATGTCGGTTAGACGTGACATTCAATCTTAACAAATCAAAATATTCTGATATTTGATCCATTGTTAAAATATTACAAGAGCAACTCGTTAATTATTTGTTATTCTAATAAAGTGTCTCTTGAATAACCAGGTCAGAATGGAACTTTTTCCTTCTTCTCGTTGTTGGCAGTTTTCTGCGAAGACACTGACCTATGTTTAAACCTCACTTCCTCGTGATAAGCATGATTCTATTCTCGTTCGTCAACCAAAACCATGACTGCAAATACAACATAATCGTTTTCTCATCTCAAGAGTAAAGGTGACATTCTGAATCTTTATGACTGCGCCACGAGTTGTGGTTAACATTCGAGCATAGGGTCATTTCTCTCTCTCGTGACAGATATTTTATATCTACGAATTTCAAAGCACATTGAACAACTATACGAAACGACTTTTGTTGATTTCAAGGCAATTTACAAAACTTGTTTTGTTCTGAAACATGGAATTCGACGTGAGAAATTTTTCTTCAAATCGATATTTACTTCGAAATGGTTTTAGTCCAATGAAAATTTTACTTCTCATGGGTGTCTTACGTTTCATAAAATCATTGTGTTCATTATTTTCTACAGTCAGTAGCGGCAAGTGAGCGCAGATAATGGTGAATCAAAAAACTTAATAAAAAAAGTTCAACAAAAAGGGCTGAATTTATCTCTAACTTTCCTACTAAATACATAGACATTCTAACTTCCATCTGTATTATGCAATTAACATGACGATAATTTTATCGATTGACTTTTGTAGAGAAATATGAGTAAGCAAAGTTTTTATTTTATAGCAATAGTATATTAGGATGAAACTTGAAATTTCAGTTTAGCTATTGAATAATTCAGTTCGAATTCCATCAGAAGTTTCGTTTTCATCTTCATATTCTATGATAGTTTTTCTTATTAATTCTCTGAATAAATATTGATCGAAATGATATTAGAGGCTTTATTCGATCATTTTAAACTTACTACATGATTCTTCGAAATATTGAAATTTTTGAATTCGATGATTTTCTCCATCAGTAACAAACATGTTTCCAGAACGATCGAAACTCAAACTAGATGGATGATTTAATTGATTGGATTGTGAACCTCTTTCATAACATCCAACTAAACATCGAAAACCATTCAAGTCTGAGCCCACAATGCGATGATTATTCTGATCTGCAATGAATAAATATTTCTCAGCATCTAATATGATTCCAGTTGGACAACGAAGTTCAACCGTTAGATCTGGTATTAAATATTGCCCGGCTACTGTGATACCATTTGATTCACCTGACGGGAACAGCTGAATTCGATCATTTCCACAATCCGCCACATATAAATCCAAATTGACATTGACAAATATTCCACGAGGATAATTAAGTTGATTCGAAGCTGATCCTACACTGCCTGTTCCAGCAGCAACACGATTTGAAGTCATCATAGAATCATTTAATGATCTTTTCACAACTTGATGATGGTTAGACATTGAACAATAAAGAGTATCATTGATATCGATAAACAAACCATAACATGATGAGTTGACATTCATCACGGTGACAAAGATGTTTGTTTTCGGTATCCATTTCTGTACTCGGCCATTCTCCTCACCATCATCAATATAAATATTACCATTCGATGTTACGAAAAGAGACGACGGTCTTGTAAAATTGCCAGAAATGATCTTTGTTGGATTGACACTCTCTTCATGCCAAATTACAATTGTGTTATTTTGTCGACTGGCAACATAGATTGTGTTGTTTGTGCTCACAAAAATGGCGCTAGGATATTCACCAACAATCGATTGATTAGCAATGGTAATTCCGTTGAAATTCCGAACGGCTGTTGAACAAAATTTTGGTTGATTATATGAAAGAACTAAAAACAAGAAAAATAGAAAGAATATTAGAGAAGAACTTTAAACGAAATAAAATTATTAATTTATATATTCGTAGAAGAAAAATAAAGTTTCTTGAAAGTGATTTTTCATGAAAACATATACAGATATTTTTGTTAACATTGATTTTAGAATTGATTTTTATTAATTTTTATATAAAATATGAATTGCAATATTATTAAGATATTTTTGTGTAAAACATCGATAAATGATCATTTTAGATAAAAAAGTTTCTTGTTAGTTTTAGTTAAAAAATCTTGAGGAAGATCTGAATTGAATAAATTGTATGAACGAAAATAGTTGAATAAAAGAAATTATTTATTTGAAGAAAAATAATTAACAGAAAAGAAGAAATTTTTATCAATCAAATTTCTGTCTTTCGAATTTTGAACGTTTCATTCGATTTTCTGGAGTGGATTTTAATTATCAGGCTGGTTTTTTTTGAAATAATTCTACAGAGATGTCATTTCAGATCTTATTTTGAATTATTTATTCAAACACAAATTTCAATTTTCAAACATTTATTCAAAGTTTCTCAAACTTTTTTCTAATAAATATTTAAAGTTAATTTAGAGAAGAATAATGAAGAGAAAGACGCTACATGTCCATATGTTATCTCAGTTGTCTATATTATTGGGAACATAACTCGATTTATCTTAGTAAATTTCATTAAGACATAAAAATAATGCCACCACAAGTCATATCGGTACTGAATGGAAACGGAAAAACAAATGAGAGAAAAAATATAATTTTTTATGATCCGCAAAAAGCCTTCTTATCTCCCTACAAATGTCCTTTGTACAAATTATCGTACGAACATTTTTTATTTGAAGAAATTTCAAAGGTCCATTAAAGATCACAATATCTCGGCTTTGGTCATTATAAATAAAACAAATCTTTTTGTGTAATTTTAATAATATTTTTCAGATCTGAATGTTTTTCCTATGATGTAAAGAATAAAACAAGAAAATCTTTATTTTCATGTGAAAAGAATAAATAATTCTGTTAAAACGAACCTAATCATTAGCTAAACATCTCCAAGAAAAAGTGAAATAAATATTTGTAAAACTAACAAATCTTTTATCAATGAGAGAACCTTTTTCTTATTGAAGTTTAGAAATGTGAGCAAAATTTTGTTAATTAACTTATATAAAATTTTCGTTTCAAGAACAATCTCGAATAGATTTGATCGAAAATCAACTTTTCTTATTGATCATCTTAAATTATGAATTTGATTAAACAAATAAATATTTTTAATCAAAATCAACTCAAGAGATTTTATTTATTATAGAAAATATTCTTTGTTTTTAATTATAGAAGTAATAATAACATATACATATTTCATTCGCAATTACATATATCACATTATAGATTGACTTAAACTATTCAATATTATTCTCTGAAATTAAATATTATAATAATTATCCAAAGAACAGATCATCGATCAAACATTACTTAATGAGAAAATTCATTTTCTATAATATTTCATATTAAAATCTCTCTCTCTCAAAGAGAAACACAATGACTAAATTCATCCTGCACAAAAAAAGAAGAAACACCAGTTGTTAGAGTTGTGATATTTTATGTTTTTTGAATCAAACATATCGAAATATGAAATATGAAATATGAAGTGAAATATAAAAGCCCTTTCTATTACTCCGTTAAGGAAAAAACTTTTTCTTTCTCTATTCTTTACACTCAACAAAAAGGCGAGGATTGTTTGCGTTAGACACATGGTTCTCTCTAATCTGAACATTTCATTTCCTTGAATACATCCTTTTACACATCGATTTAATTAACCTTTCTCAACCATTTTTGTTTCTTTTGTTGTTTATATTGAAATGTCTTTATTAAATTCTGTAATTTATCTATTCACATTTCTTCGTTTAATTCAAATTTTCTTCAACTTACCAAAAGAATCTTGCATCAGTAAAAATTTCTGAATTCGATGATTTCCTATATCAGTAACAAACATGTTTCCCGAACGATCGAAACTAACAGTATATGGACTATCCAATTGATTGGATTGTGAACCTCTTTCATAACATCCAACTAAACATCGAAAACCATTCAAGCTTGAACCAACAATGCGATTATTGCCATAATCCGCAATGAATAAATATTTCTCAGCATCTAATATAATTCCACATGGCCGAAAAAGTGTAATTGTTGGATTTAGTGATGTATCACCAGCTACTGTGGTACCATTTGATTCTCCCGACTGGAACAACTGAACACGATTATTAAAACCATCTGCCACATATAAATCCAAATTGACATCGACAAATATTCCACGAGGATAATTAAGTTGATTCGAAGCTGATCCTACACTGCCTGTTCCAGCAGCAACACGATTTGAAGTCGTCACAGCATCGTTTAATGATCTTCTTAATACTTGATTATGGTTAGACATTGAACAATAAAGAGTATCATTGATATCGATAAACAAACCATAACATGATGAGTTGACATTCATTACCGTGACAAAGATATTTAATTCTGCTATCCATTTCTGCACTCGATCATCATCATCAATATAAATATCAGCATTCGATGTCACGAAGAGAGAAGTGGGATCTGTAAAATTACCGTGAATGATCCTTGTTGGATTGACACTCTCTTCATGCCAAATTACAATTGTGTTCTCTTCTTCATTAATGACATAGACTGTGTTATTTGTGTTCACAAAAATGGCGCTAGGAAATTCACCAACAATCGATTGATTAGCAATGGTAATTCCATTGGAATCCCAAGTGGCTGTTGGCGAAAACTTTGGTTGATTGAATGAAACAGCTAAAAACAAGAAAAATAAAAAGAATATTAGAGAAGAACTGTAAACGAAATGAAATTGTTACTTTATGTTTTTTTCTTAGAAAAATTCACTAAGATTAATTTTGAAAAGATTTCTATAATTGTTCTATTTTCTCGAATGATTTGTAAATATGAACCAAAAGAGGGCTGAATTCACGGAAGAAGATCAACTTTATTTATTGATTTGTTTTATTGGAAAAGAAAAATAATTATGTTCGATCCTTGAAAAGATATGATTATCACTGAAGGCAAGAAAACTATCAAATAACGTTTTTTTATTTGTTCAACGCAAATGAATTCAAGGGAAGAAAAAAGAATTGTTTTTCACTGATATTAATCTGTTAATCTTTTCTTTTTCTGATTTCGATTTCATCTGTAAAGTCAATTAATCATTTTTTTCCATATATTATAATACGATATGATGAAATAGATTTCGTTCTTTTCTCTTAAGTCTCATTCTCATCTCAAGATCTTAACGAATAATGTCATTTTTGTGCAATAGCTGATCTTGAATATGTGATAAATAAAAGTATTTACCTGATGTTTCATTGTTGAGAATGAACAGAAGAATAGTGATAAATACATAGATATTCCACATCATTCAACAAGATTTTGTTTTTAATAAATCAGTTAACTAATAAAATGATCTTCTTCTTCTTCTTTGTCTTCGATGAAAACAAAATGACACTCGTTGTAGATTTTCTCTCTAGTTATATATCTCTCTTTCTCTCTCTTTTTCTCGCATTCATTTCTTCCAAGAAAGCACAAAGAGAAAAAATAGTGTTGTAAAGAAGGTTTCGTTTTAGGTAAGATAAAAAATTGATGGTTTAATTTGATATTTTTCATTAAATTTCATTCTTTTCGAAATCTGAAAAAAACAAAATGGAATTTAAATTCGACATGATCTTTTTTTGATTTCATAGAAAATCTTTGATCTTAGTGAAGAAGAACGTGATAAAGAGAAAAGAGAGAATTGAGCAAAATCTGCATTAATCATCGGACGTGTTTTAATTTAAATAAGATATCAACTATCATCATCAATAAATGACTGACGTCAATAAATAAATCATGATCAGTTTGATGTCTTTTTGTTGTTTGAGTCGGTTAAATAATTTGCTTTGTCAGGATTCACTTTTAATCTCGTTCTTGGTTTCTCTATGCGCAATAAGTACTTTTGTGAAGTTTCATTCTTTCAGTATTTCGATCTGTTTTCGAATAAAATTTATCAGATATATAAAAAAAATAGAATTATTCGTCACGGGTGCGCCTGTGGGTGTTTTTTTCTTCTCTTACCTACACCGACACCCACCCTCACACATCTACCCTCTCTCATTTATTTCTTCCAGCACAGCATACCAAGAGAAAAAATAGTATTCTAGAGAAGGTGTCGTTCGTCGTAAGTAAAATAAAAAAATTGATTTTAGAGTGGATCAATGAACAAAATTGATCATTTGATCTCATTCTTTTCGAAAGTCGAAAACACAGTATGGAATTTAAATTCGAAATAATCTTTTTCTGTTTTTGATTTCATAGAAAAATATTTGAGTTTATTGAAGAAGAACGTGATGAAGAGAAAAAAGAATTAATCATAATTTATATTAATCATCGGACGTGTTTTCAGTGAAAGTAAAATATCAACTATCATTGTCAATAAATCATTGATGTCAATGAATAAGTCATGATTAGTTTGATATTTTTTTATTTGACTCTGTTAAATAATATACTTTGTCAGGACTCACTTTTAATCACGTTCTTTGTTTCTCAACGCAACGATGATCTTTGAGAAAAGTTTCATTTTTTAAATACTTCGATCTTCAGGGCATGCGTAGGTGTGGGTGTGAGTGTGATTAGCTTTATTTTTATTCCACACCCACACCCACACCCGCTCCCACACCCACACTCACACCCACACCCTTGTTTGGAATCTTTTCTTGAAAATTTTTATATTTATGATTTAATATTTAAAACTGATAAAACTCTAATATATGAAAATCAATTCGAAATATTATTTTAATTGATTAAGCAATTAAGAAAGTTATGAGTATAGATATGACAATATCATGATCAGCTGAAACCTAAACTCACACGTCTCAGGATGGTTTATGTTTATCTTTCATACGTACACTTAGTAAGTTAACAGGAAAAAATCCATTCAAATCAATTTTTCATCTCTTTTCTAATATGAGTATCCCTTAAAAAGTTTTCGCGTAAGTCATTATTCTAGTATTTTAAAAATAGTAGAAAAATTTGATATAAAGAAAAAAAATGCATATGACTTAAAATTACTATAAGTAAAATATCCACTACATGAGAAAAAAATGATTGGAGTAGAATGAATCGATATGAAAGAAAAACAAAAATCAACAAGCAAGTATACAAGTAGAAAGGAAGTGTTTATGCACACATATGTCTACATAAGTAACGGCTATCTGCGCACAGGTAGGCATAAGCATGTTATTATTTTATGTATTTTTTTTATTGGTATCAACTAAATGTCTTATCTGTCGAATAATTCTATTTAACTCCGTATTATGTTGTATTTTTAATATAAAATTTCCAACATCAATTAAATTTTGGTATAGGAAACGATTAAAGAATTTTTTCATTGTATTTCGTTAAAGCATGTTTTATACTTTCTCTGATTGACAACACTCAGAGAACAGAAAAATATCAAAAATGTTATCTATTTCATCATCAGCGATGCTTTTTTGTTCGTGTTTTTCACACAAAAGTCATCATTTTTTATTCCCTAAGTAGTTAATGTACCAGTTTTTCAAATTCTTCTTTGAATTGTTACTAACTATCGAATATTTTCACAAAGAAAGAATGTTTATCTTGATCGATTTTTCTGAATGAAGAATTACAATAAACACGAATAAATCCTTACATTTAAATATATCAGTAAAATCAACTTTGTTTTGTAGTAGATGTTGAGGATGATTATGACAGCCTTTTTAATGATGTAATAGTATTCCTTTAGTAGGATAAATGAGATTATATTAAGACAATTCATTTCATTTTATTTATAAAAGCATTGAGAAGTTCAATAAAGAAAAGAGTAAAGCGAGGACTAATTAATTTCTCTTAACGAAGCTGACGTTCTCAGATTGTAATCTGCAAGACTTTTCATATTTTGAAACGTTCGACTTTTTGAGGTAACTAAATAAGAAAAAATAAATTAAATTTTTCGTTTTATAACTATTAGACAGAAAAAATGATATAATCGAAAGAAAAGAAAAGCATTGATACTATAGATAACGTTGATTTATTCCGTTGAAAGTAATGGATCTTTATTTAACTTAATATTTTTCAATAATTGTGTAATTGTACTACTTAATTTATACTTCATTTTGTATGTAATAAAGAATTAATAAAATAAAATAATTCGAAAGATAAGACATTTAATTCATATTTATAAAGAAAGACATTGAAGACAATAACATGACTATACTTATCTACGTGTAGAGTGTGAGTGCGGGTATTGTATTCTTTTGTTACCCACACCCACGTTCTCAAGAGAAAAACCTTCCATCACATTAATAAATAGATTTATACTTAGTCTACGATCAATTATGATCATTTCAACCGGGTACACTACTTAAGTCGTCCGAAGAGCCCTCTCTAGCCAAGATGAAATCCTGTTAACAATAGCTATACACACACACACACTCTCTCACGATTCAGCTAATTATATTATATTGCAGGACAAGAAATGAACTAATCATTGAAGGAATTATTGATCATTTCAAAAAATATCCAGCCACATCTATATTCAGTCCGACTAAATACCCAGTTAAGTAGGACTGGTACATACTTGGCTATCCAGAATCAATAAAAATAACCTATTTTCACATTGATCAAAATACTGATACGTATTATGCTGCTGCAGTGTTATCAAAGAAAACATAGACTTGCTGGCAAAATGAATTTATTAAAGGAAAAGAAAAACCACTGTGCTGCATTGAAGCATTTGACAATGTTTTAAAACTCTGTGCCCAATGTTTTTGTCTGTTTACATGAATCGATGAAAAGTTTATACATTAGATTAGCAGAGAATCATATGAATGGAACCTCATCCGGATGAGTTTGACTGCCAAATAATTGTAGTCGCATTATCAACCCAAATAAGATTGCCACTGTCCAGTATTTTTAGACAAAACGGTAGACCCGTTCCATTGTTGTATACGTTTGGACTCCAAAGCACACTTCCACTAGCTGTGCAGATAGCTAGATTTCTGTCGCCTTGTACGCTTAAGTAAGCATCCGCTGGTGTCGATAATTGACTGGCAGTCCAAATTGATGTGGAAGTAACGTTGCCATAGGCGTAAGCTTGATAGACACCAAATTGGTTGTTACGCATACCAGCTGCGTAGAGCTGTTGAGTAGGAGAATAAATGAATTGACTGTTATTGAGGCTGGCAAGAGCAGCATAAGAACTTACACAAATAGTAGTCGGGATTGCTAGAATAAGAAGGTAAAAACATGAGCTACTAATAGTCTGATAAAACATGGTGACGAGTTTTGAAACTGAGACAATAGTCAATTCGGCGCCGATTTTTATGTGTTGATATGTACTTCAAGTTGTCCTCTTACATATCTGTAGTATGGAAAACCGTACTATCAAAGAATTTGACAGTAAAAGTCAAGTTCGATTCGAGAACTCTTGTTTTTATAATTCTAACTCCGCAGGAGTTGAAATTGATTTTCGGATTGTGATATATTTCGTTATTGTTAACTGATAAGAAAATGCAATTAACTTAGAAAGAAAAGTAGGAACATCGAAAGTATGCTAGTTCTATACCGAGTAATGGCTCCAAGTTCACATTTCTGTGACTGAAAAAAAATCACTATTACGTCTGACACGATCTGATTTCCATCTGAAATTACATTGTGAAAAACAAATCTCACTTCTTGTTCTCGAGTTAGTGGTAGTAGTAGAAGCTGTGGTAGTGCATCAAGATGCGGCTTAAACAAGTCTTAGATCCCTACGAACTTTAAAAACTGCTGTAAGTGCAGATGGTCTATAAGGCACATTTTTCTCGTGCGAATAGTATTTATAATGATTATCTCTTTGTTTTGATTTGCTATTTAATGTTAGAGCTTATTATTCTAGGATTCAACTGTGAGTAGTTCATACCTAATCTCTATACATCAGTAATAAAAAACAATTCATGGAAACGTTAATAGCTGTTTAGTTTTTACTGGTAACTATTATTGCTGACATTCTTGAAGAAAACATCTTCAAAGCCTTAATTAATATTGAGTGGAGACGATGGCACTCGTCACTCTCCAAGATTGCATCTAATTCTGGCTAGAATCAGCTATTGGACTTTCAAAGATTAGATCGTTATGAATGATATGACTGTTCTTAAATTAAACTATTATTAACAGTTTACTTGTATTAAATGTGTATGTTACAAATAATGTTCTATACAACTCTTTGAAATTGATCACTACATATTTGACGCATATTTAGTATACTTTCGTTATCTTAACTTATTTGTAGACAAAAACACAATTTATTGACCGCATTGATAAGTAAGAGCAGCAAAATACATTCTGCGATCTTTGATTCTCATATGCATCCTTTATGTATATTCCTCTAAAACAACTGGCAACAGTTTTATTGGCGAAATACAAAAACCCCATAGCTATCTCTCCTCATTCACTCATGATCATAACTACCTTGAACGATGTTATCATGAATAACTGAAGTGACCGCTATAACGTCTATTATGTTAATATCTTCATTTTTAAAAACGAAATAATCTTACAATAACATCACACAAAACCGGATAGATTGTGTCTGATCAAGACTTCGCGCACTTTAGCTGAGGCACCCAGGAAAACATCACACTCTACTAAGCCAAACAGAACATACTCTCTAAAGTTATTTATACAGATGAGCGATACTTCACAGCCAGAACTAAAACGTCTCGATAGAGATGAATGAAATCATTACTATCGTACAGGCAACTACAAAACACTTTGTAAATTACTCACATATTGTTGTGGTCGTAGACGTTGTTGTTGTTGTTGTGGTGGTCGATGTTTTTGTAGTAGTTGTTGTTGTTGATGTTGTTGTAGTTGAGGCTGTTGTTGTAGTTGAGGTTGTTGATGTTGTTGCAGTTGAGGTTGTTGTTGATGTTGTTGAGGTTGTTGTTGATGTTGTCGTAGTTGTTGATGTTGATGATGTTGTAGTTGTAGTGGTTGTTGTAGTTGAGGTTGTTGTTGTAGTTGGGGTTGTTGATGTTGTTGTAGTTGAGGTTGTTGTTGATGTTGTTGTAGTTGAGGTTGTTGATGTTGTCGTAGTCGGTTCTAGTTTACGAAAATGGCATTAGTATGAGGCTAAAGAACTTGATAAAGTTCTGCTTATAATCTAATATTTGCCTCATTTCTAACAATATATATATAGGATGTGGATGTGAGTGTAGCAGTGAACAACAACTGCCCATACACTCATGCCCACACTTTTCAAATACTGTATATACTTCTCATTGATTAGAACTTAATATAAATTGAGAAGCAAGATAAACTGTTATTTGCAATATCTACTACTACCGAGGATGAATTATACTAAACTCATTATTTCTATCAGTTAGATCCTTACACTAATTAATGTAGTTGATACACTACAAAACATATTTGTCTAATCTAACTTAAACTAGAAACAAAGCGCAAAAGGAATCATCGACGCTGTCACTTGCTTTATAATAAAACGTTTCTCTGATCTATTCATGCTTCCTTATTAATTCGGAAAATGACGAAGGTTTCATTGTAAAGTTAAGAAAAGAAAAAAAGAAAACGTTTCTTCAACATTCATTATCTATTATAAGTAGTGAATGAGCAAAAAAAATTTTGCTTCCTTCCTTTTCTTAATTGTGAATTGAACTCTCCTTAATTTATTATTTCTATATCAACTGGTATGAATGTATGCATTAGTTTTCTATTTTATAGTTTATATTCGATATTTCCGATGCTACAACGACGATAAAAAAGTGAATCATTACATGACCCATCTCCATACATATTCCTAATTAATAAGCTAATTATGAATAAAGCTTATCAAAAGAAGAAAACATTTTTTTCTCTCAAATATGTCATATGATTTCCTTCGAGATCTACTATATTCATACTGACCAGATGGAGATCGTGTCCCCGCAATAACAATCATAGTAGTAATGCCGATATCAGTCACCATGTGTGCAATTTCATTTGACATATCAGTAAATAATTCACAATTAGAAGTTGATCGATGAAAACTGGCTGCTCTACAATAAATTTGAGCTAAACAAGCCATTTGACACTTCATAATAGTCGACGTAATGAGATTGAGAAATGGCAAACATGTTGTATTAGCACAATGAAATTTCCACTCGCGCATTGAAGACATTCGGACTGATCGCATATCTTGTCCAACCGAATGCGTAATTATCATAAATACAAGCCATAAACAAATTCTTTTTGAAGCCATTACCAAGTAAACTGCAAGTTGATGAAATGAATTTAACTGTGAATAAAAAGAAAAAGAATCTGTTGAGCGATAAAAACTATTTTTTTTCTTCTTTTTTTTCTCTCTTTTTTTTTCATCTCATCCGTCTAATGAAAAACTAGTCATGACTTTTATTTAATTTTGTAAAAATACATCTTTTTGAAAGACGATTTTTCTTTGTTGATATGTTACTTAGAAACAAATATACCCACAAACAGAACATTTTTTGTTATATAGAAAATATATAAAGATGAAAAAATATACAAAACAATCGGCTCAGTAAAAATTGGATTTGACAAGAAAATATTCATTATTTAGTTGCAAATAAAGTTTTTCTTATAAAAACAAGAATTATTTAATTAGAATTTAATTCATTGTGTTTATGAATAAATTAAATCGTTATTATCAGTCAACTCTCACGCCATTCATATAGAACAAAGAAAACTGAATAATCCTCCAAACTCAAACGCACTGGATTTAGATCTTTCAATTGACTCTAACACGGAGTATGGAAACATTTTTAAAACGTTTCTTTTGTTATTCTGTATTGCTCTTTCTATTCTTCAATTTTTGATTGATAGAAGATATTATGACTTGTCATTCAATAGATAAACATATTTTTCTTCATCACTATAAAAATGATCCAAACAGTTGAGATCTATATCTATGTATGATAGTGTTCATGAATAACAAAACATCGTATTTATTAGATAAATCGAAACAAAAAGTATTTTTAGTATTCCAAAGTTAGTGAAATAATTGTTTATCATAATAACACGTTCAAAATTCTCTTCTTTCTCAATGAAAAACATTCATTCAGTAAATGTTTGCCTTATCTTTTTTTTGTTTCTTTCATTTGTATGTTGCTATGATGTATTATGTATTCTGTATGTAAAAGAAGAAAAAATTAGTTGGAAAGTCTTTTCGATTTTTATTCTAAAAAAACGATGGAAACAGTCAGCTTGTGACAACATCTACGCCTGTTATGATCACAATAATAATAACTATATTGCTGCACAAAAGAAAAAGTATATCTAAATAAATAATTATGGCAAGAAATAGGTAACTTCTTGTGAATAGAAAAGAGCATCGACATGATTACATTGGAAAAACTATTAAGCAATTGATGACGTCTTTTCTTTCTTCTGATGTTTTGTTGAGAAATAAATTAGGAAAAACTATTCTTTCAAAGTTTGAAAATATGATCCAAATCTACAAGATATATGATTATTTCTGACAAACAAACATTTCTTTTTTTGCTTTTTTCTCTCTCTCATTTTTTTTCTCAATTCACTTTATAAATCTAATTCAAAGATATTCATGACTTCTGTTTCTCATTTTATTTCATCAATTTAATAAAAAAATAGTTTGACTTTTTTTATTTTGAAAAAAGTTGATCCATTTAGAAAGACGATTTTTCTAAGTTTATATATTATTTAAAGACAAATATATTCACAAACAAGGCTTTTGTGTTATATGGAAAATAAATAAATAAACTCGATCTTAAATATCTAAACGAAGAATAATCCGATAAAATTTTTCATTTAACAAGAGAAACAAAGAAAATTGAATACTGTTTTACACTTAAACTCACTGGATTTGGATTTTTCAATTGACTCTAACATAGAGTATGACAATATTTCCACAATCCTCCTCTTTTGCTACTCGCTAGTGTCATTGCTATTCTTCAATTTTTGATTGATGAAAGAATATTATTATCTGTGATTGGATAGATAATTATATTTGTTTTCATCAAGATAAAAATGATCCAAACAGTTAGGATCCATGTCTATGTATGATAGTATTAATGAAAAACAAAACATCCTATTTATTAGATACATAAAAACAAACAGTTTTTTCCACTATTCTAAAATGAGTTTAATAACTGTTTATCATAACAACACATTCTAAACTCTTTTTTTCTCGAGAAAAAGTATTTATCCACTAGTAACTTGCTTTTCTTTTCTTTTTTCTTTTCCTTCGTTTCTATGCTGCTGTGATATATAATGTATGTAGCAGAAGATGAAGTTAGTTGGACAATCTTTTTGATTATTTTTTAAAAGAAACGATAGAAACAGAGTTTATGAAAAGATCATGGTTTGTTATAGTTACAATAAGAAAAAGTACATGTCTGTGAAAAAAACAATGATAGTAACTTATGTAAACCTTTTGTGGATGGAAAACGGCATCTCCATAATTACATTAGAAAAATTACTGAACAAAGTTGATGACGTCTTTACTTTCTTTCAGTATTTGAATGTCCCATACATAACTGTAGAATAGATGGTTTTTTTTCAAACGTGAAAAGACTTATTTAACTTCTTTTAGGTTATAATGACAGTGGATTTTCAATTGACGAGTATGCTTGAGTATGAGTGTGGATGGTGTTTTATCACACACTCACCCATCGATCTGAGTCTTGATTATTTTTTATTTTGAAAAAAATATTATCCGTTCAGAAAGATGATATGCCTGTGTTTAAATGTTATTTGAGAACAAATATATTAATAAATAGATCTTTTAAGTTCTATGGAAAATAGATAAAGATGACAAACATGAAGAATAAAGTCGATCATTAGTATCTAAACCGAGAATGATCAGATGAGCTATTTGATCAGACAAGAAAACTAAAACAAACTATACAGTCTTCTTAACTCAAACTCACTGCACTTGGATTTTTCGAGTGTCTATAACATACAGTATAACAACATTTCAAAAATCTCACATTTATTCTTCTGCCGTACTGTTTCTGTTCATCAATGTGAGAAATACGATTGATATCTAGGTATAATAGTATGAATTGAGAACAAAACAAACTGTTTTTTTTCACTATTCTAAAATGAGTTTAATAATTGTTTATCATAACAACACATTCTAACGTAATTTTTCTCAATGAAAAATATTCATCCAGTAAATGTTTTGCCTTTATTTTTCTTTTATATATGTGTTGCTATGAAGTGTTTTGTCTTCAAAGGAAAGAAATTAGTTGGAAAATCTTTTTGATTTTTCCTCAGAAAAGAAACGATGGAAACAGAGACTTGATGAACACATGTAGTTTATTGTAGTCATAATAATACAAACTGTGTTGCTTCACAAAAAAGTACATCTAAATAAATAATTATGTCAAGGAAAAGTTAACTTCTTTTGTGAATAGAAAACAGCATCGTCATGATTACATTAGAAAAATTGAGTTGATGACGTCTTTTCTTTCTTTTAATATTTTATTGAAGAAAAATATTCTTTCAAAATTTGAATATAATTATGAACAACTTCAAGATAAAAAATTATTTCTTTTTCTTCCAACGAAATTGGATTATTTAGTAAAGAATATATTAACAATATAACATTTATCGATAAATTTTATATCAGTTGATTGTTTATCTCCATACTAGAAGAGAATATGATGATTATATCTGTTGTTTTTATTGTCATAGAGAAAGAAAGATCAATGGTAATTGACTGAATAATAACAATTCTAATTTTAATCATGAAGTATCTCTTAAAAATAGAGTTAATAATAATACTATAAATGACAATTTCTCTCTAAACGCATATTATTACTAAAAAGAATCCTTTGATAAAAATTGAAATAAGTCAAATATATATGAAATGAGAAAGGCATTGTATGTTTCTAATTTCTCCAAGATTTTATGATACAAATAAAAGAGTTTATAATTGAAAAAACAATACCAATAATTTATACATTTAAAAGTCGTTGTGAAATCAGAAAGAAAAATAAAAGATTATCGAAACAATTTCATAATTTTAAAATACAAGTAGATTGTCTTATCAGATAAAACGAGAAATCATGAAAAGAATATTTTATTGATCTCAAAAGTGAAAAGAAAAGAAATGTTTTTCAATTGAACAAGCCTTAGTATATTTTAATGGAATTGACTGGACTTTAAATTTTCATATAGTTTTTGCGTTTCGAAAAATTTCAATCGTAATCATCGTTTTTATTCTACAGTGAAATAAATGATTATGAAATTGAGATAAATTAACGACAAATTTGATGAAACCATCTTGAGGGTGTGGGTGGGTGTGAGTGTGGATGTGGGTGTTCTTTTATCACATCCACACCTACAACCTCGATTAATTGTTAAATCGAAGCGAATACTATATCAATAAATTAGAAAAGTTCTGAAATAATGAAGAAACATGGATTATTGATGAATGAGTCGTCGCCATCGTTTGAATGGTTCCAGAAATGTTTTTCTGTACAATTCCGAAGGAAGGACAAAGACAATAAAGATAAGCATTGATGGAGTAAATGAAATGAAATAGCCAAAAATAAATAACAATCGATGATTCGATGGATTGACGCATTCAGATAACATTGACATAATCAAACGGGGTAAGGACAAAATTAGAAGAATAATTGGACTAATTAATAGTTGTTTGTGTTCATTAAATTGGTTATAAATATGTTCTCTTAGAGTTTGTCTTGTCTGCGCTGTTGATCGTTGTCGGGCTGATCCGAATATGATGAATAAAGCAGAGCAAAGATTGACAACACATGGAGCAACAAGATGAAAAAATAAGATGATTGTATTGTATTGTTGAACAAAAGAAGAATAACGAGTTATACACCATCTATTGATATCCACTTTGCTCGTCTCTGTGTTTATCTCATACAATTCTCGGTAGATAGGTTCGTGAATGATTGAACCCATGATACAGAATGGTAAGATGAAAATTATCCATCGAGCTATGCGTTGACTTTTCTGTTTATTGAAGTTGATTCCTTTGAAAACGAGAATCGCTCTTTCGATAGCTACACAAGCATTGAGCCAAGCATCCAAATATAGGCAAAGCTTGAGAAGAGGTTCAATCAATACACAACCTCCTCGAACAACAGAAAGACGAATCGACAGATCCATTTGAGTGAGAACAACAAACCAAAACTTCACTGTAAACATGCTGATTGTAAGAAAAGAAGTAACTGATGATGCTAAGAGATAAATACCACATCCAACTTGTCGTAAATCTTTATTTTGGAATGTTAATAGAGACAGAATACTATTGATTAAACCCAGTGGCGGATCTAGGATTTCGGAAGGGGGGGGCGAAATTTTTTTTTTTTTGAGTATGGAGAGACGATACCTGGGGAGGGGGTGGGGGATTTTTTTTTTTTTGAGTATGGAGGGACGATACCTGGGGAGGGGGTGGGGGATTTTTTTTTGAGCATGGAGGGGCGATACCTGGGGGGGCGATTTTGGTTAAAAGTTATTTTTGGAGTCCAACCAAAGTAGTATGAACCTATTTTTTCGTTCATTTTTGCTGTAAAAAATCAAAAAAAAATTCGGAAGGGGGGGGCGATCGCCCCCATCGCCCCCCCCTAAATCCGCCACTGATTAAACCTCCAACAAACATAATCATCGTTAAAGCAGCAATGACTTTCACCAGTATTGTTTGGTCAGTCATTGTCATATTCGGTCGAATTTCGTCACGTAAAATATCATCGAGAATGATACCAATACTTTTTTTGTAAAACTGACATTTTTGCCCGATGAAACAGGTGGTCTGAATTTGAACTGAAGAAAGAAATACATGGTCATCAAGAGATGAGATCAATCTTTCTCAACTTAACACAGTTATATCAGCGTAAATTTATAAGTGACAATAGCTTATGAAAGTCATTTATCTATACATGACATGTTGTGTCAGGATTAGACTTATAAATTTCTATTTTCTTTACAATGTCTCAAGATGAATTTACTCATTTCTTGTAAAGATGTTTCTGCATATGAACCTGATAAATTTTCAAAAATTGCAAGGCAATAAAATATCAGAGTGTGAAACCACTAAAGAATAGACATTTTGGAAACTAACGTTGATTCGAGAAGAAAATTTGCCTTGTACAATCAATCTAATCACGGCTAAGCTACAATGCTGAGAGTTAACCTTCTTGGATTGGAGGAAAGTTGTCCATTTTTAAAAGAAGGAGTTCTGATATGATCCTGATTTTTGACAATAATTTTATTGAATTATACAATCTATTTGAAATTCTGAGGTTATTTATTTCTGAAGAGTGAAAATGGAGTTCAGTGGGATGTTATAATTCTCTATTAATGATTTACAAATAATACAAAATACTTACTGTAAGGATTAAGAGTGATATTATTTGGACCAGATGTCATAATGGAAAAGTTTCCTGTCATATTTGGAGAAGATGTTGTCACCACTAATATGTATGTAGTGCTAGTGTGAAGATAAACGATGAACTTAAATCCTTTAAAACTACAGCTTCGATAATTCTGTGAGAGTTGATTCTCGAAAGGATTAATTGGATTAAATTCATCTTTGTAAATATCACCAAATGTATTTATACTACCAGAACTGCTCAAAGCATAGTATCCGGTTTCCATGACATTCATTCGTATAGTCTGATAGTAATAATTTGATTTTTGACAATCTCGGGAATATGTTTGACTCTTGGTAGTCAGCTGTAATGAATAGTTCGACTGTACAGCTGATGAGTGTGGTGTTTGTATGACTGATGAAGAACCTACGTGATAAAAATAAAAAAATAGCCAAGATTCGTGATAGATCTTAACTGACTGAGACAAAGAAAATTGAGCATCATAAATCATCTCTCATACATGCTGAATATCGAAGGGCATGTGGAAGCTGAGCTGACATTTCTGAAGAGATAACTTTTCATAATATCGCTCTCAGTGGAATAATTAAACTGTAAATTGAGAGTAGAAATAGAGTCTATCAACATTTTTCTGTATTCAAAGTCCCGATAACATTAGTCACATTTAGATAAGCGATTGACTGAAACAGATTCGTATCCAAGAAGATTGTCCTGATTCTATTCATAATATTCGGTTATTTACTGAGTTTAATATAGCTTTTTATGTAAAGGTTTCTTTTTATAGGACAAATGTCGTCTTACAAAGCAAATCTTTATTTGTGAATCTGCCAAAACCAACTAAATACTCATGTTAACACTGGCAGATTCTCTTGTAATTGTTGTGATGCAAATACTTACTAATATTCTTCAAAACAACGATGTCTGGACCAGATACAAAGATCGAGAATGCTCCTGTCTCATTCGAATGAGCCGTTGTCACAACCAATATAAATGTAATACTACTCTTAAGATGAGTTGTGAATTGAAAATGATTTCGATTGCAGCCGTCATCATTATCTGAGAGTTGATTTTCATCTGGATTGGATGGATTGAAATATTCGTTGTAGATAGAGCCGTGTGTGTCCATGTTGCTTCTGCTTAAGAAAGTGTAAAAACCATTTGTGGGAACATTCACTTGTATCGCTTCATAGTAAGGATTTGACCATAAACACCGAGGGAAATACGTTGAACTATTCGTTGTCAATTCTGATGCATAAGTTGTTTGAACAACTGACGAAGTATTTACTAATAAAAAAGAAAATTGATTCAATTTTGTATTATATGGGAATAAGTAGAAACAACTTGAAATATTACTTTCACTTTCAAGACAATATAAGATACTCTGTGATGTCATTCATATCTCGAGTTACAAAGAAAATATATTATATGTATATGTTTGCAGCATTTTGTTTTATTATAGGAACAATAAGTGACAGGATATGTTATGATAGTTAGCAAAGTTTTCTTCGGTTCATGGTCATGAAGAGAAATTCTTGTCGATTTGTATATTAGTTACATCAAATGTGCGATCGATTGACACGGATCCGTATTTAAGGAGATTGTCCTGATTCTATTCATAATATTCGGTTATTTACTGAGTTTAATATAGCTTTTTATGTAAAGGTTTCTTTTTATAGGACAAATGTCGTCTTACAAAGCAAATCTTTATTTGTGGATATGTCAAACGCAACTAAGTTCTCATGTTAACGCTGATAGATTCTCTTGTAATAGTTGTAATGCAAACACTTACTAATATTCTTCAAAACAACGAAGTCTGGACCAGATACAAATACCGAGAATGTGCCTGTTTCATTAGCATTAAACGTTGTCACAACCATTATATATGTAATAGCATTTTCAAGGTAAACTGTGAATTTAAACTGATTCTCGTTGCAGCTGTCACTGTAATTGTGTCGATTTTCATCTGGATTGGATGGATTGAAATATTCGTTGTAAATAGAGCCGTATGTGTCCATGTTACTTCTGCTTAAGAAAGTGTAATAGCCACTTCTGGCGACGTTCACTTGTATCGCTTCATAGTAAAAACTTGAACTTGAACAATCACGGAAATACGTTGAACTGTTCGTTGTCCATTTTGATGCATAAACTGTTTGAACAACTGATAGAGTATTCACTAACGAAGAAGAAAATTGATTCAATTTTGCATAATATAGAAATAAGTATGATTAATTTGAAATATTACTTTCTCACTCAGATATATTTGCCGAAAGCTACTGGCAGTGATATGAATCTTAGCCTCTATCGAGCAGAAATATCTGTATATTATTTTGGAGATTGAGTTTATCTATATTTTCTACCGATGATATACATGTGCCACTGATTATTCATTAAAATACTATAGATACTCACAAATACGACTGAAACCGATATAGCTTCGACCAGATCCTTGAATTGAAACATGTCCTTCTACATCTGAAGCAGATATTGTTATAACGAAAATGTATTTCGTGTTGGCTTCAAGAAAAGCTGTGAATTGAAATTGACCTTGATTACTAGAGTCTCCACTACCGCTCAGGACATTATCGGACACATTGAATGGATTGAAGTTATTTGTGTAGATATAAGCGTACATGGTTTTCATCTCGCTGTTGATTAGAAAAGTATAATAGCCCGTTATACTGACATTCATTTGTATCGCTTCATAATAGGAATCGGACTCTGAACAATCTTTGAAATAAGTTGAACTATTCGAGGTCAGTGATGATGAATACATTGTTTGTATAATTAACGAGTTACCTATTGAACGAAAAAAATTAATGAGTATCTGCGTTTTGAATAAAAAAAGAGTTGATTGCGTATATTCTCAGTTTGCTTTTCACTCTGTTGACTGATGAGAATTGAGTCATTTGTTTTAGAGAAATGCTTTTAATAGAGAAATGAAGAAAAACATGAAATAAAATATCTATTTAGCGTCTTAACGATAAATATGTATGTTAGTCTTTAAAATGCGCATTGCGCATGTTCTTTTCAAGAGGCGTTGTAATAATTACAATAAAGAAATGTTAGAAAATATCATATACAAAAACGAGTACCATTCCGGACTATGAAAGTCTGATAAGTGGTACACTTACAAATTCATGACTTCTTCACTATCGTCTTCATCTTCGAACTTTTCTTCTGTTAAAAATATAATGCAGAACAATAGTTTTTTTGCCGATATCATTAAGTATAACAATAGACTATCTGATAAAACTATTTCATAAAGTTTTAATCAATCTACGAGTATGACATGACATCATTAAAAAATGTCGGTTTGGAAGTGACACTCGATCCATTGTTAAAATAAATACAAGAGCGACTCTTTAATAATTTTTATTCTTATAATGCGTGTCTCGAATAACCAGATAAGGATGAAACTTTTTCGTTTTTCTCATCTTTGGCATTTTTCTATGAAGATACTGACCTACATTTAAATCTCACTCCTTTGTGATGATCCTGATTCTATTCTCGTTCATTAAACAAAATCATGATCGCAAATATAACATAATCGCTTTCCTATCTTGAGAGTAAAGGTGACGTTCTGAATCTTTATGAATGCGCCACTAGTTGTGAGTAACACTCAAGCATAAGATTATTTATCTGTGACAGATGTTTTATATCTACGAATTTGAAAGCACATTGAACAACTATGCAAAACGACTTCTTGCTGATTTCAGAGCAATTTATGAAACCTTTTTTGTTCTGAAATATGAAATTCGACACGAGAAATGTTTTCTTCACATTGATACATACTTCGAAGTGTTTTTAGTTCGATAGTGTCCTACGTTTCATAAAACCATTGTGTTCATTATTTTCTACAGTTAGCAGCGTTAACTGAGCACAGATACTGATGAATCAAAGAAAACTTATAAACAGAGCTCAACAAAAAGGGCTGAATTCATCTCTGACTTCCCTACTAAATACACAGACATTCTAACTTCCATCTGTATCATGCGACTAACATGATGATAATGTTATCGATGGACATTTGTAGAGAATTATGAATAAGCAAGGGTTTATTTTATAAGAATAGTATATTAGGATGAAACTTGAAATTTGAATTTGATTATTCAATAATTCAATTCGAAAGTCATCAGGAGTTTTATCTTCATCTTCTATGGTACTTTTTCTTTTTAGTTCTCTGAATAAATATTGATTAAAATGATATTAGAGACTTTATTCGATCATTCTAAACTTACCACATGATTCTTCGAAATATTGAAATTTTTGAATTCGATGATTTCCGTGATCAGTAACAAAGATGTTTCCAGAACGATCAAAACTAAAACTATATGAATTTTTCAATTGATTGGATTGTGAACCCATTCCATAACATCCAACTAAACATCGAAAACCATTCGAGCCTGAACCAACAATGCGATGATTGCCAAAATCCACAATGAATAAATATTTTTCAGCATCTAATATAATTCCACTTGGACAATCAAGTGTGATTGATGGATATAGTGATTCACTTCCAGTCACTGTGATACCATTTAATTCTCCTAACTGAAATAACTGAACCCGATCATTTCCACAATCTGTTACATATAAATCCAAATTTACATCGACAAAAATTCCAATAGGACTACTGAGTTGATTCGAGTCATATCCTTGAATACCTGTTCCGGCAGCAACACGATTTGAAGCCATCACAGCATCATTTAGTGATCTTTTCACTACTTGATGATGACCAAACATTGAACAGTAAAGTGTATCGTTGATATCGACAAATAAACTAGTACATGATGAGCTGACATTCATCGCCGTGACAAAGATATTTGTTTCTACGATCCATTTCAGCACTCGACCATTCTTTGCACCATCATCGATATAAATATCGCCATTTGATGTTACGAAGAGAGAATTGGATTTTGAAAAATCAATGTGAATGATCTTTGTTGGATTGACACTCTCTTCTTGCCATATTACAATTGTGTTATTTTCCTTATTGGCGACATAGATTGTATTGTTTGTGTTCACAAAAATGGCGCTAGGATATTGACCAACAATCGATCGATTAGCAAATATAATTCCATTGGAATTCCAAGTGACTGTCGAACAAAACTTTGGTTGATTAAATGAAAGAGCTAAAAACAAGAACAATAGGAAGAATATTAGTGGAGAACTGTAAACGAAATGAAATTGTTAATTTATATATTCCTAGAAAACAATTAAGTTTCTTCCAAGAAATTTTTCATGAAAAAAAATATTTAGAAATGCTTGTTAACATTGATTTTAGGAATGATTTTATTAATTTTGGCATCAAATATAAATTTTGATATTGTTAAAATATATTTGTTAAACTTTTGTCAAAAAATCATCGGAAAAATCTGAATAAATTGTATCAAAGAAAATAGTTGGATAAAAGAAATTATTTTTTTAAAGAAAAATAATCAACAGAAAAGAAGAAATTTTATCAATCAAATTTATTTCTTTGCAATGTTCACCGTTTCATTCGTCTTTCTCGAGTAAATTTTAATTATCAAACATTTATTTAAAGTTTCTCAAAAATTTTTCTGATACACATTCAAAGTTAATTTAGAAAAGAAATAAAAGGGAAACGATAAATGTTCGTATGTTATTTCAGTTGTCTATATTATTGAGAATATAACTCGATTTATCTTAATAAATTTCATTAAGAAATAAAAAATAATGTTACTACACGTCATATCGGTGCTGAATGAAAAAAGAAGAAAAAATGAGACAAAAAATACAATTTTCTATGATCCTCAAAAATTGTTCTTTTCTCTCTAGAAATTCTTTATACAAATTGTCGTACGAAGGATGTTTATCTGAAGAAATTTCAAAGTTTCATCAAAAACCATAGTATTTCGTGTTTGTTTAATATGAATAGAACAAATCTTTCTTTGTAATCTTAATAGTATTTTACAGATTTCAATATTTTTTACTATGAAATAAAGAACAAAACAAGAAAATCTTTATTTTCATGTGAAGAGAATCAATGATTCTCTTAAAACGAAAGCAATCATTAACTAAACATCTTCAAGAAAAAGTAAAATAAATTTAAATATTTCTACAACTAATAAATCTTTTATTAATCAGAAAAAAATTTTCTCATTGAAGTTTTGAAATGTAAACAAAGCTTTTGTTAATTGACTTATTTAAAGTGTTCGTTTGAGGAAAATCTCGAATAGATTTGATTAGAAATCAATTCTCCTTATTGTTCATCTTTAATAATGAATTTGGTTAAAAAAATAAATATTTTTATTCAAAATCAAATCGTTATATTTTATTTATTTCATCAAACAAACAATTTTTTCTTCCATAGAAAATATACTTTGTTTAAAATTATAGAAATAATAACACATATCATATTATAGATTATCTTCAACTATTCAAGATTACTCTTTATAATTAAATATTATGATAACTATCCAGAGAACAAATCATCAATCAAACATTTATTTATGAGAAAATTCCTTTTATATGATATTTCATATTGTAAGTTATCTCTCTCAAAGAAAAACAATGACTAAATTCATTTTGGAAAAAGTACAAAGAAGAAAAATTAGTTGTTAGAATTGAGATATTTTATTTGTTCTATTTTTCTTAAATCAAACATATCAAAACATACAATAGAAAGTCAGATCATAGGATCATTTTTCTTGAAACTATATCGACAAAGATATAAGAGATTTTATTTCGATAAAAACTGTTTCATTGATGGAATATTTTTTGAGACATATAAAACGAAACATGAAAACCCTTTCTGCTACTCTATTAATGATAGAATTTTTTCTTTCTCTCTTCTTTAATCTCAATAAAAAGGCAAAGATCGTTTGTTTTAGACGATTGATACATGGTTTTGTCTAATCTGAACATTTTATTGTCTTAAGCACATTCTTTTACACATTGGCTTAATTAATATATCTCAACTATTTTTGTTTTCTGTCCCTTTCTATATTAAAATGTCTTTATTAAATTCTGTAATTTATCTATTCACATTTCTTCGTTTAATTCAACTTTTCTTCAACTTACCAAAAGAATCGTTCATCAGGAAAAATTTTTGAATTCGATGATTTCCGTGATCAGTAACAAACATGTTTCCAGAACGATCGAAACTAAAACTAAATGGACTCTCCAATTGGTTCGACTGTGAACCCGCTCCATAACATCCAACTAAACATCGAAAACCATTCAAACCTGAACCAACAATGCGATGATTGGCTAGATCCACAATGAATAAATGTTTGTCAGCATCTAATATAACTCCGCTTGGAAAATTAAGTGTAATTGTTGGATTTTCTGATGTACTTCCAGCTACTGTGATACCATTTGATTCTCCTGACTGAAACAACTGAACACGATTATTATAAGCATCTGCTACATATAAATCCAGATTCACATCGACAAAAATTCCAACAGTACCAGCAAGTTGATTCGAGTCTGATCCTCTAATACCTGTTCCAGCAGCAACACGATTTGGAGTCATCACATCATCATGCAATGATCTTTTCACGACGTGATGTTCATAAAACAGTGAACAGTGAAGAGTATCATTAATATCGACAAACAAACCAAAACATCCTAACTTGATATTCATTATTGTAACAAAAGTATTTGTTTCTGCACTCCATCTCTGCACTCGACCATTCTGAAATCCATCATCAATATAAATATCACCATTTGATGTCACGTAGAGAGAGCTAGGTTGTGTAAAATTACCCAAAATGATCTTTATCGGATTGACACTTTCTTCTTGCCACATTACAATTGTGTCATTGTCTCGATTAGCGACATAAATTGTATTTTTTGTGTTCACAAAAATGGCGGGAGGATATTGACCAACAATCGATTGATTAGCAATGGTAATTCCATTGGAATCCCAAGTGGCTGTTGGCGAAAACTTTGGTTGCTTAAATGAAACAGCTAAAAACAAGAAAAATAGAAAGAGTATCAGAGAAGAACTGTAAACGAAATGAAATTGTTAATTTATGTTTTTTCTTGAAAAATTCACTGAGATTAATTTTGAAAAGATTTCTGTAATTGTGCTATTTTCTCGAATGATTTGTAAATATGAACCAAAAGAGGGCTGAATTCACGGAAGAAGATCAACTTTATTTATTGATTTGTTTTATTGGAAAAGAAAAATAATTATGTTCGATCCTTGAAAAGATATGATTATCACTGAAGACAAGAAAACTATCAAATAACGTTTTTTTATTTGTTCAACGAAAATGAATTCAAGGGAAGAAAAAAGAATTGTTTTTCACTGATATTAATCTGTTGATCTTTTCTTTTTTTGATTTCGATTTCATCTGTAAAAGTCAATTAATCATTTTTCCCATATGTTATAATACGATATGATGAAATAGATTTCTTTTTTTTCTCTTGAGTCTCATTCTCATCTCAAGATCTTAACGAATAATGTCATTTTTGTTCAATAGCTGATCTTCAGTATATGATAAATAAAAGTATTTACCTAATGTTTCATTGTTGTGGATGAACAGAAGAATAATGATAAATATGTAGATATTCCACATCATTCAACAAAAAGTTTTTTTTTTTGATTAATTAGTTAACTAATCAAATAATCGTTTTCTTCTTTGTCTTCGATGAAAACAAAATGACATTCATTGTAGATTTTCTCTCTAGTTATATCTCTCTCTTTTTCTCCCAACATAACAAGAAGAGAAAAAATAGTGTTTTAGAGAGGATCTTGTCGTAGGTAAGATAAAATATTGATTTTAGATTGAATTAATGAGCAAAACTGGTGATTTAATTTGATATTTTCCATTTAATTTCATTCTTTTTGAAATTTGGAATAAACAAAATGGAATTTAAATTCGTCATGATCATTTTTTTTCGATTTTATAGAAAATCAAAAGATTTTAGTGAAGAAGAACGTGATGAAGAGAAGTAATGAAAATCAATGTTAATTATCGGACGTGTTTTAACTGAAAATAAGATATCAACTATCATCGTCAATAAATGATAGACATCAATGAATAAGTCATGATTAGTTTGATATCTTTTTTTGTTTGAGTCTGTTAAATAATCTGCTTTGTCAGGATTCAGTTTTAATCACGTTCTTTATTTCTCAATGCAACAAATATCTTTGGGAAAAGTTTAATTTTTTTGAATACTTCGATCTTGGAGGTGCGGGTGTGATTGTCTTTATTTTTAATCCGCACCCACTCGGTCACACCAATATACGTAAGAAATATTAAAAAAAAGTTGTAGCCTTCTCTATACTGTGGTAGTCAAAGGATTAAAGAAGTTTGTGAGAATTGAAAATAATACTTCCAACATGTGATGTGATCGGTGGATGTGAATTATTTCGAATTTCAATTAGTTGCTTAATGAATGTTAGTGGATTGGAAGGGAATCGAGCTTGATTAAGTTGTAACTGCAGACGATGTTTTGGTTTTTGCACAAATCCATCAATAGAAATCCACCCGTTCTCAAAAGCTTCTTCTTCTTTCGTTGTCCAAGGTTTGGGACATAGACCTAGACATTGACAATAAGCTATTTGTTCGTCGACTGTTTCAAAATAGAGGGTTCCATTAAAAACAAATAACTGAACTAACAATTCGATTGGTATGAAGCAAATCATATTTGTATTTGGGAGTTCAATTGATGGTGGAATCATGAGAGTTGGAGTGTTGACAAAAATTGATTGAACTCGCTTAGTACGAGGTAACAGCAAGCGTAATGTTGTGATCAGGGATTTATCGGATTGCAATTGACCCATCAACCAGTTAGCTTCAAAAGCGCTAACGAATATAATGTCTTCATTACGATAAACAACAATCCATCGGGGTGGTCTTAGAAATGAACTTAAAGATTCTTCTGTACTTTTAACTACTCGCTGAAATTCAGTGGATACCCACAAATTTCTTTGCCAGCTGCTTGGTTGACAAGCGTTAAATAATGGGGTTCTATCGAACGCGAATGATAACGAGCGAAATACTTTCGATAATCGACTTAAGTTTAATCTAGGATCATTTTCATTACATAAACTCTTGATTTCTTCATTTAATATTGGTTTATGTGGTTTGCCAGGTAATGGACGTGCTAATTGTTGCTCCGCTTCTAGTTCTTGTTCTAATTCTCTTTGCTGTTCTTCATCTAACAACTGACATAGACGCTGTTTTGTTCCGCCATATTCATTTAATCGTTTCAATACGGCATCATGAGTTTCGGTTGATAATTTATAATTACACTCTTTGTATCGACCGATGTAATTATCTGCTATTGTGCGCAATTCTCTAGATACACCATACATCCGTGTTAACTCAGTTATTTCTGGTTCAAGACATCTATTAGCTAAATCTTTCATCATGTTGTTTGTAAAGATATTTTCATGATTTTGCCATTCGATGTATTGAAAAGCGTCTAATTTTCGTTGGTAACTTAAACTTTGCTCAGCCCAATAATTTAATGCTTCCCAAGTTGCATTTACAGTATTCTGATAAAGCCAACGGAGTATATCAATTACGCTGATGGGTTGCTTGGTGACTGGAGTTTTCAATGTTATGATTTGTTGATGGACTTCATTTGAAGTCCAAAATGTTAATGAATGACCATTTCCTAATTTTCTCATTCTCATACATGCTTGAACAAAGCGATCTTTCGTCAATCCATTTCCTAATGTCAGTACCGCTCGAAATCCATTTGGAAATTTAAAATCAGTTCCTCTTGTATGAATCTCATCTAAATAAAATACACAACGATCTAGTCGTTCACTTGCAGGAGATGTTTCAAACGGTTGGAAATGAAATTGACGATCACAAACAAAAATCGAATCTGACTCAAAATAAACGACATAATCGATCTTATCTTTTCTAGATAGATTCAACCATTTCACAGCAATATCTCGATTGATTCCATCGACAAATAATGCTCCAACATCTAAAATAACATTAATATTGTCCTTATAATTTGAAATTTGATTCAAAATATCTTCTGAAGTTGCATTGATCGATAATGATTGATAGTTTTCGTTTTCATTTTGTAATAAATTATTAACAACAACAGCGTCTGTCTTTCGTAATTCAAATAAATCATATTGACGAATATGAACAGGTAATAATAATTGAGTATCATTTGTACCACTAAATCCAGTGATAGGTTTTGACCGTATATCTGAAGATAAATCCCAAGCAGATGAAACTATTTTATAAGGAAATTCTTTTGCTTCTCGAGGAAAGACAAAATGATTGAGAAAATAATTGATAACTAACATATTATGTCGAAAAGTGGGAAAGATACAATGAATTCGTTGATGATAATCTTTGAAATTGACACTTTTCCATTTCGTAATACTTGCAGGGATTCCATCTTGTTGTTCGTATAAAATCCATTGTTCATAAATTGTTTCAGCATCATTTTCTTTTTCACTCAAACGGTCGAAACATTGAGTCAATTGACAATCATTCAAACCAGAATAATAATAGGAAAGATGTGTTAAAACTAAAGCAATATCAGGATGACCAAATTCAGTTCTATCAGCAGCAACATCCTTTGCCCGAAATGGTACAGCCATTAGACGATGAAACGACGAATTCAGAGTCACACCATAACTAACTCGATATCGTTTTTTCAAAGCAAATAATAGAATTTCTGATGATAATAAACCACGTACGATGAGAAACAATTGAATATCATACGGGGGAAATTTACCGACTAGATCTTCAACTAATAAATTTGTTTTCAAAATGAATGATAAAATAAGTTCTTTATCAGTATTTCGACAATTTCTGCTCTCAATCCAATCGTGAGCTATATTCTCACAGAGTACTGAATATGGATGATGTGATTGTAAACGAAATTGTGGAAAAGCACTTTTTCGTTCAGATGGTTTGTAACAGACTTTTTCACTGAAACGGTTTGAAATTTCAGCAGCATGTTTTTTAACTAATTCAAGTATCGATTGAATATTTTTCCATCGTTCAGCGCCTGCATCAACTTGTTTTTGATCACCTACGGTGTAAACTAATTGGTATTTAACATGTAGAATTTCATCGGATTCATCTAAAACATCACGTGCATACGCTTTTAGCCATCGTTGAACGATTAACATCGATTGACCAATATCAAATTCCTTTCGTCTACATTTGTCTATCGTGAGCAAATCAAAGGAAAGAATATCTTCGGGTGATGTTAACATGACATCATTATGGCATAGTCCTTGCTTAAGACGTTCAAATATTTGGTTTATTTGTTCATTTTTTAAATTCATATCACGACGACATGCAAATGAAAATATTCGTCGATTCAACAAACCACCTAACTTGTATCGTAAGGATTGGTAATTTGTTGGAAATAATGATTTAAGCACTATTATACGAACAAAACACGAATTAGTTGAAGATAAACTAACGGCTAACATAGGTAAAATGACTGAAGTTTTTCCCTCGCCCATATTCAATTGCATTACTATGTTTTTTGTTGTTGAATCAGTTTCTGATGTATCTGATTGCATCATATGACGTGCCACTGTAATTTGAATATCTCGAATGATAATGTTCATCTCTAATTCTAGAATTAACCAAGAAACATGTTCAGATGGTGTCCAATTTGAATGAGGTATATTTGATAATTCAGTTCTAAAATCATTATATTTTTGGTGATTGGCAAAGTGCAATGCTCTGACTATTTGTTGTTCTAAAATCCAATTGACAATAGCGCCACCGAGTAGCGTACGTTGTCCATTGCTCAAGTCAAACGACGAAGTTTTTTCACAATGCATCATGGTTTCTTGTTGAAGAATTCTTATGAGAGTCGTGGGTGTAATTCGTGTTACTAAACCAGTATTGAATGATAGTTCATTGGATAATGTAATAGATTTGCTCAGTTCATCCCAGAATTGTATAGACTCTTCTTGAATAGAATTTAAAAGTTCATTAATTTCCTGGATGGAAGGACATTCTTTCTCACATTTTTCTTCTGCGCGAAATTTTATCCAACTTTCAGCTAATTGATTTTGAAAATAGTTTTCGATTGCATTTAGAGAATTGTTTTTCTCGCTGACGAAAGGAAATATTTGCTCTGGAAATTCATTTTGCAGCTGACTAAATGGAACAGATACATTGCATTTTTTATAAGGATCTGAATAAGGATGATGAAACTTTCGTTCCGCTTTCGATAACATTTCATTATCAATTGATCTTCTAACACATTCGAGTTGTATTCGATGATGTTCCACAGGTGATTCTTGTATAAATTGTTGAGAGTCTGTAGATACTTTAGTGTGAAATTGTTCTGTAGGAAAGGAAGAGAGAAGCTGTTTAACATCTGCTAAAAACGATTGAAGTCTTCCATTCGATCGCCAAGATTTTAATAACATGTTGATCTCAGATATTTCAGCAGGACTTGACAGATTATTGACACCTTGATAATTGATATTCATTGTCCAACATCTCTGGATTTCTGTTATAATTTGATTTCGTATATTTGACTTTTGACTCTTTGTGAACTTAAAACGGTTTTCAACGACTGAAACTTCCCCAACATACTGATATTCAATAAATGGAGGAAATATGATCGATTTTAATGTGATGATCGGCACCTTCGACGCTGTTTTTAGTAGTTGCAAATAAAAGAGTTTGCTTGTACACTTTGGAGAAATAAAATGAAGAAAATCCACTAGTTTCACGAACTGTTGAAGTTTATCTACATCGCCTTCAGCTTCTAGACTCTTCGAACGAACAGCTAATGCTAACAAACCAACCCAAATATTTTTCAATTGATCTTTCTCATTTACCCATTGAGATAATGGTAGCCAATTTCGATTCGAACAGTCTTCAAGATTGACATTTCCTCTACTGTACAGATCATCCGCGAGAGAGGAAATAGGATCATTCGTCGCACTCGAACGAAGCTTGGAGGTCAAAGAATATGATTCTGTTGCAACGGTATGCAAGATGTCAACTTCTATTTCTACAGATAATCTGGCTGTAGGATTATAGGAATCTCGATAGTCCCAATAAAGTTTTTTCAACAATGCTTCATCATTTAGTTTTTCTTTAAAGAGTTTTGGAATCTCATTAGAAACCGATGATGAATGCATAAAATTCAGTTGTTGACTGTTTTTTATTAAATGACTTGCTATTAAATAATAACCAAAATGTTGCATAGAAGGTTCTAAACCATTAGAATTCCATTCGATTTGTTGCATACAAGTGAGATGTGCAGGATAATAATGAACTATTGGTGAAATAGCTGCAATTTGTGTTAATATGTCTAGAGAAAGTGAGTCAAAAGGTTGATCAGACCAGCAAGCAGCTGAATTTAGTAATTGGAAAGCACGTTCCATTCCAGTCATTCCAGTATATTGATCTGGTAAAAGATTAGAAGTAATTGCATGTAGTAATGCTAAATAAAGCCATCCAGTTGGACTATCGGTTGACTGAAGAATACGTAATTGATCATTCAAAATGAAAACAAAATAGTGACAAAGAAACTCGTCTGATGATGTTCTTCTTCGTTGAATAGTAACTGTTTGATGTTGATTATTTGGAGTCTTTACACCATCAATCTTTCCAAAAGGTACAATTAGTTTTCGATATGGATAATAGTACAATCTGTGATTATCGATAGGCAATGGTGATAAAAGAAGACCAAATGTTAAACCTGTTAATGTTCCCAACCATTGATTTTCATCGACATACATATTTGCATATTCACGTGATGCAATTAATGTAGTTCTCATATTGTATTGAAAAGCAATTCTTAAACGAGATAAATGAATATCAATGATTGGATCGGCCTGAGAAGCATTATCTTGCATCATGTAGACATAGGATTGATCATCAAGACGAATAAAATATCGTAAAAATAGAGTTTGAAACAATGGCGATGATTGATTGACCAAAGTTTGCTTTTTCGCACCGTTATTTGTCACAAAATATCCTGTATCCAGAGATAAAATGTAGAATTTATTCTTCAAAAAATTTACATCTTGAAATGCAACAGGTCGGAATTCGATTAATTGATTTTTTGTATTCCACCAGTGACTATAATTAGACACAAAAATATCTGGTAGCTCAGTCTGAAAATATTTATAATGAACCAATTGAAATATATCATTTGTATCGAGATGTCGCTCTCGAATTACTAACTGATTCGTTTCGTTATTGAGATGAAATTCATAGAGAACTTGTCTATTACTATGGTACGAATGTTTCGTAATATAAGTATTCGGTAATTCAGCCGCTTGAACTTCGAACACGTGTTGCCCGAACACCCGTATAAATAAGTCATCAAAGATAATTTTTTCAGGTAAGAAACCTATAGTCATACCATCGACTAAAAATGCTCCTTTGATGCAATCAATTGATATACATCGTGACCTATATTGACAATCGTACCATCCATCGAAAGAATATCGTTTTCGTTTTTTCCAGCATCCTTTCATCTTCTCTTTCCCATTCAGAACTGTCCAATACATGACAGTAAATTCATTTAAACTGTCATAGGATGTTTTGCAAAGAATTTTTTCAATTGTCGGTTGTACGATTACTAAGACACGTTGGCTAAATCTTATCATATTGTTCATAAAAGCATTGATATCAGTTCGATTTGTAATTAGAATAATACTATCATGAATAGTGGTTGCTGCTTTGAGTAAGAATATAAAATCTTCATTCGACGATAGTAAATAATTAATTCGATCCTCGTGAGTTGAAAATGTTAAGATACAGGAAACACTAACGTTTATTACTTTTAGACGAAGTTTTTCTATTTCATCAAATGCTGATCGAGATATAGTTCGAATACTTTCTGTAATGAGATCAACCCATTTTTCGCCGATCTTTCGACATTTTTTAACTAAATGAATAACTTCATTCTCTTTTGGTGAGTTACAAATTGTCAATATTCTCATGGTAATTATTACAATAACCATTAAAGCTAATTCATTCTGCCAATTCAATTCACACTCATTTAAACGATGATCCAATCGTAAGATCAATTCATCAACAAAATGATCTTGTAATAATTGCTGATGTGATTCTGGACACCAACAATGAGACAAATTCATCGAGTCTACTGTCAACGGACCGTATTGAAGCAATGAATGTATGATTAATATTGCTACACTTTCTTCTACAACAGACAATGAGTCCATTTCGAGAATGATCAATAAATTCCACCATTGTAAACGATGTCCTGAACGAAATGACCCATATTCTACGAATTCTTTAGGTTTCAAGCGTGTTGAACAAGCAGATGAATGAGCAATGACATCGTTTTGTACGAATTGGGTATTGTTTATTGCATATTGTAACTGCTTGTAATCTGAATGATCTAGTTGAGGCGTCAAAATACGACATTCATCTTCAAATTCAACTGGTGTAGTTGCAGAGATTTCAACTTTCAGACCATTTTCCAATAGAAAATTTTCAAGTGGTGTAGATCCAACCGATGGTGGAGAACTATAATGTGATTGATTCATGGATTTAATTCGAGATACTAGTTTGACTTTGGGATTTCGAGGACCAGTATAATATGCTTTCAGTTTATCTTTATGAGGTAGAACATTTAACCATTCATATATCTTTTCTTGCAGTTTTGTTTGGAGACGATTTATAAATTGCCAGATAATATCTCGATAACATCTAATTTCAATTGGCATTTGCAATTCAAAAATAACAGCTAGTGCACTCTCGTGTTGTAATGGTAAGGGAGATTCGAAAATGCTAACTTTCATTTGCTTCGCTTTTTCCACAGTTTTATATCGAACACATTGTTTACTATGAGAATCGTCACGACATTTACAAGGCTGATTCTTGATTTCATCCATCAATTGCTCGTATTTTTCCTTAACACTAGCTACTTCTCTGATTTTGTCTTGTTTATCCTTTTCAACTTGAATTCGAATCTTGTTTATGCTTTCATTCATCACCTGTGATCGAGCAGCAAAATATACGCCAAAAGCATTTTCGGATTTGATATCATGTAAAAGATCTGGATATTGTTTTTGACGAAATTCATTAAAATAATCATAGAGATTGCGAGCTCTTATCATATCGTTACGATTTGGTAAGACTAAAAATTCGAATAGTTCTATCAAATTTGGAATATGTATGGAGTGTAGTTGAAGTCGTTCAAACATTTTATGTTGGCATAATTTTCTATGAAGACAATAAATTACTGTCAATGATGTTAGTATGAATCGACTATAACCTATTGGATCTGTTAAATTTTGTTCTAAACAATAATGTGTCAATGCTACCTTCTGATATGTTTCATAAAAATCTAATATAATTGCAAATCGATGATTTCCATTTATAGTTGATAATGAACGATTTATCCATTGTTCTAAACATAATTCAGTCCAGATTTCCATGGAAATCAAAGCAATATCAATGGTACATTTCATTTGATTTGTCAAGAAGTTATATGAAGGTATATAATCGTTTTCATTTAGATTAACCGAATCATCAGAATTGTTCTTATTTTTGTATAAAACAGATGTTTTACTGAAATTATTATTATTCAAATAAGCTTTCAAATTTCTACACCAGCATTGAGAAACACTTCGATATTTAATAGAATTTAAATTTTTTAATAGAGAGTTTCGTTTCAAGATTTCGTTCATCTTAATTTCATCTTGCCAATTTGGCTTAGGAATTATTTGATTTATTTTCAATTCTATTTGTTGTTTTGTGTATATAATCCATGTATTCATCTCGGTCGTGTTAAGAGCCATTAATAATTTGTCTATTTTATCTAATCTTCGTACGATTTTTCTGGTACAATGAACTAATAGATCGATCGACGTTTGTCTTGTACAAATAACATGCGTGAGCAGATGAGTCATTAATAATTTATATACGACAGTACCAAGGTCTTTCAAATGCTTGTTTAAAATAGTATGTATCACTACTTTAATAGTCATCCATAAGCCTGAACGACGAAATGGTGCCAAGGCAGCGTTCCATCGAATCTGATCACGATGCTTTTTCTTAAACTGTGTTAGGTTATGAGAATCTTCTTCAGCCTCTATTCCTTCAAATTGGTCAATCCACCATTTACAAACATAATGTGATTTTGGTACTTCACGTATTTCGTCTACTATATTAGAAGATTTAATAGATTTGGAATATTCAATGGTATTGTACATGAAATCAATCAACAATTCACAATGAACTTTAGAGATCAATTCAGATCGATCGCGTAGTCTGTATGTTTTTACTGGAAAACAGGAGAAATGCGGTATGATGGAAGAAGTAATCGACGCGCTAGATAATAAGACTTTCCATGCTGAGATTAATGGTTGATAACTATTATTTTGATCGATTTCAATTAAAATTGCAGCATTTTGCATATGAAAATAGAGAGGAAGAAAGTTTCCTGGCGGTAGATGTTCAATAGTGGATTGAATATTCGATATAGCAAAATTGTGGGGGCTCTGTAAACGAGACCAGCGATGAATGCAATCCGTAAGAATAGGAAATACTGGTAACTTAGTTGCTATCTCAGTTAATTTGATGCAATTGAAATATTCATTTACAAATTCCAAGATTTCATTTTCATGAAGATGATTCTCTTTTGATAGATGATCATGATCAGCAGATGACGGTAAGTAATATGGAAGAAAAAGATGATTTAAGATCGATTCATCCATTTTCTATAACGAAAAAGAATTGATTTCTACTAAGCAACAATTCTTCTTACCTTTCCACAGCATAAAAACAAATGAAAGAAATAAGAAAAAAAAATGAAAAGGCACCTGCGATGAAACACATTGTAAAAGCATTCACTTAACTGAAAAAGGTGCTTGAAGAATTGTGCAGCATGTATTGTATTATTTTCTGAGACGCAGACAATCTATTGTAAGTATGAAGGGTTTTGGTTTCGGTAGTGCCACAGTTTACCTAACAGGAGGTTTTTTGATTCACCCGCTTCCTAGCTAATACATTGCTTAGGGAAAGCCATAGATGTGGGTATGGGTCAAGAAAATATACGCACACCCACACCATAAGTGTAATACTAGAAATTTGAATTCAAATATTCAAATATTATAGTTCAATACTTGAAGTTTTCAAATATTCAATTATTCAATTATTGGAAAATTTTAGCTGAAAAATATTCAATTATTCAAATATTCAGATTTTTGGAATATTACACTTGAAAAATGTTCAGATATTTTAGAGAATAGGTGATTGATATAGAGCACATACTCTTAAGAAATTCCTGTGATTTGACTGATACAACCGGAGAACGGATACCCTCGGAAACACATCTTTTATATCGGCGTCGCGGCGTGGGGGCACGAAGCGCCACGACCTAAGGGCGTCTATGTGTACACAGTGCGTGACGTATGTGGGCGTGGGTGTTGCTACGGTAGGCAGTGACGGAGCCAGAGGAGGTTAAGGCCTTCTACAAAAGATTATCAAATCCGATAATCCAGAGACCAGGTCCAACCCTGAAGGGGAGTACAGCTTCTTTTTTTTTTTTGTCGTTACTATGAGTTTTCAAGCAGGTTTTTTGTAAGAATAGTCAGCTTCGACATGGAAGGACTGAGCCTTTGCCCCCCAGCGAATATTTGAATATTTTTCGATTAAAATATTCTAGTATAATATTTGAATTCAAATTTCGTATTTGACACTACTGAGACTAATTGAATTACAAGGATTTCCATCATTACATGCTTTAGCAGCTTTTTTAGATGATAATTATCGTACAAATTTTAATATTCCTAATAATTGGTCTGTGTTTTTTAATGGAAGAGATAAAACTCGTTATATTAATTTATTGAAAGAAATTATAATTGGACCTTATCATCCAGATGAAGTCATATTGATGGATATTAAACCACATGAGCAACATACAGCTGTTGATTTTTATCTTACACAAAAATATCTTGGCATACCTATTGTTGCATTAAGTGATTTGAAACAGGAAGGTAAAAAATTATTTTATGAACAAAAAGGTGAACGAAAATTAATAAAAAGAATTTATAATCGTCTTATATTCGATGAAGTTGATGATGATGCAAATATTTTTAAAGATAATATTGATATAAGACAAGATTTGGATGTTGAATGGATAATACATCCAAATTGGTTTTATCGAATAAGTAAATATCTTTTACCAATATTAAAAGGAGATTGTGTATTCAATACATATTATTTAAATGATATTATTGATGTTAAAAAAAGTGATATTGAAAAAATCAAAGATCCAAAAAATTGGATATTAGAACGAAAAATTGAATATGAACCAGTTTTAAATGTTAATAGTACTCCTATTAAAGGTGAAATTCGTTTAATGTATCTTTGGCCTGATAGTAGAGAAAAGCCAATATTAACTTCAAACGTTCTACGTTTAAGTACAGGCAAAATGATTAATTCTCAACTTAATAAAAATTCAGAATGGGCTGGTTCATCAATGGCTTTTTTTCAAAAACCAACTTAACTATAAACTATATTTTTAAAACCTTTCAAATTTTGATTTTTTTTCTTTCATATATTCAAGCATGTTTATAAAAGAAGACTATCTAAAAAAGTCTATAAAATATAATTATATATTTACGCGCGAAAATTGAATTTTTTTTTTTCCGTCGGAAAAATTAGTTACAATTAATAAGATAAATAACGTATCAATTGATTAAGAGAAACTTATTTTAAAATATTTTTCTTGACTAGAAATGATAAAACTTACTCAATGAGATAAAAATAACCATTCTACCCGCCTCATTCATGAAAAAACTTTGTTATCTTCTTTAAAAAAGTTTTCGTTTTATTTTGTTTTATACATCTACCGCACTGTACATCTTCTAAAACTTTATTTTATTTTCTGTTAAATACAACTTACTTTTAAATTTATATGATTATAAAATCATTTAAAAATTAAGTTTAATTTTGCCTGACACATATACATGCATTTTGCTTCTCCGAAGAAAAATATGTATAAAACTTAAAATTCTCGAATGAAAAAAAAATAGTTTTTTTCAGCATAACAAAATATTCATTTTTATATTTGTTTTTTGTGGACGAAGAAAATAATCAATACGATATTTCTTTTCTCTATAATAAAAATAATGACGATAGAAATTTAAATCAAATGAATAAACATGTATGCTTCTTACTACAACTATCATTAATCAAAAAAAAATTGTATTTTTTTCGTTTATTGATTTTGAAGCTATTAGAAGCACCATTAAATCAATCAGTTGATCAACAAAATAAGTACTCACTTTTTCTTTTATTTTATCAAGCGGAAAAAAAAGTACTAAATGTATGAAAACATAAATGAAAAAAAAGGTGATACAACTTAAAATAAACGAATGTACTAGACGATTTCACTCATAGCAGTGAGAGAAAAAGAAAACGTTCTTTTCGTTTCTTTCATTCATAATTGCGTTTCGTTAGAAAAACAACCATATGTATTACTACTTGTTTTTGGTGTATTCAAAAATATTCCATACAAACGAAAGTCAATATCTACTTATTCATTACTTTTATTTATTTATATATAGATTGAACATATTGTGATTCGAATAAGATGAGTAAAACACCTCAGAATAATAATACGGCCAACACATCGAATGAAGCACATCAAACATTATTAATTAATCCACCACAGAATACTCAAGTAGGAAAATAATTTAATAATAAAACAAATATATAAATATATTTTAGAAAGCAAAAACTTTTCCTAGTGATCGTTTAATAAATATTCTTGTTGGTATCCTTGCATTATTATTCATTATTGTATTAATACTTACAATTTTTCTAGCTATACATTGTTATTCAAATACACATTATTTTACTAAGTATGAATCATTCATATTTATAACTTTTGAAAAGATTTTTCGTTTAATATAGGATACTAGTAGCACAAAACAAAACTAATATAGTAACTGATCAGCTTGTTTCAACAACTGTTATACCACCCATAATAATAAACAGCTTTCGCTCTGTAGGTGGATTTGCTGCACCTCAAGGAAAATATATGGAAAATAATGATGTCGCTGCTTTCGACGATTAGTATATGATATACTTTCTTAGACTTCTTGACTCACTTACTTTTTCTTTTGTATTCACACTAATAGATATTTTTTTTTGAAATATTATTTTAAAATAAAATATATAACAAATACATTATATTATATTCTGTGAAAATGTCTTCGCACATCTTTAATCATGATTGTAAAAATATTGCCTATGATAGTTTTATTGACTATAATGAGATCTCAACAAGTTTCATTTTAATGTTTGTACACACAAAAATCAGAATCAAATCACACTCGTTCACTAGCAGTTGAAAAATGAAGTATTATTTTACAAAAAATTTTGCATCACTCTTCATCAACACTTTTTTAATCGTTCGCAACATCATTAATAAATATACTCGAAAATTGTTTTTATAATATCACCGGATCCATCGCAGACGATTCTATTTGTGGCTGTTGAGAAATTTTTAACCACCAACGATGAACATGTAAAGATTCACCAACAATCAAACGAAGTATACATATTAAACCTAAATTTAAACAGATATTATTAGAAAATTTCTAGATGAATTTATTCTCTTACCGCCATATAATCCTAATAGCGTCAAGAACATATCGGATGGATTATTTTTATCAGGTAATATATATTGACATTCTAATGGATGACATGTATCAAAATAAGCTGTATAATTACGTTGATTTTTCCATGTCATTACAAAAAGATAATCATTTAATTGACCTAAGGAAAGATTTTCAAATTTTGATAAACGGAATCCATCAAAAGGAAAGCAACCATTAACAATGTCCTCAGTAACTGGATCAGTACAATCAAATGAAGTAGCACAAGTACAATTCGAAGAAATAAATTGACGTGGATACGTTGAAATTATATGTTGTTGATCTTCATCAGTAAAATCAAGTTTCCAATTACTTGTAAAAACATTAAATAAATGATTAACTCCAAATGAACGAATAATAAAATTTAAAGTACGACGATAATCTGATGGAATTTGTGATATAAATGTAGCTATAAGAGCTTCAGTTTGAATCATAAATGAAGTATATGTCATTGGTTCTACAGTAACTAATTCTTGAGCACTAAATATATTTTGAGCACTTTTAATCGTACGATTAGCTGTTTGACAGAGTGATGCTAATATACGATAATGAGCACTCAATAATGTCGATACTTTATCACCTTTTTTTGAAAGATCAATCCAATAAGAAGGTTCAATATAGTCACTAGAACATATGGAATGATACTCTGGTATAATAGATAAGAATTTAAAATGAGGAATAGCTGGTGTTGAACAAGGACAAGTTAAAGTCGAAATATTTTTCGAATAAAGATCATTAAAATCATTAGCAGTAGGTAATTTAATTACTGTAGTTGTAGTTTCTTCACTAAATGGACCCGCATAAAGTAGAGCAGCAATAATACATAGTAGAAGAAGTATAAGATAAATACGAGTAGCCATAACTTCTTGACGTTTCATTTTTTCATCAGTGTCAGATATTTCAGTAGAAAATAAATTACATGAATAAATCGATTTATATAATTCTTTGAATGAATATGAATGTTTTATTTGAGTAGAAGATTGTTGATCAGTATTGTCTAAAATTAAATAAAAACTTTTTTTTTATCAGACCCGGAAAGAATTTGACACTATTACCTGTTGTCTGTGAAGTATTTGTATTCTTCTGTTGTTTTTTCCATTTTTGTTTAATAAATCTAACCGATGGCGGTAAAATAATTTCTAAGATAGCACTTAATCCACTATAGAAACCAAGCATCGTTGCAATCATAAATGCTGTATGAAAACGTCGTATTACTGTATATGTACATTCTTTAGGAGCACATCGTTCATAATAAGCTTTGAAATCTTTTGAAATTCCCCAATCTTCTACAAATAATTGTAAAACAATCGATTCTAACGTAGTATTAGAAAGAAATCGACTGGTTTCTTTGCGAAGTGGTTGTACTTGAGTAGTACGATTATCTAATGGATGAAACATACCAATTACATCATAACTACGCATGTTAATAAGATATTGTAAACATTTTTGTTCGAAAAAACATTCAAGAGTTGATTGAAGAACAGAATCAATGGTATAACAACCAAGAACTAATCCTGGTATAGTAAAGTTAGGTTTAGTAGATGAATTATCGGTTTGTAAATAAAATCCTTGTGGAATTGTACATTGAGAAGAAATACCACAAGAACAAGAATTGGAACCAAGATTTCTTGAATAAAATCTCGGTGATACTTTTAATGTTTGCTTATTAGTTAAATATGAAAAACCAGTTGTAGTTAATAAATCTGTAACTAGAAGATTAGTTTGAATTGATGAACGAATTAATTCAAGAAGATTAACAAATGATGTTATTGTTTGTTGTTTAAATTGATTTAATCGTGTTTGAGCCCTTCTATCGAATGTTCTACGTGATAATGTATGACTTGTAACTAATCGACGTGATCGAAACAGGTGAATCGCATTTTCTACAGTTTCTTGTGCTGTTTTACATAAAACACGTGTAAGATCGAAAAATGATCGACCACCATATCGAAAATCAGTAACAAGAAAGAGTGTTGTATTTATTTGAATTTCTTTCAATTCAAAATATAATAGCCAAGATTCTTGAAGAAGTTCACTTGAACATATTTGATGATAACTAGGTGATACAGACATTATTCGATTATATGACATCGAAAAACGTGAACATAAACAAACTAAAGTTGAATAACGGGATTCTAATGTTTCAAATTGTTCTAAAGATGGTGATGTAATAGTTATTGTTTGTGTACGTACAGCTAATGATGTATAAAAAGCAAGGACAAGTATACCAAAAAATAAAAATAAAATATATAGACGAGTTGCTATAATACCAACATGTTGTTCTTCTAAATCATTTTCATTATCAGGTGGAAATAAATTAAATGTATAAATAGTTCGATGTACATGAGCAGTTACAGCTATAAAAAAAACAATATTGATTCAAAACAATTCTTTTAAAAAACTAACCTTCATTTATCGGTTGTAATGCTACCATTTCCATGGTAGTTTGATCTGAAGATTCCGGTAAATGTTTATTTTGTTTTTTCCATTTGATAAAACTCCAAATTTTAACAATAGCTGGTGTAATTAAATCCCAAGCAATAACTAAACCACCAAAAGCACTTATACACATAGTGAATATTGCTAGAAGACGAAAATGTCCTTCATAACTATAAGTAAGTGATCCGGGTGCACAAGCAGTAAAATAATCTTCAAAACTTGATTTATTGAACCAGTATTCAACAAAAAGTGATTTATCAAATATATCACCAATGGTTGTATTTAAAGGAAAACTTGATAAAGTTTTCTTCAATGCTTTCGGAGGTGAAATATTCGATTGAGATGATAAAATATTTATACATGATTGTTGATAGAGACATTCAAGTGTCGATTGTCGAATAGATTCCAAAGGTAAACAACCAGTCATTAGACCTGGAATCTAAATAACAAGAGATAATATATTATTAAACTATAAAATTTATTTACTTGAAAGCGTGGTGGGGGATCTGGTTTAGGTGGTTCGCCAAATTCAGGTGCACTCCAACTATAAAAAGCTCCAACTGGATGAACACATTGATCACCTGTTAATGGACACATACATTTCGACCATGATGTACCATTTTTTTCTAAATAAAGTCTAGGATTTGCAATAAAAAGCTTTGAACCATAGACTGATCTAAGATAAACATTAGTACGTAATGCTGAGATTAATCGATTTTGTGCAAGACTCATTAATACAATTCTTGCTGTTCGATTTTCATTTGCTAAAATATTATTTTGAAGATTATCAATAAGAACAGAAGTTATTTCAGTAAATTCAGCTCGTGAAAAAAGATAATTTGTAACTAAATTAGTTGAATTAAATGCACGATATGCATCATATATTGATTGATTTGCTGTATGACAAAGTAAAGCTAATGCTTGAAATTGTGCAAATGTAAATGTACGAAAATCGAGAATATGATGAGATGTTGCATTTGAAAGAAAAAGAGATGATATCCATTGATTTTTAATAAATGGACTTGAACAAACTTTATGAAATATTGGTGTTAATTTGATAAATTTATGATAAGGATTCGAAACTTGTGTACATGGAACATTAATTGTAGTTGGATAATGAGATTGTAAAGATTCAAAATCAGAAAGCGTAAATTGTTCTAAAGTTTCACTATGTAGTTGAACAATTAGACTAGCATAAATAATAACGGTTGAAAGAGAAATAAAAAGAAATAAAAGAAATAATCGTGTACTAAGAATTTGCTCTGCAGAATTAAGTGTTGATGACCAAAATGGATTGTTTGAAAATAAATTTAATTCACGAGCATTACGAATAAGAGCTGAACGAGTAGCATTAAATAAATTTTTTGAAGATCCACCCGATCTATTACTCATCGTGTTCGGTTAGAATACTAATGTATTGTACGTACAACACAGCATATATATATACATATAATGATTTATCTATAATTAGTAAATGTACTAACATCCGGTACAATAACAAACATATTTCTGACATGTAAAATATTGGATTAGTACCATATAGTTTTATAGCGCATGTGTAATAAACTTTATTGAATAATAAAATATATCTGAAAATTGTACTTTGTATTTCTCTTTTTTTTTCTAATCTATATGCGTTGCAGCGTCCAAATTTTTCCTGTCGAGGACGTCCTATCTAAATAATTTTTTCGCTGAAGTCCGAATAAGCGCTGCGATATATGAATCTATTGTCTCTAATACAAATATAAAAAGCTTTAATATTTTTCTTTTTATTCTCATAACTACAAATGACTAGGGAAATAACAAATAATTAAAAAAAAAAGCAATATTATTTGATCGGTGTATTAATACTTCAGAAAAAAGTAATAATGATAGAATAACCGTTTCACTTACGAGAAAAAAATATATATATATGAAATATTGCGAAATCAAGAGCATATGGTAGAAAACTGTCTACTCGCATTAGTTTGCGATTAAGTATATAAATTGCTGAAAAAGTCATATAATCGAGTTAAAAGAAAGACAAGCAAATTATTTACTATGTCATGACATCTTCATTTATTTCTATTCTTCATTTGTCAACATTGACATAAGAATGGTTACTTTTTTTCCTTCTAACATATCTAACTGTCTTCTTTCTTGAAATGTCATCATTGATTGTTTGGTCATTGTAGAAAGACTAAAAGTACTGTTATTATTAGTTAACGAAGAACAGATAGAATACATATGTATATGTACCAAATAGTTATCAGTTCTCGTTTAGATACGTACCGAAAGCGTTCTGTTTGCTTTTGTCTAAATACAAAAGAAACATCTTATCCACTAAAACATAAGAAACAATATTTTTTTTGTCCATATAAGATTGATACCATAATTATAGATTACAGTCTATATATTAATTCGACTATTATATGAAAGAAATCGAAGTTATAATATTATATTTCTCAATTTCTCTTGTTGACAAGTAATATATATCTAACGTAAAAACTATGATAAGGATTAGAGATATTCTTGTTATCTCTGTTTCTATTGAGTAGTAACAATACACTAAAAACTATGTTAATAAAAAAAAAGCATAAAAAAGAATTCAAATCTGATAATTAAATTTAATTTATGTAAACACGAATAAAATATCAGTTTTAAATTTTGATAACAAGTTTATTTTAAAATGTTTTATTTTATATACAAAATAATTAAAACTTTCAACTTTTTAATGCTATGATTGACTTTTACATTAACAAGTAAAAATTGTAAATTTTCTTTTCGAAATATTTCAAATTTATTAAGATGAATTTTCAATAAAAATTCTAGCTTCTAGTTCGATTAACTATAATTTGTAGAGTTTGCTGAAGTACAGCATCAGAAGAATTATTTTTAGCGCTTTGACGTAGCTATTTAATTATTCTTTTATATCAAACTAAATATCTTAAAATTATACACATAACTATAAAATAAAAAATCTGTTTTTTTTTGACCTCCTTGCTCGGATCAAAGCTTTATGATTACTCAAATAAGAAAATAAAACTCATTTCGTTACACTATGTAAAACAAATATATAGATTTAAAAATTCTAGTTGAAACTAACTGAAAATATTATATTTCAATGTTCAGATTACGTTAAGACCAGTACATAAATACGTATACATATATTTCACATGTCTTATAATAAATAACATCAGCATTTTACAAACCTACAAAACATGATGTGGCAAACGTTACTGAATATGCAATCGAATCTTATTCACATATCAAAATCGATCAATACAATAATCTCATTCGTTTGTCTCTTTGTATAACTATCAAATATAAAACCTTTTTCTTTTTTTTTGTATAATTATAAAATGAAAAATCATTTATTTTTCGAACCCTCTGCTCGAAAAAATATCAGGAGCGTTAAATAAATACATAGCATTCATTTAAATAGAAATATAGTTTTCAATAGGATTAGAACTTTAAACAGCTATGAAGATTTATTTAATACTACTTTCAGATCAAATAGCTACTCGTGAAAATAAAAATTAAAGATTAAATATCGAGCAAATATTTAAGTAGTACTGCAGAATTAAATCATTGCTATTCAGACATAGTATATTAATCAAATAACAACAATTTAATTAGATAGATCTTCAAATCTTTAAATACTGTTAGAGATTTATTTGGCAATCAGCGAAGCACATTCATTAGTATATCTCATCTAAATACCTCCCCATCTATTTATTCGAGCTCCATATATAGGCGAGCAAGATACAAAAGAAGAAATAATATAACAAAAACAATAACTACAGTAAAAATGCTCGTTTAATAATCAAATAATATCCTCGGAACATTCCGTATATTAGCTCTCAGACATTTGAAAAACTACAACAATATTTCTTTCAAACTAAACAAAACTGTCTGAGCATTGAAACTTCTAAAATCAATCAATCTTTTTACTATTAAACAAAACATCTCATGCAAATCTTTTTTCTTCAATACGATAAGAAAAAATAATAATGTCCTAATGTCCCGAGCTTTAAAAAAACAAAGATCAATTATAAACCTTTTATTCTTCAAGAAGATAAAAAAAGATTGAAGCGTTTTTAATTACATACTCAAACAAATAATCCTATACCCTCAAAAACAAAAAACTTTATTTATATAAATTATTTTATCATAACATTTATGCTATAAAAGAGAATCCCAATCTCAACTAAATTCTAAACTAAACTACGACATATATAACGTAAAGACTATGATAAGGATTAGAGATAGTCTTGCTATCTTTGTTTTTATTGAGTAGTAACAATACAATAAAAACTATGTTAATAAAGAAAAGCATAAAAAATACAGTTTCATTTAATAAAAAAAGAATTGTTGATAAAGTTATTATATCTAGCAGATAGTATGAACGGTTGGATGTTTGTGCTTTTTTTCAACCTTGCTATTGCCGTTTTGATTTCCAGTTATATGTTTGTTCGATCATACACCTATATCGATTTTTTGTCGATGTTGAGTTGATCGTCGATGATGATGTTTACTATTATGCGCTGCTTTTAATGAATTAACTGAATCTTCATGTCCATGTTCATCAGCCAATCGAATTAGTATTAATCGAATGTCTTTGATAAGAATTGAAGCAATATGTCTGGTAAAAGTTTCACGTACAACAATTCTACAAACAGTAATATCATTCGCATTAGCGGCCAATGTATAAGCAGGTATAATCCAACCACATTCTTTCAAACATTTAACAAAATTTGTCTCATTAAACGTAAGTTTTTTTGATGGATTAATTGAAAATGCGACCATTGGTAACGAAGGTTTATCGTGTTGACTATGAATAATAAACAATTCTTCATCCATTGCTGTTAATGATTCAGCCACATATTTTGCGTTGTCCACAGACAATTGCATAATTCATTCGTAACCGTCAACGCCTAATCGAAGAAATTGATAATATTGTGCAATTACATTGGCAGCAGAATGTGAAAAATTAAGATTATATGTTGGTTCATCAACACCCAAGTAATTAACATGAAAGATGAAATCTTCAGGAAGATCTTCATTACGTCGCCAAATAACCCAACCTAAACATGGTAGTACGAGACCATATTTATGACCACTTGTATTAATCGAACGAATCTGTTCTAGTCTAAAATCCCATTCAACTTCAGGAAAAACAAAAGGAGCAACCATAGCACCATCAACATGAATGGGAATATCCAAATCTTGAGGTTGTGGGTGCGGGTATAGGCAAAAGATGTAATAAACACGCACACCCGCACCTACACACCCACACCCACACCCTGAAAATAAATTTTTAACCATTTTTTTTGTTCATCATGACTTGGATATATAGTAAAGTCTGCATCTTCAACAACAGCATATTCAATAAAATGATTTGCAATATCAAATAAAGCATAATTTAAATTTGTAAATTCAAAATCAATAAATGATATTGTTTGATTTTTATTATTATAAATGATATTTTTAACAAGAAGATCATTATGACATAAAACAAGATCTTGACCATATTTAGGATTTGGAATAAGTCGAGGTAAAATACGTTCTTCTATTATATCTATATCGGATATAATTGATGATAAATCAAATGAATTTTTATCTAATAATTTTAAAAACTGACGTAGAATTAATATTATATATGGTTGTTCAGTTTCTTCAACAGGTATATTATGAATTTCTGCTAATTTTATTGCAATTAATTTTGAAATATTTTCTTCACGTACATCATCTCTTGAACATGTCTTACCCGGTGCAAATTCATATATAATTCCATTATTAAATTGAATAAGAACACGTTGAGAAAAAACACCATGTTCATGAAATTTAATCATTGCATTGATTTCTGCTTGTCGATCAATAAATAATTCGATTTGAATACCATAGATTTTAACAATTAATGCATTTGAATCATCATCTGGAGTTCGATTATCAAAAACACCTAAGATAATATTTGTAAGACCTTCAGTAAATGTAACCAGACGAGTATTTAATGATGTCCAATCCGATCGAATTGATTTAATTAAAGGATAGATTTCATTCGTAATACTTGAATTAGATAAAGTCACATTCTCAATTATTGGATATGATTTCATACTAGAATATATTCAAATCAAACGAATTATAAACTTCACAATAATTCTTATCAACTGAAGTCCTCGACATAACTGTTAATAATAATAAAAATGGCATTCATTTCTATTATGAATAGATCTCTATACGATATGAAATACAATCATTATACTATCGATATTCCATTATATTCAAAATACAAACACAAAATCATTTAAAATTTTTATTTTATCTGTTAGTATTCTTCTATACAAGGGATTATATACAAACCAATAAAAATATATTATTTATAGAGGGTGGGTGTGATTGTGGATGTGGATCTGAGCAAGGATGATAACGAAGAAGATACACCTACACCCACACCCTCAAAGTTGAATCAGTTTTAATTGTTGATGCCTAAATAAAGAAAAAGAAAATAGAAAGAAAATATTAAATTGATAAATAACTTAATTTTTGTGATAGATTTATATTTAAATGTCCGTGATTTGTTGGTGATAAACGAGATAATTCATCAGTTGTTATTGAAGCAAATATTCCAGCTATAAATGAAATTGATTGAAGTTTTGATGATATTAATGATGGTGGTTCAGGTGATAAAATTAAACCAGAAGTAAAAGAAGTTTTGGGTAATGATGAAGAGGGTGTGGATTCATATTTCATTTACTCACACTGGCATTCTAAACAAAAACAAATTTTCCTTCGCTCTTTTATTCAAAAATTTCTTTTTCTTCAGGTTCTATTCGATTTTTTATTTAAAAAAAAATTTCATTTACAAAATTATTTCTAATTTTTCAATTCGATGATTTCTCCAATCAGCAACATAAAGATTTCCTTCATCATCACAAGATAAGCCCATAGGATAATTCAATTGATTTGATTGATTTTCGAAACCATTTCCACCAATAACAATTTCGCCTTCTTCTTTTCCTTCACACCAACGCGTTATTCGATGATTCCCCCAATCTGCCACATAGATTTGACCCAAATGATCAACAATTACTCTGTGAGGTAAAGACAACTGATTGAGATTTCCTCCTTTACCATTTCCTCCAGCCACAATTTTCCCTTCTTTTGCATCTTTTCTCCATTTCATCACACGGTGATTGTTTTGATCTGATATATAAACAGATTGATCGTAATCAACAAAGATAAAACCTGGAGAATTGAGCTGACTGAGTTGATTTCCATTTCTATTTCCACCTGCTACTATAATTCCTTCATTGTCATATTCACCTATTTTCCATCGTCTCACTTCATTCTTCACACTATCCGAAACATAAAGATATCCATGTTTATCCATTGCCAAGCCAAAACAGTGAATATTGTCAATAAGAATATGTTGCTTTTGATTCAACCATTGAATCACCCGTCTGTTATCAGAATCAGCAATGATGATCGAATGGTCTTGCTCATCAACAATCACATCTGATGGAAAATATAATTGATCCATTCGGTTTCCTTCTTTATTTCCACCTGCAATGATTTGTCCTTCCTTTGCATTACGTTTCCATTCAACAATACGATGATTAGCATGATCAGCAATGAAAATATTTTTGTTTTTATCAATAAAAATTCCATTAGGGTAATTGAGTTGATTTAATTTTTGTCCTTGTCCATTTCCACCAGCCACAGTAATGGCATTTTGCTCCCATTTGTTGAATTTTGGTTCTAGAAAATGATGAAAACAAAAGATTCATTTTTAATGAAATTTGCAAATATAGAACGTCTAATGATTTCAGTATAGTTATCAATTTGTTGAAATATCAAAGAATAAAGAAAAACTATAGTAAAAATCGATTAATGAAAGAGAAAAATTAAACAGTAGAATAAAGATTTCTAATATAATCACGCAATTTTTAATGAACTCAAATCCAATCAAATTTATTCATATGTTTGCCATAAAATATCAACATATTCTTTTTACAGATTCATTTCTACTAAATTTTATTAAAAAGTGTTTTTATTTACCGATCATAGAAAATATCTGTCTTCATTAATAAATATCAAGAAAAGAGAACTAGTTTTATTAAATAACTAAATTAATACTCACAAAAATAAAAATTCTAAAAATTCTCTTCTCAATAAACACCCTTCTATAATACTACACTCTGTAGAAAGTTTATACTGTAAATGAATAGATGGAATTAATAAATCTATCATCTCTAAACAGATTTTCCGATCGAAATATAATCATCCAATTCTTTGTTACACACCAAGTTAGAATTGCTTTCACTAATAAATTAATTAATAAGATTGTCGATGTTTTTTCCCTTCTTCATCATTATAATTTTTCAACAATATCATAAAAAATAAGAATTTTTCTTTCTAAAACTATTTCCTAAAAACTTACTTTCTAATGAAATAATTGAAATTTCATTAATAAATGATTGTGAATCTTGTTCAATAGACATGTTTGACGGGTTATTTAGTTCTTGATTCATTTTCAGTAATTGATTTTTTAAGTAATTTAAATTAATTTCATTAAATTCATTTTCTTTTTGCATTTGTTTTATTTGTTCATTTAAATCATTAAACTTCATTTCTATATCATTCAAAAATGTTTGTAATGATTTAATGACAATTTCTCTACAATCTTTTGCTTTTTTTTGAATTTTTTCGATGGAGTTTGTTTCCCATTGATTAATTTGATCTATTAAAGAAAGATCATATGGGTTTGGTTTTTGTTCATTAAATTTTTGTTTAAATTGATCGTAATTATTAATGATATGATGTAATTCTTCATTTAATATTTGCTGATGTTCTGTTAAATCCAATAAACAAAATTTTTCTGAACATCCTTCACAAGTAAATGTTATTTTCTTTTTATTGCATTTAAAACATTGTGTTTTATTGTTTGCTATTTCCATATCTTTGAATATAAATTTATAAAAGAAATGAATACCTCGTTATTAAATTAATAACTCAATGACAATAAAAAGATTGTTCTGTAGTTGAAGAACTCGAAAAAATTTTAATGTAGATTTGGATGTAGGTAAAGATTAAACATGTATAGATCTGCACTCATTCTTAAGATAGTTATTATGTGATATGCTTTTTTGCTCATTTTTTCGTATCATTACAAAAAACTAACTTACCTAAATGAAGCTATTTCAAACAATTGAATTTCTCAATTTGTGATATTTTTTTAATTATTCTGATATGAATAAGAATTCTGCCTATACCACTTGCGAGCGAACAAATAAAATATTCGTTATCTACATCAACCACATATATAATAATATGGGTATTTTTCTCTCTTTTTTTTAATATATATATGATCGTATCGTATTTTTTTCTTCTGTTCTGTTGATTTCTCTCGCAATGAGTTATTTCCCAGTTATGAGCAAAGGGATATCACATATAGCTATTTTCCCAGAATATATTCTATTGCAGAGATGGAAATAATTAAAACAGTATAATCTCTTTTCATCGTATAAATAGTCGCGTTTTTTTCTAAAATCAACGAACTATTGCTAAACTTTCAAATATCATGTTTTTCTTCAAGTTTCGATAAGACTGTAACTCCACTTTGTTTTTGATTAAATAGATTTTTAGAGTTTTATTCCGAAACATGATCGACAAATGAAAAGTAAACAAAATGAAGAAGAATATTTTTTTCAACTAAAAATAAACTTTCAATAGTTTTGTTTTGTTAATTGATGAAATTGAAAATGTTAAATGAATTTTTCCACAGTAGAAAATCTATCAAAAATAAAACCATTGATAAATATAATAATTTAATTGAAAAAGAAAAAATATATCAAACTAAATAAAAAAAGATATACTTAATGATCTATTTCATAATCAAAACAAAGGTAGGAGATGATTACATTTTTCACCGACCACACCCTATTACAAATTAATAATACAAATGGTCGATTATCATCATTAGCATTGCCAACGAATTTTTTCTATTATTTTGATAATTTTATACATTTGTCCATATTTTATTGTAGTAAATTCATTAGTTTCTTGATTTTTATAAATAAGAAGTGGTGATAAATGAAGTAATTTATATGCATTTTCAATTAATTCATGTTTATGATTAATAGCTATTGAATTAAGATGACATCCAGAAAAACAGGTATTAAATGTACATTGAAAACAACACCAACGATTATCACGGTTTCAATTCAAATGCATGAGAATTTACTTACAATAGAATGTTCTATATAAAAATATATAAAAATGAAACTAGGAAAAAATTTGATGTTAATCAATATTGAATTAATTTAAACATATTTTAATTTTTGTAAACATAGTTTATGATAGGAATTCTTGTAATTAGGTATTTAAAAAGATATTTACGCAGAAAAAAATGAAAGTTTATGCCTCATCCGACTTTGTTTGTTGTAAATTGAGAGATATTGAAATCTTGTATAGAACTTTCATTATAAATTGATTAATAAATTCTTTTTTCCATTAAATAATTTCTGAAATTATGATAAAACTTTTTTCAAAATTAGAAATTATGTAAATAAGATTGAAATATTTATTTTATTACCAAAACCACAACACTATCTATTATAGAAAAATAATCAATTAACTAAAAAATTCTAGATCGCTATCATCGAGATCTACCATCATCATCAATACCTTCACCAGATAATATATATTATAAGATGTTTAGCTTTATCATGTAAATAAAAAACGTTATTCACTAATGTTTGTTGATTCATTATATGAAATTTTAATAATCATGTAAAATGATCAATTTAACTTGCCTATAATGAAAGATTTTGTTCAGGTAACATTTTTTATTATAAAATCTTTATCTATATCTATAATATTAGATGAATAGTTATACGACGTATGTTTGATGGATTATGACGATAGAATTTGTTTTCAATAAAATCAATCAAAGAAATAAAGATTAGAACGATTCAGTGCCGTACGAAATAGTGAACCAATACGTTTTGAACGAGAAAACGCATTCGATGTTGATTCAGATACTGATTGTTCATCACGGTGTAGATCATTTATAACAACTTTTGATTGATCTTCATGTCGTTCAAATAATGTAGAATAAGAATCAGATTTATATGGCGAATGAATAGATGATACTAAATGACAAGAAATATTATATATATATTTATTTATTTATTTGTTTATTCATTTACTATTTCGTTGCTGAGGTAAACGATCAAAATTATAGATATTATTATCAATAATTGTATTTGTTTCACTCGATACAGATTTTTGCCAAGTCGGATACTTTGTTTCTAAATATTGTGAATAATCAGATTTTAAACTTATTAAATGTTCTACATCGATATGTATTTGAGCTACATTACGTTCTGCTTGTGTTATATCATTTAATAATTGTAAATTACGTTCTTTAGCACGTTGGGATTCTTGATTAAGTTGTGTAAAATATGATTGAATATGATCAATTTGTTGTTGTTTTAGTCGTGAATCAATATTCGATAATGATTGTAGTTTTTGTTCAAGTTGAATACGCTCTTCTTCACATTTTAAAATTTTCGAACGTAACTGTACACGCTTTTTATGATAATCCGCTAGCATAGGCGATATCTTAATTTTTATTCTTTAACAGAAACGATTACAAGAAAAAAAAAGAAAAGATATAATTTACATATATATATGATATTACAAGATAAAAAGCAAAACGATTGCTCACATTCTTACCTTTCTCTTTTATTATTTTTTTTTTCTTTTTTTTTCTTTAAGGATATCAAGAGTGGCCGTTATGCTGCCATAATTTGACAGAGAAAAACGAAAAAGAAGCAGAATAGATTTGATTCACGTCAGCGATTTAAGAAGAAAAAAAAGAAGTTGTTCTATTAATATAATATTGCTAGAATAATTATTTTCATTTGAAGATAGACTGAAAACTGTTGTATTATATGTTATATTTATTTTATCAAAAATGAAGACAATTATTATCTTGTACGACTATTGCGTTGATATAATGAGAAATTTCTGTTATTTGTCTGTTGCTTTATTTTGTTGTTAGAAAAATGAATTAGTCTATAGTTTTATTGAGTAAGACAAACATCGAAGTAACTGGAAAAACTCCACGTACAGAATATAGATGATATTGCTACGGTAACGTTAGTATAATCGTCTTTGACGCACATTTCTACCTATCCCGTTCGAATGATTCTCCATATGTGACAATAAAACTAAGATTCAGGTTAAACGGAAAATATTGTTTTTATAAATGATGAATATTTTTACTAAATTATTCTGTAGTTTCATTGATTGTTTATAAGTCTGTATTGTTCTAATTGACAACATATATTTATAGAGGATGTGGATGTGGCTTTACTTTTGCCCACACCCACACCCTCTTTCAGTTGTAAACGAGTGTGTGGAGATTTTCATGAAATCTATTGTGTTACACAAATGTTTTCTCTTCCGTATACCTCCACCGATATTAATCTAAATCGTTCAATTGATTTATTGAATATTCAATTTAATTAGGATTTCGAAGAGAATAAAATATCGAAAAATTTCTTGAACAAACTTAAATCTCGGTGCGGTTTGAAATGAATTGTTTATTTCTATGTTTTGTCAAGGTTTGCAATGTTCATATAATCAAGATTTATTATTCAATATCATTTATATTCTTGTTACGACTAAAGAGAGAGAAACTATGTCAGACAATGTGAAAAATCATGTTCAGTTGACACATTTCAGCATTCTCGAACTTAAGGATTAACAATAGATTGTAATGGATATCTTTATTATGGTGAGATGTATGATTCTACTATTTATCAATTAAATATGATGACGAATCAGAATCAAATGATTGTTAGAAATGAAGATCATTTACAAAAACTTCTTTATTATTAGTCAACACCGTCGATTACAATTGATAAATTCGGCGGCAATATTTTTACTGTGGGACATGATCAAGTATAAAAATATTCTATGGTACAGAAATAATATTTAAAATGTTTTTATTAAAATTTATATATCTTCATTATTATGAATAAATTAGAATTCAATAGTAAATTTTTCTATTAAATTAAAAGATGAATCAGTAACATATAGATCTCCATTTGTTTTATCGAGATAAATTCCTTCTGGATAAGAAAAATCATCATTTTTTCTAAAATTTTGAACCCATTGAGAATAAGATTGAATTCCAATAATATCAATTCCTGGTAAACCTGTATTTTGATTGATTAATTTAATTGTTCTATCTTGAGATATATAAAGATTTCCATGACAATCATATTCAATTGCATTTGGGCATACTGATCCACCTTGCATAACAATTTGACTTTTATTAGAATTATTTATCCAACATTGAATTCGATTTTTATCTGCAACATATAAATTATTTGTTTTTTGATCAATATAAATACTTTTTGGATAAGTTAATTGATTTTCAACAACAATAATTAAATAGTTATTATAATTTGGTGATAACCATTTAACAATTCGATGATTATTATATTCTGATACATAAATATTGAAATCTTCATCTAAACTCATTCCATATGATCTTGTTTGATTTCCAACAACAAGAATTGTTGATTTTAATGGATTTGAATTTAATTTAAGTAATTGTACACGATAATATCCTTGATTATCTTGATCAAGAAAAAATAAATAATTCGATTCTTGATCAATAAATAAACAACGTGGATAATTTATATTTGATGTTTCATCAATAAGGGTTTCACTTGTATTAGAATTTTCAGAAGAATATTTTCGAATTCGATGATTTGTTGTATCAGCAACATAAATATTTTTTTCACGATCAAGATAAACAGATGTTGGTCCATTTAATTCATTTAATTTATCATTAGATGTGGATAACACTCCAGCAACAATGGTGCAATTTTTTTTATACGTTGGATTAATCGGTAATTGACAATTAAATGAAATATTATGTTTTATTGGTTTTGGTGTACTTAATATAATTTTTATTTTTTTATTTAATCGCTTTTGTTTCAATATGAGAATCACTCCCGTCATTATTATTGTTAAAACTAAAATACATGTTAGATAAATAGCATATTTACGCAATTTAATTCGTTTGGTTGATCGATTATTAACAGTAAGGTTATCATAGTCAGGTAGATGATCCATTGAATAATATGTATATGTTGCATCACAAAAATCCGACATAATAATTAACGTATCGATAATAAAAAAACACATAATTTTTCGTCACATGATATCAATTTATTTTCAAGGTGATTTATTCAAGTGTAACGGAACGAAAGCATGCGATATACTTCCTTTACATTTGAATGACTCGTCACGTATTGATAAATAATTTGTAAAACTTGTTTTTCTCTATTTAATATTCAAATGGATATACATTCTTTTCCATGTCGTCAAATAAATAATGTTAGTGAAGAAGATATATTAGATGTATTTCGATTAATATGGTTAGATCAAAATTGTGGAAATGATCATTTAGATATTTTACAAACAAAAATATTATTAAAACAAATTGATAATAAATGTTATTTTTATAATGATATTTATAAATATCGTGATGATTTAGAGAAAAAAAATCTCTTTCAAAAAAAATCTCTATTAATTATATCAGGTTTATTTGTTGAAACACTTTTAAACGATTCTTCTATTAATCAACCCTTATCATTGATTATTTTTTGTAAAGATTATGATAAATATAAAGAATATTTAAATAAATCTTATGTTATTGATATTTGTACAGATCATAATTTATTAAAAGCATCAATTGAACGTTTTGGTCCATCATTAAAAGGTAGTTTATTTGCAAATCATCGTTTAAATACAATAATATCATTGCGAACAACATCATATAATAATACAAATGCACTTTATTCATATCTTTTATTTATTGAAATATTAAAACAATCATCAAATATGGATCAAGCAAAAGATTCAATGATAAAACAAATAAATTATTTTCATTGTAACAATGAAAACTATCTTTCAAGTATTAAAACATTTAATGAAACATATAAATCAGTTGATGCAATAGAATGGTATACAAAAGATACATTTCTTTATCCATTAATTAATAAAGCATTTCGAACAGAAGATTCAGCAGTTTGGTATACATTTAGATTTTATATTAATGATTTATGTAAACAAATTCAAAATGCTCATCAAAAACTAAATAAAAAAGAACGATTTCGTGTCTATCGTGGACAACACAATGTACCTAAACAAGAACTTGATAATATTATTACAAATCGTGGTGGATTAATATCTTCTAATGGATTTTTTTCGACATCAAAATCATTTATTATTGCTGAAGCCTTTTGTGGTATTAGAAAACATGAAGAAAATTTTTGTTCAGTTATTTTTGATATTACAGTTGACGCAAACGAATTAAAACATACGGTATTTGTTGATATTGATGAATATCTTCACCGAACATCGGATGAAGAAGAAATTCTTTTCAATATTGGAACAGTTTTTCAAATTGATGATTGTGAAAAAGTAGAAAAAGAAGGTTTTTGGCGAATTCACATGCATGCAACAGATGAATGTATCGAGGATATACAACATCGAATGGAACCAATTAAAAATAAATTATCGACAATAAATATAAATCTTTTTCTTGGAAAATTATTAATTGATATGCATCATTATGATAAAGCTGAATCATATTTTAATATGATTTTAAGAAATTTACCAGAATATTATCATCCTGATCAACCATTTATTTATGAATATCTTGGTGATCTACAAATGCGTGTGAAAAATTTTAATAATGCATTGGAATATTTTCAAAAATCTTATGAATTAAAACAAAACTTATATTCTAAAGATGATCAAAATATGTTTATGACATATAATCATCTGGGAAATTATTATAAAGCCATTGGTGATCTAAAAACAGCTGAAATATATTATAACAAAACATTTAATTATAAAAATAATCCAATTAATTTTGCAATAACAAAATTAAATCTTTCAACAATATTTGTTTTTAAAAAAAAATATTCAAAAGCACGACAAATGTGTTTAGATGTGCAAGAGATCTTTAAACAACTTCAACCAATACCTCATGCAGATATTATGGCTTGTCAAGGAATTTTAGGAGATATTTATTTAAAACAAGAACAATATGATATTGCTCAAGATTTTTATCTTGATGCATTTCAAATGGGTAAAACATATCTATCAATTGGTGATCCACGTTTAATTCATTGTATTTGTGCACTTGCTGATCTTTATTATAAACAAGGAAAACAAACGCTTGCAATGGATTTTTGTAAAGAACAATTATCTATTCACGAAAAATATTTATCAAATACAAATCATATTTGTATTGCACGAATTCTTTTAAAAATGGGTGATCTATCAAATGATATTTCTTATTATCGAAAAGCGATGGAAATTTTTAATAATAATATGCGTTTTGATTATTTATCAACTGCAAAATGTCTTATGAAATTAGCAGAATTGGATCCAAATGATGAAAGTGAAATTTCCAGGGCATTGGAAATTTATCGAATAATTTATCCGCCTGGACATTCGATACTGATTGAAACGGAAAAAGAGTTAATGAAATTAAGAAAAATAAAAAGAACACGTCAATGTAGAGTCGAACAAAATCGAATAGAACAAATTTCATTGATTGATGATCAAATTTATCAAACAGAAAAAGTCGAATAATTTGTATCAGATCTTTGACGATTGTCATTAAGACATTATCAGAATTTTAATCTAAACAAACTTTGCTTTTGAGTACATATATTATGTATTTTCTCCGATTTTTCTAGATGACAGATATTTTTGATGTCGAATATCCATTAATAGACCCCACAACTAATCTTTCTCCTGATGATAATAATAATAATGATGACGGTAACATTAATAGACCTTTTGCTAAAACAAAAAAACGAATTCTTATTGGTTGTCTCATTGGATTTTCAGTAATAATTTTATTAATAATTTCAATCGGAATAGTTCTATCGAGAAAATTATCTACAATATCTAACACGACCACAACCATAACTGTACTGGACCAATCATCAATAAGTAAGATCAATATTACTTATACCAATCATTTAAACTTCTTTTAGTATTTAGCAACAACAGAAACAATTACTTCTTCACCAAAATCCTGTCCTATTCCATCTGAAAATGCAACATGGAATAAATCAGATGTAGTGTTTATTAATCAAATTGGTCGATGTTTTCCAGGTGAAGATGAATTATGTAATCCAACGGATTTATTTATTGATGATATTCACAATACTCTGTATATTGCCGATACGGGTAATAATAGAATACAAAAATATTTATTAACTGAAATCAATCATTCGAAAGTAAGTTCTACTGGTATTACTGCGGCTAGTAAAGATCTTATTTTACCACAATCTATTTTTGTTAATATTCATACAGAAGATATGTATATTTTGGATTTTGATCAAATAGAAAATTTTCAGTTAGGAAATTCAGCCTCCTATCGAGTTCATTTATGGAAGAAAAATGTAAAAATTGGAAGAATTTTATTTAGCCAAGCAGCTGATCATTCACTCGGAGTATATTATCATCATATTACATTGGATAAAGAAATGAATATATACGTTGGAACAAGATATTTTATTGAAAAATGGTTGTCATTGGCAAATTACACAGAAAAAATTATTGTTGCTGGAAACAGTCAATTTAATTCACAACAATCAACTGGTTTATTTTGGCTATCAACATTTTTTGTTACTAATGATTTGACAATATATATAGCTGATTGGAAAAATAGACGTATTCAACAGTGGAAAGTTAATGCAACAGAAGGTACAACAGTCATAGGAAATTTAACGGATGTCACAGGAATTACAATGGATTGTAATGGATATCTTTATTTTGCTAAGACATACCCAAACTTAATTTTTCAATTAAATTTGGTGACGAATGAGACTCGAATTATTGTTCATTTTGAAGATGATTTAAAAAGACATGAATTTCATTCACTAAATGTAATTCAAATTGATAAATTTGGTAATCTATTCTTTATAGATGGTGGGAGAGTACAGAAATTTTGTATTGTACAGAAATAATATTTGAATTACCTTCGATAATCTTCATTTTCATGAATAAAAAGATTGTACTTATAATCTATTTTGAGTCTTCTTCTAGGCAATCAATATTTGAGGGTTGTTGTTCGATATGTTCTGTTTGTTTTTAACAATCCCTCTTGAGAGAATATCGATTAATCGTATGTGGTTTTGAATCATACAGTGTTTTCTATCTTCGATTTCTTGAGAGTCATAAAATGAAACAATCTCGGTACTTCAGTATTGATTAAAAGATGTCACAGACTAGAGGTGTTACTTTCGCAATCTGTTCTTAAGAACCGCGCAGAAGATAAGAATTTAGAAATATATAGATAGTCTTTCTATTAATTAAATTTGACTTTCATCAACAATCTTTCTCATTTTAGATAAGATGCACACATTGAGAGATATCATGTTCTTTAGGAATGAAGAATGCTGGCGGTCCTAACACAGACCATAAACGATACTTTGATTAATCAGTTAATTAATTGATTATACATTTAAGCAACTATCATAAACCATAACCAACATCGCAATACTCAATTATATTAAGCGAAACTATATAGATATGATATAGAATATATAGAACTTATCTATATCTAGCAAGAGGTTATAACAATTTAATTTGTTAAATAAAACCTATTGGATGATATTTCACAAAAACTCAATATAATATGATAGAAAAACAATCATATCTTTGAAAGTCAATATTTAATAATTACATCGGATTTTTATATGTTGAAATATTTTTATAAACTTATTTTGGTCATAAAAATTATATTTTTATTTTTAAGTTATGCTATTGGTAATTATATGGATATAGATCATGATTTATTTGAAAATCATCGTTTAAATACAATAATATCATCTTATAATAATACTTCATATTTTGTTATTCATCGAAATATTCTTCAAAAAGAAGAAAATTCAATATTAAATTATTTTATAACACACATATAGATCAACTCATGCAATTCAATGACATACAAAAGAAATATTTCTTTATCCATTAATTAATAAAAGCAGCATTTGAAACTGAAGATTCAGCAATGTGTTTTACATTTCGATTGTTATATTAGAGATTTATGTATGTAAACAATTGGAAGAAATTCATTAAAAACAAAATATAAAAGAAGAATTTCGTGTTTATCGTGAACAATTACATATAACAAGCGAATATATGATAAAAATTAGGTAACAACGAATGCGGTTAATTTAAAAGAAATTATAAATATAAATCTTTTCCTGCAAAATTATTAATTGATATGCATTATTATGATAAAAGTGAGTCATATTTTAAAAAATTTGCCTCATACGACGAACCGTCCAGAGCAGCCATTAAAATGGGCGTTAAAAATTCTAATAGTACATTCAAATATTTTCAATCAGCATATGAAAGAAAAGGAAATTATTATAAAATTTTTCATAATTTTAAAATAGATGAAAAATATGATGAAAAAACATTAAATAATGACAAATAATTCAATGATTATTATTGAAATAACAAAATTAAATCTTATCCATAATTAATACTAATATAAGATTTCATTATTTATCAACTGCAGAAAGCTTTTAACACGATCAATACGATATTAAAAATGTGAAATACAATAAAAATTTGTATATCGAATAAATTAACAAATTTATTAGATATTAGGTGAGTTTTAACATAAGGTAAGTAACCTACAGGTAACGGTCTTTCAGGAAAGAATAGGTTCAAATTTTTAATCCTATACACTTCAACACTCTCTTTCAGATCATATTTCACAATAATCAAAGTTTAGTATCTATCATCGAACGCTGAGAATATATAGAAATCTTTATCCACTTAAACATATTATATATTGATTAAAATGGAAGAAGAATTATTGCAATTGGAACCACGTGAAAATACGGTAGAAGAAAATAATCTGGAACCAACTTTATCACTGACTGCTGATCAAAATAATCAAGAAGAACGACAACAAGAACAAGAAGAAATTAATGATGATGTACCACTTCTGTCAAATCATAGTAACCAAAGTGTTGTCATTAGAAAATCTTGTATTCTAACAAAAAATAAAGTTCAAATTAGTTTTATAATTATATTATTATTAGTAATTATATTACTCATTTCAATCAAAATTCCAAATTCTTCATCACGTAATCAACCCCAATCATCTCCAATTACAGTATATAACACAACAACAACAACAAGAACGACTGAACTGACTCAATCACCAATAAGTAAGATCAATGTTTTCTTTTTAACAATAATTCATATCTTCTCAATTATTTAGCAACAACAGAAACACTTACTTTGCCACCAAAATCCTGTCCTATTCCATCTGTAAATGCAACATGGAATAAACCAGGTGTAGTATTTATTAATCGACTGGGTCGATGTCTGTCAAATGAAAATAGTTTATGTAGTCCGAGAGATTTATTTATCGATAATGTTCATGATATTCTCTATGTTGTTGATACAAATAATAATCGAATACAAAAATATTCGTTAAATGAAATTTATAATATGGAAGTAGGTGCAACTGGTATTACTGTGGCTAGTAAAGATCTTGTTTCACCACAATCTATTTTTGTTGATATTCATACAGAAGATATGTATATTTTAGATTTTGATCAAAAACAAATACGTAATCCAGTAAATCTCGTATCTTATCGAGTTCATTTATGGAAAAAAAATGAAAAAATTGGAAGAATTTTATTTCGTGAAGCAGGAGAACATCTATTTGGAGTATATCATCATCATATTACATTGGATAAAGAAATGAATATATATGTTGGAACAAAATATTTTATTAAAAAATGGTTAGCATCAACAAATTACACAAAAAAAATTATTGTTGCTGGAAAGTATCAATTCAGTGGAAATCAATCGACTGATCTGTCTGATCCAGTGGGTTTCGTTGTAACAGATGATTTGACAATATATATAGCTGATTGGCAAAATAAACGTATTCAACAGTGGAAAATTAATGGAACAGAAGGTACAACAGTCATAGGAAATTTAACGTATGTCTTTGGATTAACGATAGATTGTAATGGATATCTTTATTATACCGAGATGTATGAGTCTACTATTTATCAATTAAATATGATGACGAATCAGAATCAAATGATTGTTAGAAATGAAGATCATTTACAAAAACTTATTTATTATTGGCCAACAGCGATTACAATTGATAAATTCGGCAATATTTTTAGTATGGGACATGATCAAGTATATAAATTTTCTATAGCACAGAAATAGTATTTAAATTGTTTCTTTTTTATATATTTTCATTTTCATAAATAAAAGCATTGTCGGTATAGTCTATTTCGAGTTTCATTCGAGACCATCAATGGCTGAAAGTTGCTATTCAATATTTTTGACTTGCTTCAGTCAGTCCATATCTTCATAAAGTTGTTTGGCTGCTTTCAAATCTATACGAGCCGTTTTTGAAGTCACGTAGTTTCAGATGAACACTGTCTTCGTAGATGTAAAATATGCGTTGTTAGGTACGAGACAAGGGTGATGGTGGGTATAGATATTTCTCTATCATATAGATTTTCAGTCTCTTTCACATTCTAACATTTAAACTATTTGTTCCTTAACAACGACCAGCATCCCGTTTAATTCTCTTTCTCTCTTATCATATCATATATAGTGCATTACAAGGAAATATACTTTGTTGTGCAATAATACAAGAAGAAAAGAAAATATAAAAGAGCGCGCATTGATCGCAGAATTAGCACAGTCTACGTCCAACCAATCTAAACACACAACAGTCATACAATATTTAAAGGTTCAAATCAAATTTACCACGGTTGATGATTCATCAAAAGGTACTTGAAAACGTGAACGCACAGATTCTGATGCTAAGACGCAAGATGACATCATAGTTTCGTTGAGCATCTTGAGGGTGTGGGTGTTGTGTATGGATTCTATATCCATTACACACCCACACCCACACCCAGCTTGTGATATGTATCACAGTCACTCTTACCTTTTTCGTTGACTTTGTATTCATCTATGTGGATTTATTCTCGATGAAAATAAACTCCCGCAGTGTAGATATAGAACGAGAATCGATTAACTGGATATCTATGGCAAAAAAGCCGGAGGGCTTTTTATAATTTTTTTGTATATTTCCAGCACTCCGAGCTGTATATAACCAGTCGGGGCATCCATTTTATACTTTTTATAACCGTTTACGCCTTTTTGTATTTTTTATTATACATTTTCAGGCTCCGGAGCGTGGCGACGCTACCTTCTCGTTTTTGCAACTGTCATATGAATTGTTTTACATTTGAGATTGTGTAATGACAAAGTGTTTAAAGAACGAAAAAAAAGAGTAACTCTCATGTATTTATAGTAACTGTAAAAACGAAAGGAAAAAGAAGTTCTCGTTCATTTCAAACTAAATAACATATACGGCATCTTTGTCACTGGACAACCACTAAAGATATTCATTCTTAATTAATATATCATTGCATTTCTATAAATAGAAAGATATATTAAACACAATAATGAAAATCAGGTTCACTTCAATCAGAGGTATTTTGGGGGTGGGTGTCCGTGTGCGTGCCTATCATCGTTCAACCTACATCCACAATCACACCCTCTATATATTATCATTGCTTTTGTTTTCAGCACATTTACAGGAAGTAGTGTATTATCTGAATATTCTTCTAATTGTATCATTACTAGTTTTGCTCTTTTTTGTAATTCTTTTATGTTATAGTGAGAATTTTAACTCTAGAGATCCTAATAGTAGCAGTGCTAGATCATTAGCAAATAAATGAGATATAATTTGAAAGAAAATACTTGGTAAGTGTTAACTCGCTTCGACGAGCTGATATTTATTTATTTCAAATATATAAGATCCACCTCCCCCCCCTAACACACACACAGAAGAAATACAACTATAAAGCACACAAAGAGAAAAGATAGATAGATATCACGGTATGTGTGTATATATATAGCGAATATGCGGCATCGAGGTATGACCGCTAACAGTAAGAAATGCACATGGAGTCTGAAAAGTGTAGCAGCAAGAATAGAACCTTGAGGGGCACCTACAAACATCTTGATTGTCCTTGAAGATGCTTCTCCATGATGTATAGTAAAAGATCGTCCTCTTAACCATGAATGAATCCATTTAATGAGCGCGAGTGGCATTTCAAGTTTCATTAGAGTAGATATTAACGATGGATACCACATTTTGTCGAAAGCTGATAGAAAGTCAACAAAAACAACTAGTGCTGGTCTATTGCAGGCTGCTATATTTAATCTTATATCTTCTAACAGTGATATAAATCTTGTTTGAAGTCTTCTTTGAGAAGAAAAATCTGATTGTTCATCAACGTATATGTTCTTCTCCTCACACCATTTCATTATCCTACGATGAATGATACGCTCATACCATTTACCAACAAATTGTTTAACTAGTTAATTACATTGCTTACGATGATCGACATAAATATGTTCAATCCATTTATTTTTTGTTTGATAACCATCTTTTGTACACCATGAACATATAAATTTACCATTAGCTAAACAAGAATTATGATACATTGGATTTATCAAGCTAAATAACATTTACCGTCTTGTTGTACCGGATATTGTTTCAATAAATTTCTCTTCGCTAGTGTAATAGTCATCTAAAAAGCGAAATATATCTCCTTGTTTTTCTTTTCATAAATACTTCTATGTGTATATAAACAACAAGAACATGTGTCTTTATATATAGGTTGAGGAAGACGAAAAGAGAAAAGAGAAAAGAAAACACGTTTATTTACTACTAGGATGGAACACCAGTTCGATAAAAGATTCAAATAAAGATCATTAATAAAGAAGCAATGGACAAATATGAAGATGTAAATAAGAATGAGGATGATTATCTTTCCATGCCGGTTACTCTTACCTTCATCCTCTAGATAAAATCGGATATCTAGACAACACTGGAAATATTTTCTTTGCTTAAAAACTAGTTTAGAAAGGAGCATTGGCAACTATCTATAATATTTTTACAGTATGTGATCAATATTTTAACTTTAATTATTTCATACTTTATGAATTAGTTCAATGCTGAAATGTAACATACTATTATTTTAAATTTCAGATACAAACTGCTAATTTTAAACATGGTTATCCGCACCGATTATAGTAAAACTATAGAAGCTAAGTTAACCCATTGATGAATTAGTTTGTTTCTTAATCAACTCGTTATTTTTATTGTTCAACAAATACTCAAGCATCAGATCATTTTAAATTTCAAATTTGTATCCTTTAAAAGTTTTTCAAGAAACAATTTCCTCTAACTTTAGATTTAATTAGTTGATAATGATAAGCAAAATAATTTCTTTTCTATTTAAACAAGAAGAAAAAAAAAGTTTGATATGCAACTGAGATACAATAAGAATAAAAACACGAAAGATGCGTCGACCGGTAAGATAATATTCGGAAAAAAAAGGATAATGTTTAAACGAAATAATTAGACATATATATTATTCTATCTGAGAGAAACCATTTGTCTGTTATTGAAATTTATTTTTGGACGGAATCAATGTTTGCTATTTATTTGTTTTCCTATGATTGACGATTGTTAATACTACTTGATGGAGATTCATCATCTTTTATATCATCATCAATAGTACGTATATGTCGTTTTGGTTGAATTTGTAATAATGATTGAGATTGAGTTGATTTTTCATTTTTATTTTGTTTATACATTGGTGAAAGATGTGTTTTTTCTTGATTATTAGTAGTTTTTCTTAAACGCGTTGGAACTGTATTAGAACGATGATGAGAAATAATCGTTGTTGGTCGATATAAAATTTCTGTACTTGTTCGAGCACTTGATGGTAAATTTTCTTGAATATCATTTGAAGGAATTATTTCATCTGTTTTTGTTGGTAGAGTACGAGCTATTGAACTAACAATGGATGATAATGAGGAACCTTTTAGTACTTGAATTGTTTTAGCTTAAAAACAAAAAATATAAGTTTTAATTATATTATTCAAACAAACCTTTTTCCAAATGTCCTCTTGTTGAATTCATAGAATGAAATGTAAAATTTGGTGGCAAAGATAATTGTTTTGTTAATGGAAAGAAACGCATATCATGATCATTTAGAAACTAAAACAAATTATTTCCCTTTTTTTATGGAATATGAAATAAAAATTAAATTAATTACAATAAGTTCATTATCATTAAGTAATGGTTGTTCAACATAATCTCGATCGTGTGCATCTGCTTCTAATTGTCGTTCAATTTCTTCATCAATTTCTGCATCATCAGCCAACATTCGATTAGATTCCTAAATGAAAAAATTGTTTACTATAGTTTTGTTTTTTATATCTAATTACATCTAGTTTCTTCATCAATACAGCAACAACAACATTAACTAGGACAAATTGAGCCATAAGAACAAATATAACAAAATAAATTGGTGCTATTGCAGTTATAAAATGATTTTTTGAAGCATGTGGGGAATCATCTTGACGAAGCGCATCCTTTTGAAAAGAAAACAAAGATTAATATTTGAAAAAATTTTTCGAATTAATTTACCTTCATAATACCATTCCAATTATCACCAGTTGCAATACGAAATAATGTTAGAAATGCCATACCAAAATCTTTAAAATGTGCATGTTTATCAAGTCCACTACATGGACGTTCATCGCTACATTCTAATTTTCCAAATAATTCCACGCCAAGTGCAGCAAATATGAAGAAAAGAAGAAAAAATAAAAGACCCTGATAAGAAAGAACAACATGTTTATAGTAAAGAATTGATGATTAATATCTGAATTACCAGATTTCCAACTTGTGGAAGAGCTTGAATAACTGTATCTAATAAAGCTCGGATACCTTTCGCCATTTTTAATAATTTAAGAACTGAAATAAAAAATTAGAATTTAAAATATCTAATTTAGGTTCTCATTTTGTATCAGTTTTTCCGAAGAAAACTAAATCGTGCGTAATGTGTTAATTACCTCGTGCAATTCTCATAACTCTCATAACACGTATAAGTGTTGGATTAATTGGAAGTATATGTCCACTTTTCATTTTCTCCATAATAATACCGGCAATTGATAAAACAACAATCATTGTATCAAGTTGATTCCATCTATAAAAAAAAAGTTTATAAATTAAATATTTAAAATTTTTTATTTTATTTCTTACTTTTCTTTAAAATAACGAAATGGTCCTAATGCAATAATTTTCGATATTGATTCAAATACAAATACAGTTGTAAATACATAATTACAATAATCCAAAGTCGTATCAAAAATCTATTGAATGAAATAATGAAATTTAAATATATTTCTTTATTTAAATATTACCGGTGGCATTAAATAGAATTCTAATGACATTGTAACAACATTAAGACCAATAACAGCAGCAATAATTAAGTCAAAATATTTACTATTACATACATCATGTAAACGTCTTCTCCATGGTGAGAAATGTGCATAATATGGTATTTCACGCATACGACGTCGTTTTCGTTCAATTTTTTTTGCACGTTTAGCTGTACGTCGTGCTTTTTCTTCACGTTCTTGTTCAGCACGACATTTATGAAAATTTTCAACAACAACACCAACAAACATATTTAATACAAAAAAGCCAACAAGTAATAGAAATGAAATAAAATAAATTAATTTAGCTTCATTATAATTTCGTATCGGTTGTCTATCAATATCAACTGCATCAATACCATTGTACATGATTTGTACCCAACCATCTCGTGATGATAATACAAATAAAGCTAATAATGCCTAGAAAGAAAATCATAGAAAAATAAATTTCTATTCAAATAATATTAATACATACTTGTCCTAAGTTGTCAAAGTTATACTGTTGATTTTTCCAACGATGATCCGACGTAGTTTCGCATTGTTGTTTTGTAGTAATATTACGAGCCAATGGACCATCGCAATAATAAAATTTGCCTTTGAAAAGCTAATGAAAAATATAAAAAGATTAACAATATAACTAAAAAATCATAAGATTTACCTGAACACCAAGAATACCAAAAATGATAAAAAATGTGCAACAAATAACAACAATATGCCCAATGGGTCTTAATGATGACATCAATGTTTGTACAACAAGTTTAAGACCTGGTGCTCGACTGATAACTATAAATATAAAATTATGAAATAATACGATGATATCAAATGTATTTCTGCTAACCTCGTAATGGTCGTAATGTTCTTAATAGACGAAAAACTCTTAACATGCTAAATATACGTGTTGTTGCATCTGATTCAACACCTGGTGTTGGCATTGTAGTACGATTCATTATTAATAAATCCATTATTGATATAAAAACAAGTGAACCATCCATAACATTCCATCCTATATGTAAATATGTATGTGGTCCACATATAAGTCCACCGGCAATAACTTTTATCATCATTTCAATAGAAAATATGACTGTAAAAATATAATTTGTAATATTTAAAAATTGTCGTTCCTAAAAAAGTATATTGATATTTTATTTTTTCAATCGAAAAAAAATAACTTTGAACATACAGTACTATTTGGTGGAATTGATGGACGTTCCATTGCAAGTGTTATACAATTAAGAGCAATGAAAAGTAGAATTGAATAATCAAATGATTTTCTTACAATTAAACGTTTTAAAAATTGTCGAAATCTAAAATATGATTGATGAATATATAGAGAGTAGGAAAGAGAAAATATTTTACCGATTGTCAGGTGAAAAAAGATAAAGTGAATAATCTTCTCGTCTATCTGCATATTTAAATAATTTATCTCCACATAGATGAGTTATACATGCTCGAAAAATCTAAAGAAAATTATTTATGAATTTTTCAACAAAATTAATAAGACTTACTCCAATTTGAGGTTGAGTTTTAGTTTTTGTTACATCAACTTGCATATCACTTTGATCATTGATTGTTGTTTGCGTATTTGTATCTGTATCAATAATTAATCGAATAGAATTATCGAAATATTGATTAGATTCTTGATGCATTGGCGTACCATAAATACTTGATGTATTATCTGGTTGAATTGTTGGATAAGTAAAATGATTAATTGTTGATCGACGTTTTGTAGTCGAATCTAAATCAAGTAATCTATCTAGATGTATATCAGAAGATTTTCTTGGTGACGCTTGATATGAATTAATTCGTCGTACAGGATTTAATAAATGTTGTTGTTGTTTTGAATTCATTTTACGTTGATTATTATTTTGAACTGTTATAAATGAATGGTTTTGAGATAAACTAGAATATCTTTTACGTGAATTATTTTCGGAATTATTTTTAACTATCGAAATAGTATGACTTCGTTTAAGAGGTACAGATATTTTTGATGATTGATCTAAAGATTCATTTCCAGTTGATTCTATACATGTATGAAAACTTTGTGTTGTACATGATGATGATGGAGATTGTGGTTGGGATGAACGAGTTTTTATTATTGATTTATATGGCGATGCTGATGCATTTGGATAAGTATTTATTCTTAAACGAGTTTCAAGTATACGTAAACTAGAATCATCTTCATTACTGATTGCAATTTTTGGTATACTCATTATTTTTACTTCTAGAAGAGAGAGAGAGAAAAACACTTGTTTATAAAGAAAAAGAAATATTTGATATACCTCTAGGTCGAGGAAGTCTGTTTTCTTGATTACTTGCTGTTTCTTCAGTTATGAATTCATGTGGATTAGCAGGTACTTCAATATCTCCTGTCAGCAATGCTTGTGTCTATAAAATATTTTTATTAATAGAATTATTAGACATAAGTTATTTTTACTTTAAATGGATCTGCTTTTGCCAATCGATCTGTACTACTACCACTTTCAGAAGTACCACCTCCTTTCTATAAGAAAAAAACAAAACAAAAATAAAATAAAATAATAAAAACGTTTATTTACTTCGGTTGAAAATCCTTCAACAAGAATAGCAACAAGTAAATTAAATAAAACATAATTGCCAAATGTCATTAATGCTATAAAGTACAAAGCTGCCCAAGCACTTGTTTTTTCCATACCATTATAAAGTACTTCATTCCAATCTTCTTGAGTTAAAACCTATTTTTAAGAAAATTTTGTTATAAAAATTTCAATTAATCATTCATATATATGCAACAATAAACAAACATGTAAAGCAAGGTATTTAGTGCCAAAGGTAAGCAAAGACTATATATATTATTCAAACTGCCTAAGTGGATATATCTCATGTTTATTCTCCTATGAAAAGATTGGTTCATTCAACTGATACCTGAAATACTGTTAATACAGCAGAAGTTAATGAATCAAAATTCTTTCTTTCTTCTATACAACTGGATTCATTTTTAAAAATATCATTTTCAATACATGTACAACAACGGCATTTTATACGAAATTCTTCCATTAATGTTAGATTAAATATTTGTATTGTACAAAACTCTCCACCAAATAAATGCATACCAAGAATACTATTTGTTAATTATTGAACAAAAAAAAGTATAAATTGAACGAAAACACAACAAAACAAAAAGCGGTTTATCTTATGCAGAGAAAATTAGCAACATCGAAAGCAAATAGAATGAACTCATATTTTTATTACTTGAAAGACAGTTAATATTGCCCATAAAAGAGAATCGAAGTTTTTTCGTGAACATTCAAATTCAAGCTTTTTGGTATGTTTTAGTTCTACATATTTGCAAAATTTGCAGCCAAAAAGATTCATACCCAAAATACTGGAGAAGACGTTATATAATTTAGATTAGTTTTTTTGAATTATAGAGATTTAATTATGTATTATTTTTTATTTACACTTACCTGAAAATGAAAATAAATAGAAGTAATAAGGAGAAGAATGTTGCAACATTATCCATTGTTTTAAGCATAACAACCTAAAATATTGAATTATTCTATAGAATGTAGTCATATTATTAAGCTTGAGAGATTATTATTGGGTATGTTCAAGTCTTAAGGTATTCATATACCTTGATGAAGGAATACTTAAGTATTTAATTGAAACTTGTTGATTGACATTATTAGAAAACCTCTTAAAATCTTCTCTCAGAAATAATATCAATTTTTTTCATACCACATCTTAAATTTCTCTATACACACTTATTTGAAGTACCTAAATTTTTTTTGCTTGAAAAAACATGTCAAGATGTAATACTTATCAGAGCCCTTTTTTCAATTAATTTTTTTCTATAAGTATATATACAGTCACCTTTATAATTAGCACGTTTTCTACTTCGTTGAACTTGTAATCTTTTCGGTTAACTCAAAAAGAAAGTACTCTGGTTAAGTATTACATCCTGACAATCTCTTTCAAACAAAGAAAAATTAAATATATACAATTAGGCTCAAGAGAGAATTATGATTTAACAGATCAACTATTTTTTTGTGAATATCTCTGTCAAAATGTCATGATAATTTTACTATGAGGTAAATATATTAATTTTCAATCGATCGGATTCAACATGTTCTATTCCTTACTACTCGTTAGGGTCTGGCAGGATTGTCCCGATCCGTATCCCGTCGGGAGCGGGATCAAAATCCTGATTTTTCCCCCGACGAGACGAGTATCCTAGTTAAAAAAGGGATAGGAACTACGGAATTTCGAGTAAATAGATTGATGGGTTTTGAGCAGGAGCGTAAATAGGGGGAAGGGCGCCGCGCCCCCCCCTACTTTCGAAAACTAATAGGAAAAAAGGGGTTGGCGCCCCCCTCCCTACTTCTAGAAAGTTCACTTTTTTTGACCACTGTAATAGAAAAATTAGGGTTTCGCCCCCCTGCTCTAACACCTGACTTACGCCCCTAGTTTTGAGTCTGGATGAATTCCGAAAAAATATTTTTCCGGTACCGGAATAAAAAAACTCGGTCCCGTCGGACCCTACTACTCGTCTGTTTAATACTTCTTTTTATTTAACAAACTGGGTGTTAAAAAAAAATAATTCAAAATTTTTTTTGCTTACTAATTGTCTTCTTAATGTTGGCATAAATCTGACAAGTTTAAGTACACGTAATAATCTAAATGTACGTAAGACTGATAAGCCACTATTTTTATTTCCTTGTAATTCAATAACACTCATTAAAACAATTCCACCATCAAATAAATTATAAGCATTTTTAATATATTTTAAACAACCATCGGCAATTATTTTTAAAATCATTTCAATTGCAAATAATGATGTAAATACTATATTACTATATTCTAATGCATTTGTTAATGATGTAGGTTGACCATGATATTCAATACCCATTGATAATGTATTGACTACAATTGCGGATAGAACAATACGACGAAAATATTTACTTGCAACAAAATCTGATACATATTTTCGGAAAGTATGAAAATGTGACCAAATATATTGATCACAACATAGAGAAAATTTAGATGGTTGTTTGACTTTTATTTCTTCATCATCATCTTCTTCATCTTCGAATTCATCTTCATCACCATTATCATTATTAATATTTGATTGAATACTTATATCATTTTGATGATAGCAATCACATTGATTGTGTTGAAGATTTTTATCTAATGTATCAAAATCTAAATAATTTGATTTAATTGATATTTTATTTAATAGTATTGAAGGAATTGAACTATTATCAGCATCATTATTTAATGATTGAGAATGTGGAATTCCATACGGTTCTATACCCGTATTTGGAGTATGAATTGAATCAATAATATCAGAATGTTCAGGACTAGCAGCTGGTGCATCAGCAAAGGATGGACATAGAGATGGAGGTGTTGGAGCAGAAAAAGAATCTCCGATTTGATGATAACGACAATTCGGTCGATGTATTACATGAATATTTGACAATGTAAATGAATTTTCTCCTGTATGCACATTATTATGAATTTTAAAGGTAGTTGATTTATTATTTATTGCTTCTTTTCGACGTCGTTTTTTCATTTCAACTAAACGTTTTTGATTAGCCTAGAAATAAAAATTTTTTTCTTCTTGGAGTAAATCATTAAAACAAAAAATTTCAGTTATTAATTAATCTATAGTACAGATATTGAATATATATAATCCTAATAGACAGGAAATAATAATTATTTATTTTTCATTGAAAAATCGGAATTCCCTTCTAGCCTTATAAATACATTATTGATGTTAAAGATAGTTATAACAATCATCAGCCTTGTTAGCTAGCAACCTCATCAATTGCTTCAAATCATAACGGAATTGCTGTAGGCACTAGTAAGTTAATCCATCATCTCATTATCAAAGCATTTAGCTTCAGAGTTTCTCTTAATATACCGAAAACATCTGAATAGAAATTTTTTTTGAGGTAGGGAATGCCTTGTCTTATTCATTGAATATTTCCGTTAAGAGAACGAGTAACATTTTTTTAATCACAATTGAATAAGAGTACTGACACTAACTCATTGGAAATAATTCAAGTCGACAAATGTTTCATTATCATCAATGACATTAGCTAAACGCTCTTTGTCAAAATTTATTATAATTCATTTCTTTTCTGAAAGCATGTACTCATCTTTTTTTCTTTGATATTAATTAAAAAGACATCTTACTTTCGGATGTTTTTCTCGATAATTTTTCCATGCGATAACTAAACGTTTATATGCATGTTTCCATAAACGTTCAAGATATTTGATTGTTTCTTCCCAACATGAACCTGGTTCATCACTTAATAATGTACTTGATGAACGTGAAAAACGTCTTCGTTCAGCTAACATTCGTTCTGTTTCACGTTTTTTTGTTTCGCTAAATTGTGTTGCAATAACAACAAGACATAAATTTATCATGAAAAATGAGCCAATAACAATAAGACAAACAAAATAAATCCAATCCCAAAATGAATGAGCATCTTGAATATAATACATAATATTAACCCAACTTTCCAGACTAATTATCTAAATAGAAAACGAATTGATAGATGATATACAAAAAAAAACGAATTGTCTTATTACTTGAAAAATAACAACCCATGCTAAACCAATATTATCAAAACTAATCGAACCGGCATAAGGATTTTTATCAGAAACATTACAAAATTTATAATATTGATTCCAATTAACACAACCATTGACTGGTTTATATGGATCTCTGGATAATTGTTCAGTATATGAATGATAATCAAGTTCACATGTCATATTTCCTTTTCGTAATTTAGGAATTTCTGTACATTTTGTCATTCCACTTGAATGAGCAGGTGAACAAACAAATGAATCTTGATCAAGTGGAATATAAAATGGTCGTAATAGTGTATCACTAACGACGAAAAAAAACATAAAAAAAAATTTTTATTTTTGTGACATACCCAAACATTGATTCATCAAGTCTAATCGTTTGATCTAATTGTAGAAAACAACGATTACGTAATAAACCTTTCCATAATTGTACACCAATAATACCAAATATAAAGAAGACAAAAAAACAAAGAAGTAAAACATTTCCAAGCATTGGTAATGTATCAAGTAATAACATGACAAGTATACGCATGGATGGTACACGATTAATGGCACGTAATGGACGAAGGACTCGAACTGTACGTATCGCTGATAAACTTACATTTTCACCTGGTATAACTGATTCTATCAAACTAAAATAATAGATTAAGATTAATTAGAATTACATCCATAGAACCAAAAAAACAATATCCTTGAGTAGTCTTTAATTATATTACTGTTTATAACTACAAATAAACTCAATTGATCTTAATTTATTTGTTTATCTACTCAACAATATGAGATACTTGATGGAATGTGTTGTTTTCATATGTTCAAGTATAGCAAAAAAGAAAAGAAAAGAATGTGTTAAATAATATTTGCAGATCTTTGATATGTATTTAGTAATTAAATATTTGAATTACTCGCTTGTAAAATATGTTTCATATCGATTTTTTTTTGCTTTTTTCAAAAAAAAAAACGTTACATGTCATTTTTTATTGAGTAAAATATAATCTTTACAAGTGAAAAGAAAGTCATCAGAGATGATCCAGCTTTGAATAATTATATTTAATTATTAACCTTCTGATGTTGTAACCTTTTCCTGTTTAACCTAAAATAGACTTTTTCTGTTCTGACATTCTTCTTTTTTTTTGGAGAAACAAACGGAAATACATAACATAAATATATATCATTTACTATCTTTATGATCAGAAAAAAAAAGAATAATAATTAATATAAAAGCAGAACAAAGTATTCATAGTCAAAAAGGCTAAGATTACAGAACATTCCGGTCCAAATGACATGAAGGTTTCATGATAAGAAAATATCTATTTCTCTTTTTTACGTACATATATGAAAAAGAATGACATGAATTAATATTTATTAGAAGAAAAAGTTTTCTTTTTTCTTTCCTAAATCATTTTTCTATACTTGAAACTTACCCAGTAACAACAATAAAACAATCTAGTCTATTCCATGTATCAGCTAAATAAGTTCCTTTACCAAATATACCCATGGCTGTCATTTTAATACACATTTCAATAGTAAAAAATCCAAATATAAAATAATCAGTTGCTTGTAACCATATACAACGTGCTGTATCACATTTTTTTGTACCTTGTTCACCTTCTATACCAGAATGATGTTCACATGGTTGATACATACCAAGTGTTATACAATTAAGTAAAATAACGAACATACTTATACGTTCAAACCATGGTGATGTTATTAATTGTAAACATTGATAACGTGGTGTTGTTGTTTGTTTAAGACAATAAAAGACTTGATCAACAAAACCTGGAAATGGTAATTCATTTTCATCTGTTTCTTCAAGATTACGTGAACGTGGTAAATCGGATAGGACATGTGTTGATGCACGTTCATGTAGAAAACGATCTGTTTCATGTAAACGTGTATCATTATTTGGTATGGTGATAATTGTTGGCGATAATGGATGTTCTTGATTATTATTATTAATTGTAGTTTTCAAATGATTTTTATCCATGATCGTGCAAGTGTTGTTGCTGCATGATCTGTATGGAATAGATGGCAACGGCGGCAAACAAAAAGGCACCTAAGCATAATGTTCCATGATAGTATAACAAAATGATCTTATGAAGATCTACGTCGAGCCGATAAAAGAAAACTAACAAGTTAAATTAATCATTAATCCATTTGGAATATTTAGCGATCTAAAATGAAGACAATATCAATATATATATAGTTTATCTAAATTAAATATATCTTTATTACATAATACTATAAAAATTCTCCTGGGAAATCTTACAATTTCTCTCCGATAATTTTCCCTAACCAATATGTTGTTAATGATGGTAGTTGACAATAGAAATAGAAATATATATATATATATATTTCTTTTTCCATTTACTCGTTGGCTTTTCTCAAACAAGTTAAAGATTTTTTTTTAAAAATTGTTTTTTTTTCTCTTCTTAATAGGAATGTCGACGATCAAGAAGAAAAAAGCGAAGAATAAGAAAAAAAAAAAAAAAACGAGAAAATTTTTTTTCTATAGCTATTTTAGTCAAGAAAGGACATATCAATATAAAGAAGGAACACATTTTTTTTTGGAAAATAACAAAAAAATAAGCACATCTTCTACTGCACTTTTACCAGACGTGTCTCGGATATCCTCAATTCTCATTATTCTCTTTTTGTCTGATCTGATCCTGCCTTCTTCTTTTTATTGCTATTCTTCGTAAAGAGAAAAATACAAGATACAAAAAATAAAGACTTATAGAATAAAAAATGTTCGTATAAGAATACAACAAATAAAATGTTAATCAAGTGGGTACACTTTCTTTTAATATCAATATTAGAATGTAAACAAAAAAATTTACACTTTTTTTTTGTTTCAATGTTAGTATTTATAGCAATCAATAACTATTGACACAATATTGAGAAGACAAAAAGAAAAAAAAAGAAGAAGAAGAGTAGACAAGATCTTGGCACGATAAATTTCGTGTTATGATTAATTACACGACGACACAACAACAACAACAACAAATAGCATACTACTAGATGATAGCGTACGGGTTAGTTTTCTTAACGACTAATTAGAAGACACATGCACAATAGGAAGATGACAAAAGGCAAACTTGACTTTCTCTCATAATCTATTGATAAATGATTTTCAACAAAAACTAGAGAGAAAAAGAAAAAAAAAGAATGACATAGCCTGAGGTAAAATATGATTAATTTCATCATGTCGTCAACTGATAATGACAACGATGACGGCAAATGAATAAAAACTAGCAGATAGTTTTTAGTAAATGCATTTTATGATTTTGGAATATATATATATATACATTAGATGTAGGCGGGGAATTTTTTAGGATAATTCTGTCATACATGTAAAAAATGAGCGAGACTGTTGTTGTTGTGTTTTTTCTTTTGATAAATTCTACCTTCTTATGTATAATATATATATTCTATTACTTGTCATTCTCTCTCTCTCTTTTTTTCTTCTTTATTGTCGCGAGAATTTCAACATGAGTAAGATGGAATATTTCATGATGAAATCTATGTAATAGATGCAATGCATGTTTATATTGCTTGCTATTAAGATCTAACTTAATAAAATTAGAAGTCACGCGTATTCTGATCTGATCAACGAATCCGATTCACTTTCTGTCATCAGTCATTAGGGAGAATTGAAGCGAAGACGAACAAATCTTGTTTCTGAAAAGCGTGATGAAGACGACAACGATGACAATATTATTATTGTTGATTGTCCCACGCGATTCATCGTTTCTATATCTTTTAGAATAACAAATTCTTTTTTTTTCGACTATTAAATAATCAACAGAAATGTTGTCGGCGAGAGCACTAGCCTCTTAAGAAAAAACCACTACAATGCGATAAACTTATTAAAACGACAAAATTCCTTTTTTCTTTTGCTTAATATATAGAGACTACTAGTTCGTATTCATATCTAAAACAAAATTAGCTTTTTGACATGTCGACAACGAAGGCATACAACACCAGAATTCTGCAATGATACAATAGCCAATTTCCTTAACAATATAAAAGGATTTTTTTTTCTTTTCTGTTTTACCAAACGTATATAAAGTGGAAGCTCACCTTACCTATTTGTCATGTCTACAAAAAAGACGATGGTTTGCTGTTCTCTACACGAGGTTGTTGTATTCTCTTAATAGACGTCTCTCTCTCTCCCTCTCTCGTTTTTTTCTTATTACACTGCCGCTGTTATTGAAACTGCTTCAGAACCTTCATTGAACGCTTTTTTTTTCGTGAATTTTCCTTCATCTTCTTTTCCTCGTCGTCGTCTTCTTTTGCTTCTTCTTCTTGTCTTCATGTTTCCTTCATAGTATGGTGTTGCCTTGTCGTTCAGTCATTCAAAAAAAGGAAATTAATTATTATGTTCTCTCTTTCTTTCATTCTGTCGAGTTTTTCCTGCATTACATCTCCCTTTCTTTTCTGATTGTTTGACACTCATATCAAAAAAAAATCCTACTGCTACTTGCTGATCTGCTTGCCAGCTTATCTGTCTCTCCCTCTTCCTGTTGATTTCTATCCGAAAAAGAAAATTTCGTTACAATTATATAAATTTATGTATATATAGTTGTATTGAAATTAAAAACTGATCAATAAAAAAAACATACAAGTATCAAGATCATTTGCATGTTCTATATATGTGCTTAACCAGACTTACTCTTGAGAATATCATCATTATTACAATCGTCGCTTTATTCTATATATGATTGTCGTACATCCGTGTGAAAGCTATAGTTACTATAGAAGATAAAGAACAAGAAAAGGGATCGAAAAGAAATAATAACGACATCAAGAAAAAAAATAATTGTATACAAGTATATATATCTACACATAAAGCACATCTCTAATATATAAATGCCATGATCTACTCTTGGTTTATCATGAGATGAAGCGAGGCGAGACTAGGATGTCTCGATGTTTTGCTGCTTTACATACACATGTTTAATTGATAATATACTTATATGTTAGCACCAATATTGGATCTATCATCGAACTTATATATCTCTATAATAACAATGATCACAGCTCTCCCCCACACACATCAGAGACAATAATAAGAAATGCACTACAATATTACTAAGCAAAAAAGAAAAAAAGAGAAAGAGAAAAAAGAAGAAGAAGAAAAAGAACGAGATCGCAAAAAGATGTAGCAAAAAAGGATCTCATCAAAACGAAACAAACATGACATTCATATCCATACTCACACATATAGAGAAATCCAGCTGAGTTCACTAACAACAATAATAACAATGACAATCGTGTATCAGCATTAAAACAGTTACTTTCTAAGCATCTGTGAGTGATTGAAAATAATAGCAAGAATAGACAAAAAACAGAGCATAAGCATTAGAATATTGAGTGGCATTTAGACTATTGCTATCATAAAGTAATAGAAAACGCATTTGTAAACATTTTGATTTGACAGTATGTCTCAACAAGCTCATCCACTATTTTACTATGTTTATCTGCGCATAAGAGACATAAATTCACTTAATGCCAAACAATCGATCCAAACTCATAAATAAATTGCTCAATTAATTAATATATATATATATATCAGGAAACAATAAACAGTATTTATTGACTTCATCAGTAATCATATATAATGTCATTCTTATATATGAATATGTTTCTAAAATAACATGAATGTTAACTCCGTCGAACATTGTTTGATACATTGACTATCTATGAAAAGTCGATAAAAAATGAGAGAGACACAGACGAAAACGACATTTATGATGATTGGTATCCATTAAATATAACTAATAATGACATTTATTATAACACAAAAAACCATAAGAATGATGAAATAGATCATTAAGTCTTCGAAATATTTACAAGATATTTTACTGTAAATATAACGTAATTCATTAATCAATCAATTAGAAATTCCAACGTACAAATTGATTCTTTTTTTGTTGTAGATAATTCTTATTGGATATTATCGGAAAATAAATAAGATTAGTAAAAAAAACATACTGTAAAATATGTTTATTAACATTATTAGATTGTTTTTGATGTTTGTTAAACTGCCAATGACGTACATGTGAATAATGAAAATTATTAATTCTTATATAAACATTAATAAATAAAAAATTTCTCGAATTATTAGATTTTTTTTATATCAACATGAATTAAAAACGATAAATTAGATTATAAAGTCTATACAATAAATATTCTCGTGTAATATGATCTAATGTCCGTTTAAGCATATAGCAATATGGCTTCTAATTACAGTATAAAGTGCTATATTCCTATAGAATATAAAAATTATCGAAATTGGATCTAAATGATTATCGTTATTAATAGAAAGAAAACTCTCTTATGAAAAATAATTATTAAAAATATCTATGTTGGAAAATCAAGGTTTTTAAAAATACTTGATAATAATAAATAAATTATGATTTAAAATACAATGTTTATTCGAACTGTATTAGTAAAGTGAAATCAGTATGAAGATCTACAATTGTTTTTCGTTAGACTTATATTTTCAAGTGAATTTATGGGCAATCAATTTTACAGCTAAAGACGACATCTGTTTGCATTATTCATTGAAATTTTCGTATAAAATTTTATCCAAATGAAACTTAGAAATAATGTAATATTGAAAGAAAATAGTTCATTAAAACCACTCAATTATATGTCAACAAGCTCATTTAGAATATGAATTGTTAAAGAATAATAGTATTAAATCTTTATTCTTAAAATTAGCATCTCGTTTCTACAAAGTCTTGTTGACACAATCAATCATCTTTCTTTTAATAAAACAATTCCTTTTATAGTTTTCCTTTTCTTCTTCTATTGTGTTTATTTTCTAGTATATATATATATATATATATATGCAAAAAAACTAAGAAGAAGTCATTTATATAATTTACTTTTGTGCTCGAAGGATATTTGAAATCGATAAATGATAGAATATACAAATAATAAAATTATTTATTTGATCAGCTCATTTACTAATATATTCGTAAAATAATAAGACTTTCATATTTGATAAAAAAAATTTGCTGATGATGATGATGCATCATCGTTCAATGTATATTAATATATACTATTCTTGATGATAGATTGATTTCTTTTGTTCTCTTGCATGCAATCAAAAAAAGAACTCTAACAACAACAACAACAACAACAACAAAATCACACATGTGTTCTTTAGTTAGACGAATAACTCCGAGGTATATAACAGACCAAGTATATTCGACAGGAGACGATTAACCTTAAGATTGATTGGAATATGCAAAAGAAGTAAACCATCATTGTCCATTTTCAGAATGCCCATCTGCTCTGTTCTCTCCCTCTATCTCTCTTTCTTGGTTATATTTGTGTTCGACGTGATTATTATAAATAAAACAAATCAAGATAGAGAGAAAGAACAAGGAATAGATAGATGAATGATGCCCTCTATCCTCATCATCGGACATAAATGAATGCCATCACTTCAGACAGACATAACAAAACATAGGGTAAGAAGACAAAGTTATCGATAGATAGACATCACTCTTTTCTCATATATCCAAACGCTAGCAAATATTGACCTCTGAATAAAATAGGCCGACACCTAAAAAAAAAATGATTAGCTTTGTATGTAAAAACTTGAACGACTGCGGCGTAGTTCTTTTTTTTTATCTCCCTTGATAGAAAAATATATATATATATATTGGCACTGCATATATAAATCCATAGAGACTTGAACGGAAGAAGATATTGAAAATATATGTGTTGATGTAATATATATTGTGTAAAGAGTTTTAGTGTCTCCAAAAATTGTAACATTTCCCTTGTTCTAGCTGTACAGGGAAATCATCATGATCATTATATTGCTTAGTAAATATGTGGGTATGATGCGTATTGAGTGTTTGAATAATTCATCATTTCTTGTGAGAAGATGTAATCGATTTTATCTTGAACTGCTACTACTACTAACAAAAAAGAAAAAAAAAGAGAAGACGAAGAAACAACAAAGAGAAGAAAATATTGGAAATGAATAGAAGTCAATCGAGGTATAGTTTCGTTTATTTATAGAGAATTTGTCTATACATTGATACTTGAAAATTGATATATAGATATATATTCAATTCGACAATATCAATTTATAAAGAAAAAAACACGAGGTAATGAAAACGATTTTGACGACTTCAGCACTTGTTTAATCTGTTATATTGAAAAGGAGAAGAAAAATAAGGAGAAAGTGCATGTATCAGATGACCACTATCACCGACTACATCGCACATTCAATTATCTCTCTAAATAAGAAAAAGGAAGACAGAGAGAGAGGGAGAAGATTCATATGCTTCTTCTTTAGATCGAACACGACAATGAATTATCATTGTATTGTAACGACTGTACATTGGTGCACTCACTCTTTCTCTTTTTTTCCCTTCTCCTCCGCCTTCTTCTAGTAAACATTGGATTAGTCGCATACAAGCGCGATAAAGAGCTCTTATATTGAATGAAAAAATGCAGTACAGTAGTAACCTTCTTACACGCGAACATCGTGTTCTGATAATTATCGATTTTGTCTCTAGTAGTAAAAGAACGAATGTATAAGATCTAGTAATAGATATGAGAATATATATGTCTAGAAATGATGTACACTAAATAGGATTGATGCAATCGACAATAACTATAGTTCTTGAATTTCAATCCACTATACTAGACTATTTTACTTACTGACTGATTAGTTAAGCTTTAACTGTTCGAATAACAACACGTTCGTTTTTTTAATAGAAAGATCATTTTGACTCTTCAAGTCATTTGATCAACTTTTTTCGCTTGTTCAATCGTGAGATTTAATAAAAAAATAATACTGGAGTGAGTGTTATTTAATTACTACTCTTAGTATTAACAAGTACGAATGAGTTTCGTTTCAATCATTCATCATAATTGCCTACATTTTTTTTGTTTCTCCTCCCCCTCACAATCAATCGACACCTGTATACAAACACAATATTCTAAGTATAATTTGCTTTACAATACGTGACCTTTGTTAAATTTTTCGAAATAATGAGATTTTATCTTGTCTTTTCCGAATATTGAATATAAATTTTTTTGTTTTCGTTGAATTTTACTGTTTCATCAGTAATATTTTGAACACATCAATTTTACAAAATTATACTCAAAATGACACTGAACAAAGTCATGGTATAGTAAATTCTTTTTTTTCTTTTTCTTTTTTTTTGTTCATAGAGAAAAAAACATATATTACGAAATTTTTTTCCATTGGGATTTGTCTTACAACTAACATGAAGAAGCTCAATTGGAATTGCTAAATAGTATCATTGGTTATATATATAGAGAGAACGAGAGTCTATCTCGTTTCTTTATTTGTAACTGAATAAGTCAACATTTTTTTTTCTCTATTTCTTTTGCTCTCGAAAGATCAAAGCATAGAAAATGTTGACACTATTGGCATTTTTCCAATACCACAAAAAGAAAAAAGAAAGAAGAATAGAGAGGGAAAATCATTTGCATGATAATTAAATCTCTGGAGAGAATTGAATTGAACAACATACATAGGAAAAGAGGGTTAGAGTATGTCTGTATATCCCGAAACCAAATCTCATTTGTCAAAAAACGAGAAACTCTTTTACTCCCTCTCTATTTATTCTCGTCATCGATGAGCTGTGACTGGATCGGAGACTGATGGCTAGAACTAGTTGCGGAAAAAAAAAATGAATGGTGTTGACACAATTAGGTTGATAGAGGAAACAACATTCATCTCGTGTTTTGAATATGAATCAATGCATCATCAACATCATCCAAAGAGAAAAACCAAGAGAGAGAAAGAGAGAGAAGCAAAGAGAGAGAGACAGACAGAAGAAAAAGATTCCCTCCCTTCAAATCTCATTTTACAATTGGACGATCGCATATCTATGTATGTTTATTTGAAAAAAAGAATAATCTCTATTTCAGGACTCGTTTTATATTCTTCATAAAGAAATAAGTTTCATTTTGACAAGTATTATTCTAGTATGTTTATTGTTAGAATAATGATAATGGGTATTTTTTTTCATTACACAATAACGATCGATATGATTCGTTTATAATGAGTAATAAGAGCGTATCCTTAATGACAAGATGGTGAGAAATGATAGAACGAACAGCTTTTAATGATATCATCTACAATGAGATTCAGATTCATATAGTCATATGCTATAGGCTCTGTCCAACCCTGTCAGAATAAGAAAGTGCGTCTGATTATTGTCACGATCATATTCAAAAGATAAGTCAATCAAATACATCTTGTCTTACACATATATATTGCTATTTATATTATTGGCAGCAATCAGTGTACATAGGCGAGAATAAAAAGCGGACGGTACGTATATATAATCATAAAACAAGAAATAAGAAGAAAGAGAGAAAGGGAGAGAGAGAGAGAGCATATAGCATTCGAAATATGTATAAAATATTGTTTTCTAGTGCGATAAAAATAGGATGTACACCCTCGTTTTTATTCTCTCGATATCGATATTATCAGTCTTGTTCGTTTTGTGATCGTGTGCCTATGCTTCACAAACAATTCCCAGCTCTCTCTATAAAACATGCAAGAGAAGAAAAAAAGAGAGTGAATCTGAAAGATCGAATTACGTCATTTCGTTCGTGCTTTTCACTCATCATCAGTGGCGCTATATACCCAAACAAGAAACATAAGGGAAAAAAATAGATCTTCTCTAACGTGCTATTAAAACAAAGTTAAACTGTTCGAGTTATCAGCCGATGATATTACTCAGTTTCTTTTAATAAACGAAAGGTAAGCATATTTCTCGCTTTTTTTCTTTTATTTGACAGTTCTTTAAACAATTGAGCACTTTAACATCTAGTGTTATATATATTGACAAAGACAAATTAGATTTCTTCGACATTTTTACACGTACAAGTATGTTATTTCGAAAAAAAAAAGAAGAAGAAGAAGAATTGATAACATATTTCATACAATGTGCTACTATATGTAGGATGCTGTTTCACAGTCGGTATCGGCGGCACCATGTGAGAAGAGATATCGTCTTACCAGTTAGTGGATAACGAGCGTCACATGTCGAAAATCAATCACTAAAGAGTATGAAAATTGTAGAGAAGTTTTTCTTTTCTTTTTATGACCGCAAAAAAATAACAACGAACCTTGAATCTTTTATTTATCTATCTTTATTCTAGATAATAATAATAATAATAATAATAATATAGTTAAAACTATGGCAGCAACAAATGAACAAATTCAACAAGCAGTTGAAAGTTTCTTTCTTCTGTTCAATGGTGTAATCATTTTTTGTAAGTTATTCAAAACACAAAATATATATACATAATTATTAATTTATTTTATAGTAATGAGTTTTGGTTATACACTCATTGAATCAGGTGGTGTTCGAAGTCAAAATGCAGGTCATAGTTTATTTAAAACTCTTCTTATTCTTAGTATGTTTACATATTCAAAAAACTAATTATTTTATTTTAAAATATTTTAATTTAGTTACATCGGCAATTGCTTATTGGATAAGTGGTTATGCATTTTCTTTTGGTGGCGATGCAAATGTTATATTAGGTACACGTTTTTGGGCAAGTGAACGTTTTGGTGCCAAAGATCGTTATCCAAACGTTGAAAATTTTACAAGTTCAAATAATATCTATAAATTAAATAATCAAGATCCATATATACATTATTTTTACCATTATATGTTGGCATTTCTTGTTACAAATATAGCAGCTAGTTCATTTGCTGAACGTTGTCGAGTACCAGTCTATGTACTTTTTTCAATCATTATGTCTGGTAAATATTTTTAAATTAATTTTCAAACGTTTTTTGAAATTTTTTTTTTCTTTCAAAGGATTTGTCTATCCATTTCTTGCACATTGGATGTGGGGTACTAATGGTTGGCTTGGCGCAGTTGTTGGTGCACGAGTATGTTATTTTTATTTTGATAGAATATTTTATAATGTTTATAAAATTTTAAGGATTATGGCGGTAGTGCAATAATATTTTTGACAGCAGGTGTTGCTGCTTTAATTGGTACAATTTTTCTTGGTCCACGTTTCGGTCGATTTGAACCACGTACATTACCTTTATTCGGTCATAGTATTCCGGTAAATGAAATAATCGAACATTCGATCATTATTAATAAATCTATATATACATATTAGGTTACATCAGTTGGTGCGATTCTTGTTGCATTTGGATTTTTTGTACTCAATTCGGGTGCTGATCATCGTATAACAGGACGAGCTTATGGTGATCGAGTTGGACATGGACTTGTTAATACACTTTTATCAGGAGCAACATCAGGTGGAACATATTATCTTTTACAAAGAATTATTGAAAGTATGAAAAGAAAATTATTGTATATTTTTTTTTATTATATATTTTATTTAGATATACAATCATCACCAAAACATCTTAAACGACGTGTATTTTTATCAACAGTTAATTCAATTCTTGCTGGTATGGTTGCGGTTGCTGGCGGAGCGGTTGCATATAATCCATGGTCAGCTGTTATTATTGGTTTTATTGCTGCATTAAGTTTCTTATTATGGAGTAAATTATTAATTAAAATTCAAATTGATGATCCAGTTGAAACAGCTGCTGGTAAAATAAGAAACTATATATATATAGATATTTATTTTGTTGTCTATAGTTCATATTGGTGGAGGTTTATGGGGTATTTTTGCTGTACCAATCTTTCGACGAACAATTGGACCAAATGTCAATGGTGAATTTGTTGAAGATGTATTCAATTCAATTATCTATCGATTTGGTTATGGAGAAAGCTGGCGGGTAGGGAAAAAAACAAAGATGTTTTTGTTATTTTCAATAAATAATAATATTAATCATTTAGGGATTACTTAATTCATTATGTACGGCAGCAGTTGTTATGGCTTGGACAGCTTTCTTTATTGGTTTACTTTTCCTCTTACTTAAACTTCTTAATTTATTAAAAGTATCAAAAGAAGAAGAATTACGAGGTATGATAAAATATTGCCTTTTCTTTTTTGAATAATTCTATCTTATTTTAGGTATTGATTTATTTCAACATGGTGAACCGGCTTATGCACTTCGTATCTATTGTGCTGCATGTGGAGAACAATTACAAGGTAAAACCATTGAACAAGAAACAAATGGAGCTGGTGCACGCTCGAATTTTCCAACAATTGTTACTGATGCTGAAGGCGGTATGTATTACCCTTAATTAATAACCCAAAAATAAATGTTGTTTTAGAAAGTAAAAGCATATATGATTTCAAAGTAATTGGATCCCTTTCAATCAGAAAATTTCAAACATGAAAACTATTAAAAAATCGAATGAAATAGAATTGAGAGTGAAGATCAGTACTTGAAAATCTAAGTGAATCATAATTTGATAAACTAAAAAAAACATAGTTATCTAAATTCGATGAACTAAATCTATTACAATCGGAATTCCTTCAATTTAACAGATCGGAACCGGAAGTAAGACTGAATAAACTAGGAATGAGATCGTACTGAAAATCTTAAGTCTCATATATGTTAAATATCAATTGCTTACGTAAATTATTTCAGCTTATGTAATTGATGGTACGCGTAGGTAAGAAACAAAAAAATTCAGATTCACTAATCAGTCCAAATTATCTATTGCACTAATTTGCACAGCAACGAAAGAAAACCGATGATCTTCTTCTTATATATCGAGCTTATTTTGATTTCTTTGCTTTTGATTTATTTAAAAAAAAGAAAATTTTTTTTTTTTTATTCAATTTTATCTTCTTCTTGTCACTATTGAGGTCTAAATAAATATCATTAATAATATGTTTTATCTTTTTCTTTTAGCCATCGTCCCTATCGAATATTTCAGTGACCGACATGGAACTGGAAATAGTACAGATACATCAAAAATAAAATCATTAAACGAAGAAAATCGTGTCTGATCTAATTCTCTTTTTATCTTGCTTTTTTTTCTCTCTATCTTTTCTTTATAAAACATCTTAATCACATATACACGCACATAGGAAAATCGATAATAGTATCATCTATGTCAAAGAATGATCATTAAGCAATTCATCATATATGTACCTATCTACTCATATTCTCGCTCTCTTTCGTCTCTAACAGTATAAAGTGCTTGAAAAAAAAACACGTTTCTCGTTTATGTATGTTAGATTAGTTCTATCTTTTGTGTATGTGTGTATATTTCGAAAGAGCTTTAAACAAAACAAATCTTCTTTTTTTTTTCTTAACAGTATTTCTTTTTTTTTGCTGTTGTGTTCTTTATTTTTTTTTCTTCTTCTGTCTGTGTATTTCTCTCTCTCACTCTCTGACAATGACAATCAAAAGTCAGAGAATATTATTATCTTATTTCTTTTCGCGAATGTTTGTCATCTAAGAGAAAAATGAAAAGAAAATACTTATTGTTCGAGTTACGATACATTCCCCGGACATAAAAATTATATTAATTCTCTCTTCTCGATATTATTAATCGTGCGTTTTACGATAAATGATACATCGGTACAAAAATAAGTTCTTTTTCTTTCTCTAGATATTCATAACATCAGCCTTACTTATTTTATCTTCTTTTTTCTTTCTTTCTTTCTTTCTTTTTCGTTTGTTCTTGCTCAAGTTCAACGTTTATGCGTGTTTGATGTTTCAGTGTGCTCATTGCATTCGAATTTTGTGTCTTTTTTCTCTTTTTTTTTGTTTCTTGTTGATGTTGCTTCGTGTTCGCGATTAGTTTATAAGCAAATAAATATGTCAAAGCTGTATTGTGGATGATGAGCATGCTTTATAATAATTAATATTTAATTTTTTACATGAAATCAATGCATTCATTATAATCAATGAGTATTGAAAAAAAGTCATTTGATTACTATCACGAAATAAAGATGAAGAATAGATATAAAATTAAATATATAGAACATAATTGAATATAAATTCAGGAAATTTATAGAATATATGATATTGATTTGTGATTGATTAGAAAATAAATTGACAGATTTTACATTTGCATAAAACAAGTTAAATAAAGTGGAGTTATGTTGAATTACTGCTTCAATTGTCTATGTATATGACTGATTCAATAGACAAGTCGTATATTTTTCGTTTCCTATGCAGGAAGGATTCAAACTTTTAACTTCCTTTCTTAGCTGTAAGAGAGTACATCACTTTAGCGAGAGTTTGGATCGTAAGTAAGAGTACTTTACAGACTTTTGGAGTTCTGATCTATCTGTTTTCAATAACAAAAGTGGTAATCGTGAAATTAAATATCTCATATATTAAACATATTACTCTTGATCTACAATGGAAATATAGCAAGTGCATGTATTTAAAAAACATTCATCATAGTATAGAGGAGGAGATATATGATCACAAAATAGAATCAAATAAATTAGATTACTAAAAGTGTCATAGGAAAGGTCACATGTTGATAAAGTTCGGTACTCTGCAACCTCTCAATTACGAGATGTTGTTATTACAGAAATACAACCATCACTATATTGCAAAATAAGTCTTTTTTTTATGCTACGATTATATTAATCTTGTCTTTCATATTAAGAAGCACAAAAAATAGTTTTTCAAGAAAAAGATAGCTACATTAAACGACAAGTTTATCTTCTTGTAATAGACTGAATTATATTTTTTGTAATCCCTAACGTTTTATTTCTATTACTTAAACTATATATGATGTTTTATTAATATAATTAACATATTTAATAGCAAATTATCACACAATTCATTTGAGAATCAAAAACAAATGTCGATAATTGATTTACAAAGATGTTAATGTAATTCAGACTTATTGAAATAGTTTATATGACTGAAATATTTTTATCAAAACTCGATCAGTTAACATGAACATGTAAGCAGTACTGGGGATGAAAAACGATCAGTAAAAAACTACATATATTCTTCTTCATTTATATTTTTTCATACGTAATGGAAATGAAACGATTCTAAACAGTATTAATTCGATCTTTCGATAGGACATAACCACAATGCCAGTCCTTACAGATACTTTTATCTATCTATCGCGTTTTAATAAACAACATTCTATCAATTTTATTTTATAGAAATCATTTTAAATCGAAGGAGTATATGATAAAAATTTATTATTGTCAATTTAACAATATAAGAGTGAGCAAATGTTAAGAATTTGAAAAAAATAAAAGTAAATCAAAGAAAATAATTCATAATGTCTTACTCAACAAGTTCTATGTGTAACTATTAAACTAAAGTCAGCTGTATAATTTCGCTTCAAATGTGTTTATTGTTAATCATTTCCAACCATTTCTCTAAATCTACGAAGGTCTGGATGATTCGAAGGCAGTGAGCGTTGTCCAATATCAAGAGCACGTCGATAGAATGAACGTGCTGTTGGTATATCACCCATTTGTTCATATGCAGTACCATGGTTTGCATAAGAAGTTGCTAGAGAAGGATGATTTGATGGAAGATGTTTTTGTTTAATTTCAAGAGCACGTTTGTGAAGTGAAAGAGCTTTGTGATAGTCACCTAATTTCTCATAGACAGTTCCATAGAGTTCATAGAATGTCACTAGAATTAGATCATCTGGTGGAAAAGTTTGTTGTAAGACTATAAGTGCATTTTCGAATGACAAGACTGCCTTTGAGTAATCATCCATACTGTCACTAATTAGATCGTTGTTGCTATCGGAATCGGAAGTAGAAAATGGAAGATCATTGAACGCAATAATGGTTTCAATTGGTTTTTCTTTCAATGGATGATTTATCGAATGTTTAGCCATTTTGTCATATACAATACCTAAATTTCTATAAGAAGCAGCTAAATCGAGATGAGTTCGAGGAAGAAGTTTTCGATTGATCTCGATTGATTTTTCATAGAATTCTATTGCATTGATATAGTCTCCTAATTCATATTTTATGATTCCCAACATATGGTAAATATTTGCTTTTTCATGTTCATTGGATGTCTGATCAAGGGATGAACGGTTGATGGGGGTCCCTTGGAGTTCTTTTGGAAGTCCCTCGGAATTCTGAACTCCAGAGTCATGGAGTTCCTTGGAGTCCTTTTTGAAGTTCATCGAAATCTTGGACTCCGGAGTCACGTAGTCCCTCGAAGTCCTTTGGAGTTCTGGTGAGTCCTTTGAAGTCTTGTGAAGTCTTTTGGAGTCTTTTGGAGTCTTGGATTTCAGGGTTTCGAAGTCCCGTGAAGTCCTCGGAGTACCAGATTTTTGGAACCCTGGAGTCCTGAAGTCCCATGGAGTCCAGGATTCTTGCAATCTGCCGTTTCTTTCTTGTGTCTGATTTAGCATGACTTTGAACAGTTCTTGAGCATAATTGAATTGACCAATTTGAATTAATAAATTTCCTAATCGATACCATCCTGTTTTATGTGGAAATGAATTAGTTCGGATATGTTCAGATAGCGTATGAAGATCTGGATCAGTTTCACTGGTTAGTATTAGATTCACTTGATAGAGATTATCATTTATACCTAGTTGCTTAATGTCATGAATACGAAATATAGAATGCATAGAAAAGAGAATCTCCTCTTCAACTCTGAAAAAAGAGATCTCAGTAATGTCGGCGAATGGCGTCGACAATATGGATGGATCGATCGACATGACGAACAAGATTCCTACCATATTTGGCGTGGAGGCAGAAGTCTCAGCAAAGATTAAAGTTACGTCCAGGCTTTTACTAGTAGACAAAAAACTATTAAATGATAATAATCCACCTTTTGATTTGATCAATTTTTCGAAATCAGCACGCGCTAAACCTTGTCCACGATATACAACGAATGAAGACGAGCGATTATAATTCGGATATTGTTGTGAATGAAGATGAGTAATATTTTGGTGAAGATCTCGCATGAAGAAGCCGATTCTTATCATAACCTCGGCATCCATGACACGTATTGCATAATTAAGTAAATTATGGAGACCACAAGGATGTGTATACCACCAGATAGGCGAGTGGAGATGATATTCGTTCCTCAACATTTCAATATCTCTCGGTCGAACGGTGCTGATGCCATCACAGTATGCAAAAAATTCTTCAATGTGTTGTCTATCAAAATCGATAGTAAACAAGATCTCTGTGATTATTTTAGTATACATAAATGACGATTCGAGTTGATTTAGATTTTTGTCTGAAGCTTCCTCACATGCACATATGAAGCTGATAGATATCGCATCTTGATTATAAATTTTTGAAGTCTCTATGAGTGCTTCACCAATAGATTTAATATCACTATAAATGCCTTTCATTTTTCGCCATTTATTTGACCATTGTTCACACTGTACGTTGTTTTCATTGAGAATATAGACACATTCAACTTGAGGTATTTCATGAGCAACTGAAATCATTGTTTGAACGAATACTTCGGATAAAATCAGGACTATTGGCTCTTCTGCAACATCAGTTATAAAATCAACCATTTCATCAGCGTCAGTAAATCTATGAACTCCACTAACTGCTTGCTGTAATTCTATAATAATATTCTGATAATCGTTATTGTTGACCGTGTCAGTGCTATTGTGCAACCAAACTAGCAGAAAAGTTTTCGTTGTACGAACACGTGGTCGGTGTATGGGTATGCTTGTATATTTATCTGACATTTTCTTGTGTAGTGTTCGTAAGTTGAATATCTTGCTTTTCGTTTTATAAACAAGAAAAAATTGTAGTTACCAGTTTCCTCAAATTATTAATGATATGACCGATGTGAATAACAATAAAAAAATGCGTGTATTCACGTCATGTTGATTTTTTTGTATAGATTCTTATCAACTATACTCATTTTACATTTTTTTCGATATTCAATAGGCCAATCTTATCTCACGATACGATAAATGGGAACGTATTCAACAGCAAACCTAATAATAGATGAATAAAAAAACATTTTGGTTTCTCTCATTTGCCTTAATCAACAAGAGAATTTCAATAACAAATAATATCGACATTAACCTTTTTCTTCGTAACTCTTTATAAAAATTTTTCGTTTGTTGTCATATACAAAAAGAATCCATGTGTATAAAGATATCACCTTCGTTATTTTAAAGCACATCAAAAGAGCAAAAAAGTTTCTGTAACATATTACAAATAACTATTTAGGCATAGGATCATAAAGACTATCTATCAACTTACATAAAAAAACTATCCTATAATTACTATGTCATAATTTATGCTTATAGATACAAAAAAAGAAGTCTTTTATCCCTAAGTTATTTTCATATACATATTTTATACTAATTATCACGTTTCTTCTCTTACTAGTAATGAGAAGTCTATTGTAATTTTATTGAGTAGAAAAAAGTATTAATATAGACACTCAATGTAGATAAAAAAAATATGAAAAAGAATAATTAAACAATGTAACTATAGTGAATTAATTCACAACACATTTACATATATATATAAAGTACGTTTTGCAAAATTTAAAACTATTCTTTTTTTTCTTCTATTTCCTGATTGTGTTTTTCATATTATGTATATTAAACCTTGGAGACATTTTAAATTTAAAAAAAAATATACTTTAATATTTTTTTTTCTATTAATTTTATTTTTATCACAACCATTCGTTATAAAATATAGTAAGTTCAAATTTTACATTTGACTTTGTTTCCATAATGTTTAAACTATTCTCTATTTCATTGTTTTCTACATAACTATCTATAATTCTTTCAAATCACCGATAGTGTTTTGCATCGAGTATCATTTCTTTCAAAAGTTATTGACGTATTTTGATGCCTTTCGAAGAAACGCAGATAATAACACGTTAATAAGTATCTTAAACCGCCTATAAATATCATGTTTTTTTACAAAACAAGAATTAAAAATACCCATTCCACATATATATCATTAGAATAATATCAATATAGTTAAATTCAATTTTAACTCATTAATTTTGGAGTAAGTCTACATCCCAATTTCATTCATTTCTTCATACAATAATCGATTTATATAGAAGGTGTACTTCTTCATACTGTAAAAGTTATTAGTAAAAAAAAAAAAGGAAAGAAGTGAGAAAAAACTTCCATATGTTGTCACATGAGAGAAGTTATTGAAACTATAGGGACTGCAAAAAGAAACTGTTCATTATCGAGAATAATGAAATATTTACATCGATTAGATGTATGTGTGGTCAAATTAGTTCTGTCCAAATCGAAAATTTATTGATTTTTTCTTCTTTATATTAATACGATGACATAGATATTTAATCGCGCATTCAAATCAAATTCTAACAACTTTGTCTTATGTATATTAATTCGTATTTTTCTAATAAGTTTAGGGAACGGTATGTGTTACCATTTTAATAACTTTTATGAGTAAGAAAAAGTATTTATCACGTCAAAATATTTTTTTCCAAACAAATAATAGTTTCACAATTGACCTTCATAAACGGCATCGAAACGTAATCGTATGTCTTTAATACTATTGCCGTTTCCTGCACTCACACTAAATCGATCGAAATATCGTTTTTTATGTTGACAACAACATTAAAAATAATTCTGATTTGTAAAGAAGAATTTATTCTGATAGATCTTTTCCGATTTTTTTTTGTTAGTTATTGATCAGAAATACATTTGAATAGCTCAAGGCGGAATATGTAACGAATTTTAAATAGAGTATGAAATCATAATATTGATAGAAAAAGCATAGGCGACGTCTTTGATATATATATCGGAAAAATATGATCGTCATCGAACAATAAACTCAATTCCGCCTTTCATTTTTACTCAAAACAGGATTGTATGAATTACTCGTCTATTTTAATGTTGTTGTTCTCTCGTCTATTCTGATTTCCTTGTCCGCTTCATTAATCATCAAATAAGAGTATGAAAGAAGAAGAAATCACATCTTTTAATAACGACATATCAATCCATTTCTGATTCCTTTGTGCACTGACCGATATGTAATATATAAATCATAAAAAAAAAGGTCTAAGATGTCTGTATGGTAGCAGGAAACGGATGTAAAGCACGTTAGGTATTTTCTCTTCGTTGACATTATGTTCCTATTTTTTACTATTAAAGTCACATAAAATCGCTTTCATTTCCGTTGATTGTACGCATGATATGCATCGTTGAATTTTCTAAGGTCTTGAGGAGAAAAACTCATTGTTAGTTCTTTCATTTAGCACATCTATCCACAATTAACCTTGTATTCTTTGTTTATGATAATGATACTGTAGTTCCTATGACTGTCGGAAACATATTATTTAACTCGTCAGTGATGTTGATGTAATATGATGCCAAATTTTCTTTTTCTTTT